TTTTGAGGGATCGGATCAAGTTGGCTAAGCCGGGTGCCTGGCTTGGGCCTGATTTGCATAATTTTGGCGCCGAACATCTTAGTACTCTTTCGGCGCAGAAGATCGCCTGACCTTTGGGGACCAGCATTGCTAATGCTGTTCGTCCGGTTCGCTCCTTGGGCCACCTGTCGAATGGATTTCATACGAGATAGTCCACCGCCACCGGTGCCACCACGAGCAAGTTTCTGTCGAGCAAAATTGACAGGCTCAGGTGGCCTTGGAGCTGTACCAGGCGCATGGGCTGCGTGCGGCATAGGTGGCTGGGCTTCCTTTTTGTCTTTAAAGCTCGGGTCATGCTCGCTGATACCCTTGCTATTGGGCGATGTGGGCTCATCCAAGTAAGGAGCGTCAAGATCAACGTCAGGGAAGAAGTCATCAAGGTGGTCGATAACGCCTTCGACGGCGGGTCTGCTTGCCCAGATATCTCGGGCAAATGACTCTCGCCGTATAGGCCTCTCATCTTCGGGAGAGACTGGTGCCCAGGTACTAGAAGCCGGTTCTTTCCCATCAGATACCTCTCCGCTGGAACCGGGACCGGCAGTGCTTGGGGATTTGAATCTGACAGACAACTTTGATCTTAATTGATCTTTCGTGTTCACAGTCAAGGATGGCCGCTCTGACTTCTTTTCGACTTCAGCTTGCGGTTCTCTCTTTTCTTCCTGGGCCCTTGAAGGTCGGACTTGGAACAGCCCATCGTCAGAGTCATCAGAATCATCATCTGAGTCCTGTTGCTGTTGAGGAGTTCGCTGGAAGGACACTTGATTCTCTTCAAAGTCAAACTCTGGACCAAACGACTTGCGGGATTGCAAGCCCGGTCTCGGCGAGTGTTCAGAAACAGGATTTTCAGGTGACTGATTGGCAAACGAAACTGGTGGTTTCTCGCGTTCCGTGGCCATCTTCGAGGGCGGCCTCGAAGAGTCTGGAAGATAGTCAGCGGGAGACTGAGCAGACCGCGCTGTATCATGCATATACTGACCGAGGGGTGTTCTACTTGAAAAGGTTCCAGTAGAATCAGACGTTCCCGGTCGATCAGACTCGGAGCTTACACTGTCTTGAGTGTCGGCTGAAGACTTAGATACAGCCGATACCGAAGTCAATGGCTTGCCGACGGCACTTGTAATGCGGCCAACGCTGGCAATCGCAGCGCCTAATGACGGCTGCATCCGAGGTTCTCGAGATTCACGAGTGGTGGGTCTCCTGCTGAGAGAATTGACCTTGGTAAGAGTGTTGGACTCTACTGGGGCCGTTGGAGGTTTGCGAAGTGGTACAAGCGTATCTCCCTTCTTTTCATCATAAGGTGAGATACGAGGACTATCAAAGTCAATGACTTCGTTTCGCCTGTACCCGGTTTCACTGTAGGCATTCTTGTTCTGCTGAGAATGCGGCGCTTTGGATTGTAGATACTGTTTTTGTTTTCGTTCGACTTCACGGAGATGCTCCTCGTGGCGAGCGAGCAAATCGGATTTGTCAGACCCAAGAGCTTGGCTTGCGTCCTGTACGGCCTCCGCCGGGGATGCTTTCCCTGTCGGAGCTTTGAGAGTGTTTTGCCGAGAGCCTAACAGCGGAGACTCTGGTCTGGTACGATGCGGTGACACGGGCTTCCTCGGGAGCTGGTGGTGTGTTGCCGTGGGGGACATATTGTGCTTGTCTGGGATATTGGGCTTGTCTGGGAATGAAACTCCCAGGCCATCAACTTGAGGAGTACTAGACAGCATAGGAAGCATGGGAGTCCCTCGTACAAACAGCTTAAGAGAACCGTATGCATCCGACTTGCTTCGACGCGTCTGTGCGAGATTTACGTCACTCAGAGGATCCTCGTGCTCGCTCTGCCCAGGCTGAGTGAGGTAGATCTGGGCACTGGCTGGGTCGACCGCGAGGCTTTGACAGATCCCCATACGCAATGAATCAAAAGATTCCAGATCAGTGATATCAATTAGCCGGAAGTTCAAGCCATCCGTGGTGACAAATATCCATTTCTTTGCCTTTGTGGTCGCCGTGGATGGACGCTCACCGACAGACATGTCGCTAGAGTTGTAATTAGGCTTTGTGTAAGGGAGATAGGCTTCATTCGGTCGAGTCTCCGGGCTCGTGGTAGGCGACGAGTCTTCATGTCCCTGATCAGGAGACGGCTGACTAGAAGCTGTAGCTTTTGTCTTCTTTTTCAGGATATTAGAGAAAAAGCCTTTATGCTCTTTGGAGTATGAAGACGAGGTTTGGTCATTCCATTGCCGACTAGAGGCATCCTGAGGCGAGGGGCGAGCGCCCTCTTGGGCTTGTCTACGCGAATCATAGTACCGGGATGTGGCGCCTCGACTGAACCCAGTGAGCGAGTCGGTGCTATTGCCCCGAGAGTGGTCATACTGTCTCAACGTCAGATCTCCAGTGGATGATGAAAATGCTGCATGAGCGGGTGACGCATGCTGCATGGCCGGACTGCCACTCTTTGGGCTTTCCTCATGGGGCCGAAGAGATGATCCCTGAAAAGTGCCCGATTCACTGCCAATGGACGGACTCTGGCGTCGATGTTCAGTGTTCATTCCCGACAAGGCACTGCGGGTATGCTCGGACCGCCCATATTCGGAACGCAACCAGTTTTCACGTGCCGGAGAGTCATTATATCTCGGTGAATCATGGCCAGCAGGGACCGGCATGGTAACAGAACGTTGCCCTGTGGGCTTTTGACCTTGGTTGGAGGCGTGCAATGCACTCAGATGATCCGGACTCACGTCATTGACACCCGGGACAGGGCCAGCAGAACGTGGCTCGGGGAAATTATTGGAAAAGTAAGCTGCACTGTTTTCAGGAAACGCAGTCGCCGGCGCCTGCGTCTGATTTAGGGGTGTAGAGACGACATAGTCTTGGGAACCATCATGAATTTGACGGATGAGTTTGCGCATACGCTTCCCTTCATCTCGTTCACGGCCAGGTTCCCATTTTTTGCCACTCCGGCCAACCTCCTTTGCCAATTGAGGATAAACCACTTGATGCATTTTTCCAAGATTTCCTCGCCCACCGGATCCATGTCCAAGTTCGAGGAAGTCAGCGCCTTCGAGCTCCAATGATTTGAATGTTTCCTGCCAATCGTTGGAAAACCCGTTTTTCGCAAGCCAGAGAAGCACACGATCCAATGGCCACTGGATCGCAGCTTCGCTGTGGGATAAACCACCTAGCGAAGTACCACTAGAGTTGTGACGATGACTTGTCGTCTTGATAAGCTCAGTATTCTGAGCTGTCCCCTGCTGCTGTTGGTTGTCATTCGACGTTAATTCATGAATGTTGCCATGAAGAGCGTAAGGCGAAGCTATGGTGCGACCTCCCGGGGTCTGTGGAAGGTTTGGGTCTGTTTTATAAGGGATTGAAGTATTGATGTGGTCATGCATCTGGCTGAGACCCAAACGTTGTCTCTCAGCATTGGTATGTGCATATGGGTCATATTGAGCAGCTCTTCCATGAGGGTCGAACAAGCCTGGAATGCCGACGCCAATAGTATCGTTCCCGGGTATATAAGTTGCGGATGTCAGGGCATGATGATCATGACGCGGAGGAACGATCGACAACTGAGCCGGTGGGCGACCGTATGTTAGATGCTGATTTGGTGCGGGGGCAAGAGGTGGCGGCGGTGGGAAGCCTGGGTTCAGCGCCGGTCTAGCCCAGTTTTGCTGCCAGCCAGCCTGGGCCCCATAGGTCGGCCCTGGAGGAGGCCCAGGAGGAGGGGGTGGCACCATCGTTTGGGCTTGTTGAGGTCGAGGCGGAGGTGGAGGCAGGTTCATGTGTTGTCCTTGAGTGGAAGGCGGGGGCCCCGGGACATACTGCTGACGTCCGTCCATTGTGATCGCCGATGTACCGTATCTGCCTATTTGCTGTAGTTATATCTGACTATCTCGACTGCGACGTTTAGGAGACGTTTGGGCGGAGGCGTGTTCGGGGTTGTTCAGGTATGATCATCCACGCATCATGCTCGACGTCCAAGGCACCAAACAAATGGTCGGATTTGATGGCTGAATACTCGTCGCTGATCGCTTCAGAAGGGCAGAACTGAAACGAATTTAGGTACTCGGTGCGTGAGTTGACATGGTTCGGATCGGCGTCCCCGACGTTATCGCAGCTCTTGGGATTGCGGAACAGACTGAGATCGCGCAAGGGGTTGGTAAAGTGCAAGATAATCGTTGAAATAAAGAGAGAAAGTCTTCTGAACTCAGTACATAGTTAGTCAACTGCCAAGGAGCTTCCTAAGGTTTTTAGATGGTGCGATTGGGTCGAAAGATTGGAAGATTGGGAAGTCAAAAGGCCGAAAGGTCGAACGAATGAAAATCCGAGGTGGAAGCGAGCGCAGAACAACCACTCCCTTACTTCCAACGTATTTCAGAAACAAATGAAACTCACCAAGAATTCTAGAAGGGATATATAAATGATATCAAATCTTTATCTTTTGATGCCTTGCCCAGGTAGTAGAGGGATCGTCACGTGGGTCTGATCGTCTTTCTATCCTGGGTGGCGTAGTTCCTTCCTATCTATATCTAGGACGTCTGTAGCTAGCTATATGGAGTACAATAAGGGAAAAAAATTATATCGTACTTTTTTTTTCCCACAACACTTGGGGTACATCGGAGACCCCGTCCGAAGCCCTGCAATCTCCCAATCTCACTGTGGCCCGTGATCTGTCACCTGGTACACGCCAATAACAGCCCTGTGGCGTCTGGCCAAAGTTTCGTCTACTAAGACATTGGAGAACATGGGAAAGACATAGTTTAGCGTACGGAGTACTCCGTATGCTTATAGCTTGTTTTGAATATTGGGAATAGTCTACTTCTACTAGTAATAGCAGAGAAGGCTATTGAGACTCTAAAAATGCAATTATATTATATCTCGCTAGAGAGATGTAAGAATTTTTTTGGGGTAAAAGTGCCCCGTTCTAACATAAAACAATCCATGTTCCACCCACGAGGCTTTATAAGACCAAATTAGAGAACAGTGCCCTTGTTCTGCTCCTTATCCACCCTATAATGTCTCCACATACTGATACACGGAATAGCAAGTACAAGAATTGCCGTCGCAGCAATGCAACCGTACTTCTGACTGTAACCGTAGGCGAAGTTGATCGCGTCACGCTCTTCAGTGCCGGGTAGATACTTCATTTGAGCAACATAGCCACCAGCATAGATGCTAGCCCACTGGTCCTTAGCCCTCTCCGGCAAGGCCTCACGCAGTCCCTGGGGGAAAGTGTTGGCGTAGATAGCAGCAGAGACGGCATAACCAATGGCACCGCCCAAGTTCGAGAACAGAGAAACCAGCGAGATCATCATGGGGATACCCTCACGATCAGATGCGCACATGACGGCCATCTGCTCGCCGATGACCATCATACCTCCAGCGAAGGCAATGAAGATCTGGCACATGATCACGTACCCGATATCGCTGTCTGAGCCGCGGAAGTGAATCATCAGTCCGGCGCCGAGGGCCATCAATGGCAGAGCGAAGAAGAGGCAGCTGTATTTGAACTCCTTCACGTAGCGGATCCAGAGGCCGAAGATCGGGGACCAGAAGCAGGATCCCACAGTGTAAATTGCTGTCATGTAGCCGGTTGTCGTGACATCGAGATTGTATACGATCATCACAAAGTAGTAGTAGTACAAATCCCAGGAATAGAAGCTGAAGTAGAGGATAGCTGAGAGACTACAAGCGCCAAAGACGGTGCGATCTTTGAAGAGCTGGTAGGGGATAAAGTGGGTGCGGGCAAACCATTTTTCCCAGGCTGCAAAGGCGAAGAAGAGGAGGAAGCCAATGACCAGGGGTGCGATAAAGGCGGCTTCGCCGTACTGAGCACGGCCGTAGTTGGCCAGGCTGAAGGGAAGGAGGAACAAGATAAAAGCCGCCATTAGGATGAAGGCGCCGATAACTGCACGTTCGGTTAGTAGACTGTTAAGTACAGAGAAGAAGTTGTATACACACTGTCAAACTCGTGCAAATAGTGAAGAATAGACTGCATCGTAGTCCGGCCGCTAGCTGGGCGTTGCAAGACACCCATCTTTCGAGCCTTCTTCTCATAGAACTTGAAGACACCAGCCAGAGGGAGGAAGACAAAGGGCATAATGATAGCAAAAGAGCCATAAGCCCAGCGCCAGTTGGAAGTCTTCAAGAAATGTGTAGCAGCCAAGGGGCCCGTGAAGGAAGTGCAGATGAAGGGCGTAGAGGCAAAGGCAAAGGCAAAAGCACGGTTGCGCATGCCCGAAGTATCGGCAATGAAGATATCTAGGATGATATAGATCGCATCATATCCAACCCAGTAAAGAACGTAGCCGGCAGCGTAAGTATTGGCGTTGTTGCAAGCAGCAAGAATGATAATACCAAGGATATACACGCCCGTGAAGATGATGAGACCTTCAGCACGTCCCCATAGTGTCAAAATCTTTCCGATGGGGAGCTTGAGGACTCCACCGACAATGCTTGCCAGGATGGTCGCAGTGCTAACCTGAGAAGCATTCTGGAAGTTGGAGTAGGCGTAATAAAGAACATTTGTGCCGATAGAGGAATGCAATGCCAACATGAAGAAGCAGACCCAAATCCTATAGATGTTAGGGTCTAGTTCATCTGACATTATTTTTCACAGCACTTACCAGGCATACGTCGCGAACACGGCCTTCTTGCTCCAGACCAAAGCAACAGCCTCAGCCTTGCGCACACCATCTGCAGCACTTGCGCTGACAACGTCGGGATGTTCCCGGATCTCCTTCTCCGCACGATCCAGGTTGTTCAGACCATCATCTATTGTGTTTTGCTCCACATTGATATCGGTCTTCTCGTTTTCTTGAGTTGGGCGCAGATCCTCAACGATCACATTGTCCTTCCGGCCACGGGTCAGGTTGATGACCCCCATGACTTAGTTCTAGGCGAGGATCTCTTGTAAGGTCCCCCGAAAAAAAAATTGGGAGTATGAGAGTAAAATCAAAGAAAAAGGACAATCGGGGGAATCAGCTATATATGGAGCATTTGAAGAGATTTTTGGTAGTTTTTTGGTTATAAGAGGTAACAAAAAAGAACTTGGAAGTGTGTATAGTGGACCAGCATAAACAGATCAGATAACCCAACCCATGGAATTAACTCTAAAACCGGAGCCGATACGCCACCTAACGTAGAACGGTGAGGTTCACCAATGCTTTTTACGGCTGAATTATGCCGATACAACACTGCGCAGTGGTTAGTTTATGGGTCCGTCGGCCAGGTCCGGCTTGTCTCCAGAGTTTGCCTACCTAGGCAGCCCATGAAAATCAGGTGTCCCGGCAGTCTCGGCAGGCAGGTTGTTTGATTTTTATTGCCCTGTCTAATTTCTATCTTGTATCTGGCAGGTACATCCAAGGGTCTAATGCGTTAATTGCAATATTAGAAGTAGTAGGTATATTAACTATCATGTCCAACACCCTATTCAAATGTTAAGACTCACTGAATGATGAGCCCCATCAAATGCAACCATTTTGGACCCCAAGGGCTTAGTTTGCGCTAAGTGGAGAGTCGTTCAATCAGATAATTTTGGAGCTCCACTCGGAACCAGGATGTCGTGCGATACAGAGGTGATTTCATAAATATTTTGTCGTAGATTTCAATGGGATGTACTAGAAACGATTAATGGGAACATAATTACTAGACAGTACTGTGAAATTTCCAAGGTTAGCATGTATACACTTGCGTATTTCCATCTTATCAGATGAAGATTATCAGATCAATCCAAAATCCATGGAAATCTCGCGTATGGACCGCTCTCGGGCTATTACAACCTTGGAAGGTTTCCCACGCCCTTGGTAGATGTCACACTCTCGGTGGATTTGCTTGGTTTCCTTGAAGAATATTTTTTCTCGGTTCTTTCACTATCGGGCGGAACTCGGTAGATCCGGATATATATTGTCACAAGCTTAGCTGTTTTAGACAATGACATCCCCAAGGCTTAGCAATGAAAAATAAGCCCTGCATCAGATAACCTAAATTGCAGAATCTACCAGAGAAAACTTGGAAGCATTTGCTTGGCAGTTTATGTAGCTTTAACTTTGAACGTAAGATGCTTAGTTTAACGTTATAGGTAGTGCTAGCCTTGCAGCCGAGAATGCTGGGTTGACTTTGCAGCTTGCATATCCTCATCTACTGATAGCTTGATAGAAAGCTTCCTCGACGACAATGGCATACAGCTAGACCTTTCCATTGGGTTTAGAGTGGAAGTGAAGATGTTCATGATACTCAATTATGAGCGTTATTAAATCGTGCCGGTATGTGGCCACCTCATTTCGAAGAACACGCCGTGAAAGCAAAAACAGAAAACAGAAAACAGACCACCAAGATCTAGATAATCCAGAGTTGAGATATTGCTAGTATGTCGCTTTCATGTGCATCGTGACATTACAACAAGAGTCGTTTTTTCGCGCTTCGCTTATTTGCCGTTCCGCTGCGCAGCAGCCTCAGCAGTCAGCTTCAAGGCTGCAGGGGCGTCATCGCGAGGCATGTACAGCTCGACCAACTAGAAACTATGTTAGTGGGCAATTTAGAACATTCTTGTATTGTTAACTCACTCGAAGCTTGTCGGACACGTTGAAGTCCTCGTCAGCAAACAGCTTGGTAAGTTCGTCACGAGTCTTGATACGGTAGCCTTGGTAGTTGTCCTTGGCTCCGAAGACTTTGGGGATGTTGGCAAACTCCCATGGCTGAATGTCGTTGTACTCTGCATCCCATCCGTGAATGTATCGCTCGATGGTGTAACCTTCGTTGCAGATAACGAAGCTGGAGATTGTCAATATATGAGATAATTATCGGTCGATGGGGATGCTTACACGATAGGGTTCAAATTCTTCTTCAAGATAGTGCTTAGTTCCTGCACTGTAAGTTGGATACTTCCGTCACCGATGAAGAGGATAGTTCGGCGGTCTTTCTGCTCCTTGGCAGCGAGGACAGCGCCCTGACAGGCTCCCATGGAATAACCAATGCTGCCCCAAAGAACTTGGCTGATAGCAGTCACGCCCGGGGGGAAGCGGGTTTCCCAAATACCAAAGTTGGCAGTGCCAGTCTCCGTGAGGACAATGTCTTTTTCTCTTAGCCACTGACCAACAGTTGACCAGAGCCAGTTGTGGGTGATGTTTGGATCGGTCGAGTGTTGCTCGCTTTCGGGAAGTCGGTTCGTGATGGTAGGTGTAGGAGAAACGTTCAGAGGTTGCATCCGTTCAACGACCTTCCTCAGAACACCTTTCATGTTGATATCAGGATACTCCGAGTACCGCACTCTCACAAAGGTACTATGGAAGTCGACGGTGTTCAGCTGTCCAATGCGATAAGTGAAACCGGTAGTATTGAAATCGGACTTGATCGCTCCAATGCTCAGAATAAGGTCAGAGGACTCGACGGCCTCACTGACTCCAGCGTTAGACCCGTTGCCAGCATAAACACCACCGAAGTTCTTGTGGTTCTCGTTCACGGCTCCCTTGCCCATTGGAGTCACAAAGGTTGGCAGGCCAGACTTCTCGACCAAGTCGCGCACTTCTTCCAGTGCGCGGTGACGAATGGCACAAGCGTCAACTAGGATGACAGGGTTCTTTGCAGCGTGGAGATACTTCAAGACAACGCCGACCACGTAGTCCTCCTTCTCCGGGTCATTCTTAGGCAGTGAAAGATCAATTGGGGTCTTCAGGCGATCGCCGTTGACCTTGGCAGCGACAATATCAGTCGGCAGAGTGATATACACTGGACGACTGCGGATCCAGCATTCCCGAATGGCACTGTCGATCAGAGTGGCAGCGTCCTGGGCGTTGGTCAGGTTTGCGACGTAGCACGAAATGCCAGAGCTCATTTTGGTGAAGACATTGTAGTCGCCGTTTCCGAGAGTGTGATGCAACAACATTCCATCCTTTTGAGACTGGGTGGTGGGCTGGCCGACGATATGGATGACTGGGACGAATTCGGAGTATGAGCCTGCGATGGCATTGAGGGCGGACAGTTCTCCGACACCAAATGTGGTGACAAGGGCACCGATACCGTTCACACGAGCGTAGCCATCAGCGGCATAGCCTACCAATTGTTAGATCCAGATCATTCATTCGTAGTTAAATCTGTCTTACCAGCATTGAGTTCGTTGCAGTTTCCAACCCAATTGAGACCACACTTAGGGAGGTAGTCCAATGCTGCAAGATTGTAGTCGCCGGGTAGACCGTGCAATGAGCGGATTCCAACCTCGTGAAGACGTCGGAATAAGTATTCGGCAACATCCATGGGATTCTTTAGCTCCCTGGTGGCAATATCGGCAGAAGCCATGATGAATTAGATAGAAGATGGATAATAGAGTGGTAAAATGAAGATGGAAGAGAGGGATAAGAGGTTATATAAAGACACATGGAACTTTTGCTGTACAGGATTTGGAAGGTGATACCACCTTAAGACTACGTCATTGACTTTGATGTCATGGCATGATTTTCTATTTTTACAATGTTGGATGTTGTTTTTTTACCAGTCATCTAGAACAAGATAAGCTTTTATTTCTATTTGTATCTACAACATGCAATTATAAAAAGATAAGTAGTAATAAGCATATGTTATATTGAAGCCAAAAGGTCGATCTCCGGCTAAACCCAAATCTACCGGCCGATCACACAAAACTCCGACCCCCCCACTACCTCTATCACACCACCCTGGTATATCAAAAAGCTTGGGTATAAATGGGAAAAAGAACTATGCCTGGACCAAATCATCATGCAAAGAAGAGAAAGGTTAGTATTTAAAACAAAATCTTGACTTTACCCACATTAACTGGGTTTAGGGTGGTGGAAAAGGAAAATATGGGAATCACACAGGGAAGCACTCAAGTCGCGCCGCTATCGAATCTGGCGATGTAGGTGTCTTTGTGACATGCGATATGGGCAAAGAAGGAAAATGTCTGTCAGAGGCATTGGACATTTTTTCTCATGTAAGATGAAATTTTCAATTTCTTTTGCACGATTATCCCTTCCGTTTCGCTAATTTTTTTTTCTAGGCCATCGAGGGCAATGAAAAGCAAGAGGAAGAGATCGATACTGATGATGAAGATATCGAGGCTCAGATCCAAAGGGAACTGGAGGGCTTACAGCCCAACAAGGACAAAAAACGTCGATTCCAGCCACTGCAGATGGACATGCCGTGTGGTAAGTCGGCGATTAATTCCAAAAACGCCATTCGCTTAGATGCTCGGCCCTCGGAACTAAGGTTCATTGGTACTAATCCGTGATAGTGACATTCATGCGTCTTGATCCTTCAATAGACCCTGTGGAGCTTGTGCACCGTTTGTGTAGCGAAGCATATGCCCACCCGGAGACCAAGAAGAGCCGGTGGATTAAGCGTATGCATCCAGTCACGTCAATCCGGAAGACTTTGAGTGTGGATCTAGCGGCCTTTGCGAAAGAGATTCTCAAGCCCCATTTCCATTCGGGAGGACCACCGAAGACGGTGAGTTTTAAACCCCCTTCCTCGCTCTTTGGGCCTCTGGGCAGTCGGCGATCCTGCTCATCTAGGAAATGATCCGATTACGCATCTGGCTGTGAGGGGAAATGTACTTTGAGCATTGCTGATTTGTCACCTAGTACGCAATCCGGCCTACTGTACGAGGTAACTCGAAGCTCAACCGGGATATGATTATTAAGACTGTTGCCGATGCTGTCGGACCGGAGCATCCGGTGAATTTGACGAACTATGATCTAATGATCCTCGTCGACGTTGCCCAAGTAAGTAGTAAAAAGCGAAGTCTCCCTTATTAGATTTGTCACTAACTCATCGCAGAACGTGATTGGAATGAGTGTAGTGCAAGGTGATTATGATAAGCTGAAGCGGTTCAACTTGGCTGAAATCTACGATCCCTCCCCGAAAGAAGAGACACCAGCCACAGCTACGGCCACTGATTCTAAGGCTTAGGATGAATAGCGCAGTGTTTGCCATAGTCACTCCAATGGAATTTTACTGTACATACTATCACTTGTGCTACTTATATTCCTCTTCACCGCTCATTTTATAGTAATTTCCACTTCTATCGTCACCTTTGTCTGCTATTATTGCGATGAATTCGAAGGTATCTCATAATTGTAGAAAGTAAGAACTCTCTATAGGAGCGAAGTCATTAAATAGGAAACAAACTAAGAGACACGAGTCAGGCAGACTAGTCTGTCTCCACCCATTGCAATTCATATATAGGCATGGCAGCTGTCAGAAAGGGTGGGCGCGGCAAACTTTCGCTGATAGCCAGTCCTTTCATACATCCATCGCAATATTGAATAACTCTGAATATTAACTTTGACTTTGTGTGTAGCGAGGGTAAATTTGGAAAGCCATAAGATATCTTTGATGCGGTCTGGAGTATTAAATGCACGGTCAACGCAAATATACCCAGAAACGATCATGTTTAGCGAGAGACCCTCTAAGGGTCCACTTGACACTGTCGAGATCTGCGCCTAGTATTGAGTAGACCATTGCCCGCCTGGGCAGGTGAAAGCACTATGATAAGAGGTAATGAGATATCTACAGCTAGGAAGACCCCTGTTATGCCTATGTATTTTTTATATTTTTTAGGGTTTCTTGAAGTATGGAAAAAGAATTATTCTAGAAACATTAGAGTGATATGATTGGCTTTTGCGTATTTGACATCAACTGCATCGACGCTAAAGCATCTTTGACGTTACATTTCGGTCTTTGATACTCCGCACCCCGTCTACGGATACATCCCCTGCAGGGCTATGTCAGAGAGTCCGAAAAGTCTCCATCAGCTATCTGGGGGCCAACGAGGTAATTAAAACCGGCCCAAAAGAAAGAGATACTATGAATAATGAGAATCTTAGGTATTTATGAATTTGAAACTAACATTTCAAAGCAAAATCGTGAAATACCCAATGTCTTGAAGGTATAAACGATGTCTGTAAAGTAAAAATATCAGCTCGGGAAGGAACCGAGAGAAGAATAGAAGTTCGATTTATATTTTGATCGGACGGGAAAAGGAATTCGGCAAGAGATCATTGTGATTGGTCAGGGCTCCTGTGCTCGGATGATCACCTTTCTTAGAGCGGGATCCTTAGGCGAGACGGCTTCACTTTAATTTACTTGTCCCATATTTCTTATTAACTGACCAATGTGATAATACCATCCTTGCACCCGTGGGAAATGCTTTCTCTCACATTCTTCCAATTGGATCCACTATATTCAACCTCGGATATGGGTTCTCTCTTACGTATCTCGCGTGAATAAGCCTAGAAGAGCCATGGCGGAGATACGCTTTGTCACTGTCTCTCTAGATTACGTATATGGAGTTTAGATATGGTGCTGATATTCAGCCTATACGAGAAAATCCGTTTGGAGTTACGCGAATTCCCTTTTCTAGAAGTGGGATTTTGCGCCACATCTACTAGGAGTATGATTTTCAATCCAAACTACTACCCTGGCTTATATCTGTTCCTTTTGACTTGGCTCTATGGGTGCCTTGTTCATACATGATCGGCCCCCGGCAATTTCTTTTCCCATTCATCATAGTCTTGCGTATATAGCATCCTCTATTCCCGAGGTCGCCAATATTCCCCACCAAATAGATCACGATGCAACAACTTGACTCGACACAATGGTCTGCCATGCCATCACTCAAGAGAACAAACACTCACGGTGAATCTTTTCATCGGCAATCTCATGCCACCGAGGCAGATGAACACCATAGATTAGATTATGTCCTCTCGCTGCTCTATCCTTCTACAGTCCGTGTCCAACACTCACATCCGATTTTCGGCCACATTCATTCGCTACGACTTCTGACTCTATCGAATGGAGCTCATTTGTTGCTAAAGGGATCTCCATCCTCAAGAACCGCCCTCCTTCGACGTGAGCGGTTGTTTCTCGAAACCGAAGCCCAGTTCCTTGCTCTTCTAGGGCAAAGTGCAAACCCGTGTATCCCCCAGCTCTATCATTATGATCCTCATGGAAGCCATTGGGGATCTGCCTACTTGATCCGGCAGTACATGAAAGGGAAAAGTCTGTCAGAGATGGAAGGTGAGCTCACTCCCGAGCAGCGAGATGGTATCGATCGCCACTTGGGCTTCTTGGTGAGCACCATCGGTCAAAATGCAGCACCTGGGTTTGGGTCTTTACAGCAAGTCGCATTTGGCGCTGGAAAAACCTCCTGGCGGGAAGCCTTTTGTGCCATGTTTGAAGGCGTCCTTCGCGACGCCGAGGACATGTTCATCCACCTCCCTTACTCGGAGATCCGACACGAACTGAGTCGCCTGGCACCTGCCCTTGAAGATGTATCTCTGCCACGTCTTGTAGTCGTGGACTTTGGTCGACCATCTCATGTTTTGGTGAACGAAGAGTCTGGACAGTTGTCTGGCATTGTGGACTTTAGCAGTGCCCTGTGGGGCGATGTGTTGATGGCAGAGATCTTCGCAAATGCATCGCCGGCGGTGTTGCAGGGAGCAGGCATGGCGATGTCTAGGACAGAGGAGGAAAATATCCGGTTGGTCTTGTATGTCCCGAGTACTATCTACCGTCTCACTTTAATGCATTGTTGCTAACATTTCTCATTAACGTAGGTATGCGTGCTACCGACTAGTGTCCCAAATCACTGTCCAATATTATCGAAACCGAGATGAGACGAGCGAATTTGATGCGCGGAGACGATTGACAACGACAATTGCGGAAATGACGAGGCTTAAACTGGAATAACAGGGCAAGATGATTTGAATGGTGCTTTATATGTCCAACGTGATACTACCTAAACCATCACCCTTAAACTGGTTCTGTTGCATAGCGATCTTTCTTGGCATGTAATTTGGAGTTGTGTTCTTTTCATATTGATATATAGCGGGGTTGTTTTGGCCAAGGTGTGCCACTTCAAAATACAATTCGGTCTTCATCTCAATACGTTAATAGAACATTGTATGTTGTATAAAAGAAAGGAGAGAAGAATACCGTTGCCTTCAATGCCAAGTCGGAACTGATAGGGCGATAGGGCGGAGCGGGGCAGATCCCGTTGTTTAGCCTTCTGCATGGCGTCAATGGTGTTCTCTCTCCACAGACCACTTCAACTTTTCCATAACCTGCTACTCTATCGCAGATGGCTCAGTTCCTGCGAGGAAAGCAAGCTGGTATCCAAAAGGACCTGTCCGAGGGCTTGTCCCCGGACTTGTTCCTCTTGGACGATGTAAGTTCTTGGCATCCTAGGCACCTTCTTTTCCCCCAACTGACCCCTGTTCTCAGTTCGCCCGATGTGGCGTGAATTCTCAGATCAGTGCTATTGCCTACGATCCCGTACAATCCCTCATTGCGGTCGGCACCAGTGATACCCAGTTCGGAAGCGGCCAGATCTATGTCTTTGGGCAACGACGGGTCTCGGTGGTCTTTGAGTTCCAGCGGAAGGCGTCCGCGCGGTTCCTTCAGTTTTGCGCCGACAAACTGATCAGCATCGACTCCAGGAATGAGATCTCCATATACTCCTTGATCACTGGGCGTGCGATAGTTTCCTATGCGCCGCCGGGCCAGGTGACTGCCTTGTTAACGGACCCATGCTTGGATTATGCGTTTATCGGCTTGCAGAATGGTCCGTAGATCGCCTGGAGGAAGAAAATAACTGATCACTGACATTTGGATAGGTGAAATTATTGCGTACGATCTCGATCGAGAGTCCATGACTCCGTTCAAAGTTCCGAACTTGTGGTTGGAACGAAACCCCCGCGCGCGGTTCTTCCCCGTCGTATCTCTGGAGTTCTCCCCGCGAGACATTGGCAAGATCCTTGTGGGGTATCCAGAGGGGGCGGTGACTTTTTCATTCAAGCAAAATGTTGCTCAAAAGTACTTTATCTATGAAATCCCTCCTGGGGCACCGGGTGGAGACTCCCTGCCGTCCAAAGACGTGCGCAGACCCAAATTGACCAACGCGATCTGGCACCCCAACGGTATCTTCATTTTGACCGTTCATGATGACTCGACTCTAGTGCTTTGGGATACAAAGGATGGCCGTAAGCTTCATGCCCGGACTGTCCAGACGCCCAATGTCGACCAACCAGGTGCTGGTGGCAGACCGGGCTCACCCGGAGAGGCTCCTGGACCCAAAGAGCCGATAACAAAGGCTATTTGGTGCACCAAAGATAACACGGATGAAACGGGTCTTCTAGTGGCTGGTGGTCGACTATCAGGCGATCAGACCAAGGGCCTCGTTTTCATGGACATGGGCCCAACCCCCAATTATCAGACCTCCTCCTGGCAAGTACTGTCTACATACCTCGAGCGGCCACGACGACAGATGAGTCTTTCAGTCCCGCCGGGAGCTAAGGTTGTGGACCTTTGCCTCATTCCCCGGTCCTCGCCCTACTTCAATGGCGCCCATGATCCAATCGCACTTATCGCTATGCTATCCTCGGGTGAAATCATTACCTTGAGTTTCCCCAGTGGACACACAATCACTCCCACTAACATGCTTCATCCGTTCCTCACTTTTGTCCATCCCTTTGTAAACAAAGCTGTGCTTAGTTCCGTTGATCGGACAGTGTGGCTTGGTCTGAGAGAGCGCCGGCTGCAAGGACCCAAATTTGCGACGGGCGGCGTAGAAGCGAAGAACCCTCTCAGGCGCTTCGAGAACCGCAATGTTATTTCAACTGCACACGCAGATGGAACCGTCCGTGTCTGGGACTGTGGACACGATGATGAGATTGAGAACCCCGACGTGGTTCAAGTTGATCTTGCCCGTGCCATAGGCCGAGTCGGCAATATCGAAGTGACCGAAATGTCTCTTGCCTCAGGTGAGATGTCTATTGGACTCAAGTCCGGAGAGGTTGCTATCTTCCGATGGGGGAATAACCCCTCATACGGGCGCGAGGAGTCTCCTGGTCCCAATCAAGGGCCAGGAAAACTGACTCCAATAACTAATCGAACGGACCCTGGTCTCAAGACGGGAATGCTACCTCTGACTCTCTTGGATATGCAACAAGGTCCGGTGACGGCGTTGAAGCATGGACAGGTTGGCTTTGTAGCGGCCGGCTACCAAAGTGGTTCAGTGGTCATTATCGATTTGCGCGGGCCCGCCATCATACATACCGCGCATCTATCAGACCTTCTCAAAGGGCAGAAGCGGAGTGGTTTCCTCAAGAATCGTGCCTCGGGTGAAGTCCATCCAGAATGGGCCACGCAGATTGAATTTGGTGTTATGACTTTGGACGGCGAAGGTACCTATGCATGCCTCCGGCTAACGAATCGGACCAATGTACTAACCATATTCTAGACTACTCAAGCATTTGCTGCTTTGTCGGCACAAATAGGGGCAATGTGGTAACATTCAAGATCCTTCCTGGTGCTAATGGTACCTACGAAGCTGTTTTTGCTGGATCATCGGCCGTTGAAGACAAGGTTATCAGTGTCATCCCCATTGATGCGGATTCCGGTGGTCTTGCTTTGGCTACACCAAGTGCAGTCGGAGGCTTGAGGACTGGTACGAAAATTAATGGTGTCGTCATTTGCGTGACTGCCTCTGGCTGTCGAATCTTCAAGCCCCCAGCATCAAAGGGTGCCCACAAGTCATGGGACGACTATCTCTGCGACTCAGCAGCCGTCGTCAAGACTGAAGGACGAGGCTACAGCTTGGTCGGTCTCTTCGGTGACGGCCAAGCTCGAGCATTCTCGATACCTGGTCTTCGAGATATTGGTCGCACCAAGATTGACCATATTTCGGATATGCGACGTCTCTCGGAATCTTGCATCACCCCTACTGGAAACATCATGACATGGGTCGGCCCTTCAGAGATCGGAATGTTCAATGTCTGGGGAAGTGGAAATCCACTGTATGGGTCCCTCCCCCCCCAACACAAATCAATTTTCTGAAACATGGTGCGAATGCTAACACTGCCCGCAGATACCCTTCAAAGGACAAGCTTTACAACCCAGAAGCCGTGGTTCCCCCGCGTCCTACCATCACGAACGTCCAATGGATCTCCGGTACACAATATATTTCGCCGGCTGACATGGACATTCTGAGTACGTCAACCTCACCCAACATCTCTCTAACATGAGTCTAACAGCAAATCTAGTCGGCGGCCCAGAGCGACCACCATCGAAGCAGATGATCGAGCAAATGAAATTCGAAGACCAAGAACGTCGGAAAGCCTTGAGAGAAGGACGGACCCCACCAGCTCAACAGGGTGGCAGCCAGGAAGGCTATTTGTCTTACATGTCACGTCAAGTCCAGGAACGCACTGAGCGTCTTGGGATTGTCGGAGATAGCATGGACAGACTAGAGGAGAACAGCAGCGGCTTTGCTAACGACGTTAACAAATACGTACAGTCACAAAAGAAGAAAGCTGTCCTTGGCAGTAAGTTCAGCCTTCAGTCCACGGACCCATGTGTCTAGTGTCTAAACCCCTTGCATGACTGTTGCTGACCGATACTTGACAGTGCTTGGTTCGAAGTTTGGCTTTTAGGCGATATCTCATATTGAGTACAAGGTTTTTTAAAATGGCTGAGCTGTACATAGGAGTTTTCTTTTCGGCGTCGGGTTAGTTAGGGCATGTTGTCCAAGAGAGAAGTGACAGATTATTTTGCAATTTCACCCTTCTTCCTGGCTTCTCCAGGTGATCCACCTTCATCGTAAGATTTTAGGCATTGCATGGCCTCGCAGCTGTTCCTGCTACTTGTTTAGGCGAAAAGAATCTGAATGGCTAGCTAAAGGCCAGTGGTATTTAAAATTATTCAACTTCTATTTCATAGATAGACCTATGATAGATAGGGTAAGAACATGGAAAATCTGTCCAAGGGTCGTAAACATTGCGTTCTGGCTGTCGTTAAATAACATTGAAAAAAAAGTAAGGGTTGAAAAGCAAGAAAACCACTCCTGTGAGAGTCGGTGGCACGCCATGATCTAGTGTACCATGAGCTCGGGCTGCGGCTGGTGAGTTGGCTTGGCAGCATCGTCCTTGTGTTCTGTGTCATCGCCCATCTCAACATCGTCGTCGCCATCACCACCCTCTTCCTCATCAAGATCATCCTCATCGTCGTCACTCTCCGCCTCAAGATCTTCACTCTCGGCATCGGAGATCTCTTCTTCGTCATCCTCCTTGCCAGTAGCGGGCTCGGTGCCTTCCATCTCATGGTCATCGCCCTCGGCAGGCTTGTTGGACTCCTCGAGCTCCTTGAGGAGTGCAGCCTCGAGCTCGCGCTCTTCGGCGCCGTAGGCAGCACTGTCATCGTCGAGACCATCGGCCTCGGGCTGGTCAGGCGGGTACTCTGCGGGGGCAGAGTCATCAGAGTCCCTATGGAGAAAAAAAAAAGTAAATAAAAGCCCCACTAGGTATGTAAACAAACAAAACAAGGGATCTCACCATTTGATGGCGAAGCGGGTCACTCGAGGCTTCTCGGCGAGGACATTGCGGCGAATGCGTTCGATAATGGGCTTCGCAGGAGGCTCGGCTGCCAGCTCCTCGCTGTCGTACTCGTTGTTCACGTAGTAGCCAACACGGACGAACTCTCGGCCGTCGTAGCTGCAGGTGAGCAAGATGACGGTGACGCCGAGCATCTCGGAAGTAGGAATGCGCTTGACATCAGGTGCGTCGGCTTCGAAGATGAACTTGTTAACTCCGACCGGAATGGGACCGACAAGGAGGGAGTCGAGTTCTTGGTCATACTCAGAGCTGTGAAAGTTAGTGTTTGCGAGATTGGTAGGAGACAGGGAGTATTGGGAGGGTGGACGTACGAAGTGGCGGATCCGACGTAGGTGAGTTTCCATTCCAAATCTAGAAGAGTTTGTTAGAAGACTCGATTGGGAAGATGGGAGGACAGGACTCACCCTTCTGGAGCTGCTCGAGGCATTCGAAGGTGATTTCGAACTGGTAAGAAGCGGTGAAAGGAGCCGGGTTGTTGAGGTTTTTCACCCCGAGGAGTGAGACGACGGACATTGTGGTAAGATAGAGTATGTACGGATAATTAAAGAGATGAAGTGGCAAGAGTGGAAGATTGTATGAACAGGGGAAGAAGAAGAAATTAGGAAAAGTAAGAGAAATCAACAGGTCCACAAGAATGCAGTTTACTCTCAACCCCTCTAGCTCAATGCGAGGAGCCCATCGATCGACGCGCCTTTCGCGTCCCTCGCATTGTCCTCACCGCCCGCACGTGACCCCAATTTCACTACCCAAGCAACTTGCATCACGCAGCTTTGCTCTTCTCCATCTTAGCTATTTGCTATCAGATACATTGCGGCTGAGGGTTATCTCGTCAAAAGTGGCTGTGTTCCACCTTAACCCTTGACCCTCGGAAGATTTATCTTCATTTTACATCCGATATCACAACGCGCAAACCCTGCTTCGGCGCAAGCCGTGCATTTGTCACTCTCCCAGTTGCTCACTTTTCTTTGACCTTGTGCTTATCCCATTCATCCTCTCATCATGGCGGACGATGAAGCTGAAAATGCCTTCTTTCAGGCCCAAGCCCTGAATACTGATTCACAACCCCCCATTGAGGAGCAGGAAGGTGATAACTCAGACGCAGAATCCGATGACTACGACCCCTCACTGGCATTGGGGGATCAGTACTCGGCCTCCTTTTCCGAGTCTAAGCAGCCTGATGCTGGCCTCGCCGATCCATCTCCCTCGGATGAGACCGATGATTCCATTCCCAACCCGACTGTCACCTCAGACGCAGATGTCGCCCCAGACGTAAACGCAGACGCCAGCCAGACCAGTGACTCCCCCGACCTTTCTCAGAACCCCCCACCTGCTCAGTCGTCGACTCCCGTGCCGGCGTCTGCTGCTGAGGCACAGCCCAAGACCAGAACAATTGGGGGATTTGAAGTTGATGAGGATGAGGATGACGAGGGTGATGCGGAGTATGAGCCGCCAGCTGTACTTGGGGGCGAAGATGTGACTGCTATGCCTGTGACCATGTCTGAAGATCCCAGCTCAGGAAATGCAATGCAAAACACTTCCCCTGATGTATCATCACACCAAGCTGAGCAGGGACCTGCCAGTGGACCAGCTGCCAATAGTTCTTATTCTCCTGTTCCTGTTCCTAATATTGATCCTTCTTCTGTTCCTGGCCAATCGCACTGGTCTGCTCAAGAATTGCAATCCGCAACCATGCAGAACAGTACTGTCCCTACTTCTGTACCTGACTCCCCTGCCTCAAAGGGTCGCTTGGCCCATGACCGTGTGGGCATGCTGGAAGACCGGATTCGAGAGGACCCCCGAGGTGATATCCCTGCTTGGTTGGAGTTAATTGCCGAGCACAGAGGTCGCAGCAGACTAGACAGCGCACGCGAAACCTATGAACGGTTCTTGAAGCTGTTCCCCATGGCGGTAAGCCTACCTTTGCTCCCTTTATTTGTCTTTTTTTTTTCTCTCCCCAAGGTACAAGATGGCTAATGGATATACGTTTTAGGCCGACCAATGGGTGGCTTATGCCACCATGGAATCTGAGCTCAATGAATTCTTCCGCTTGGAGCAGATTTTCAACCGAACGCTCCTGACGACCCCCAGCGTTCAGCTCTGGTCTGTCTACCTTGATTACATCCGTCGTCGTAACCCTTTGACGTCAGACGAGGCAAGGAAGACCATTTCATCGGCATATGATATGGCCATTCAATACGTTGGGATGGACAAGGATTCCGGAAATATCTGGACAGACTATATCGAGTTCATCCGTTCTGGGCCAGGCATCGTTGGTGGATCTGGATGGCAGGATCAACAAAAGATGGACCTACTGCGGAAGGCATACCAACGAGCCATTGGCGTACCGACCCAAGCCGTCAATACTCTCTGGAAGGAGTATGATCAATTCGAGATGAACTTAAACAAGCTCACGGTAAGCCGGGCAGTACTCAAATCCAACCTAACTCATCTTAACATTCTCAATCAGGGCCGCAAATTCCTTCAAGAACATTCTCCATCCTACATGACTGCGCGGAGCTCATACACCGAATTGCAAAACATCACCCGCGATTTGATTCGCACTTCGCTTCCACCGATGCCTCCTGTTCCGGGGTCTGAAGGTGATGTTGAATTCGCGACACAGGTGGATATCTGGAAGCGCTGGATCGCATGGGAAAAAGAAGATCCTCTGGTTCTGAAAGAGGACGACCCTGCTGCTTACAAGTCACGCGTGGTGTACTTCTACAAACAGGCACTCATGGCACTGACCTTCTTGCCTGAAATGTGGTTTGATGCAGCTGAGTTCTGCTTCTTGAACGACATGGAGGATGCTGGCACCGAGTTCTTGAAGAACGGCATTGATGCAAACCCAGAGAGCTGTCTACTGACATTCAAACGCGCGGACCGCCTGGAGGTTACCTCAGATTCAGAACATGATTCCGCTAAGCGCGCTGCCAAGGTCCGGGAACCATACGACAAGTTGCTTAATGCACTTTACGATTTGATCAATAAGGCTCGCGACCAGGAAACCCAGGATGTTTCGCGCATTGAAGCTTATTATACCCCACAGAATGTGGAAGGTCAACCTCAAAGTGAGGATGAGGGTGATCCCGAAGCCAAGGAAAGAGAAGCTGCCAAGACAGCACAGATTGATGCGGTCCGGAAGGCCCATTCCGTTCAGATCAACATCATCTCCAAGACCCTCTCCTTCGCATGGATCTCTCTCATGCGTTCGATGCGTCGTATCCAAGGCAAAGGAAAACCAGGAGAAGTGGCCGGCTCTCGCCAAATCTTTGCTGAGGCCCGGAGGCGAGGTCGGATTACTAGCGATGTTTATATCGCGAGTGCTCTGATGGAGTACCATTGCTACAAAGATCCTGCGGCTACGAAGATCTTTGAGAGGGGTGCAAAATTATTCCCGGAGGATGAGCACTTTGCGCTCGAATACTTGAAGCATCTGCTCGACATCAATGATACCATCAGTAAGTCGATCATCGCGTATTTCTGATATACTTACTAACCATTACCAAAGATGCCAGAGCCGTGTTCGAAACAACAGTCAGAAAATTGACATCCAACCCAGAGAATGTGCAAAAGGCTAAGCCCATCTTTTCCTTCCTCCACGAGTATGAATCTCGCTACGGTGACCTTACCCAAGTGATCAACTTGGAAAACCGCATGCGCGAACTGTACCCGGCGGACCCTACTCTCGACCAATTTGCCAATCGTTACTCCGACTCTACCTTTGACCCTACATCGGTGCGACTGATTTTGTCCCCATCCCAGACACGGCCAAAGACTACCATGCCAGGAATCTCTACGGAAACCCACGGTTCCCCCATGGCGAGATACATGGATACTTCTCTCAACTCACCTAAGAGATCCTACCCCACTGATGATTACGATGAAGACTCAGGTCGTCCACGAAAGTTCGTTCGCGCTGAGTCGCCAATGAAGAGCGTGCAAGCTCGGCGTCTTGACCAGCCGAAACGAGTACAACAGTTGAACGGCCAAAGCACCTCATACAGACCCCAAGGATCTCCAGCTCCCCTGCCTCGTGAAGTGGTGAACCTGTTGAGCATTCTGCCTTCCGCCGCTGCCTACAATATCACCCGCCTTTCTCCCGAAAAAACAATAGACCTTCTTCGCCACATTGACATTCCTTCCGACATTTCCCAAATACAGATCCCGCAAGCTGTACACGGATCAGGTGGAGGCCAAACCCCCGGAATGAACCCTTACTCCGGTTACCGTTGAGCTCGTTCGTTTCTGAGGACCACCATTATTCCACTTGCAGTGTAAAATTTCTTGCTCTTGCTTTTGCCATTTCATTTCCCCGGCGCACAAAATATCCCGATTTGTCTTTGAGAATTTGATGGGCCAAGCTCTTTTTCTTTCCTGGGGGGTATTTCATGAAACATGGTCGGGGCATACGCAGAGCCCTCTTGCATCTTCGGCGTTGATCTATCTGGCATTTCTTTTTTCTTCTTTCTTCGAATGGGGCCACCGCAGGTCATCAATATTTGTTTGCTGGTTGAGTCGCTCCAACTATGCTTTTTGTACAGAGCCAAATAAACAGATAATCTCACAAATAAATTAAGCAAGCACACATGCACTCAATTTTTTAGATGCTTCTATGGTTGTCTTTAGTATTAAGCAAAAGGTCTTTTCACAATCTAAGCCTTTTTGCGTCTTTTTTTTCTTGCCTCGGCCTATAAAAGTAACAAGACAAAGAAAGGGAATATCAGAGTTACTGCTACCTCGTATATCCCAACTAAGGATGCACCTCAACCCCAACAACAGATGCCTATGCCATCGAGATTACCAAAGACTTTTAAGGTTAAACTTAGGAAGAAACCTTGGAAATCATAGGTGGGGCATATATGGAACCTTGGGAACAGCAGGGGTAGTGGGGCCCCTACGTCATTTGATAACAACTACAATATGAATCATCATGTGATTAATGTCACCGTTCTTTTGAAAGAGTTCCGGACAGTCCCAGCTTTGCTAAAGTGAGAAAATTCCAACTTCCATTCCTCTGGTATTAATAGTGATAACTGCTGGTTTCCATTTCACTGGACAAATCTTGGGCAATGATCTTGTCTCGTCTATCTCTAGTCTTCTCGACTTAATAGGTGTCCCCAGACCTTCTTTGGGGCAACTATCTACTCACTGTTTATGGAGTTCCCACGATTGTGGATGTTAGTACAGCATTATCTCGATTGGCCGTAGCATCCACTAATGTTCAACTAGGGAGTTGCTTTTGTTATTCCAGATGATTTCACGCAGGTCGCATTCTCTTCACTTATGAGTGCTGGGTTTTTACCCTGTAACCAAAGCTCAGACTGTCCGCACTCACATACTTTGCGATCCCGATCCTCACCGTCGTTTAAGCACCTACATATCAATGATGAGCTTGCGATCCTGCTTTATCGGAAATCTGATGTGCTATGGGAACTCGAAGATCTTAGGTACCTGCCTGAGAAAAACCAAGATATTATGATTGCATCGGACGATCGACTCCCGTCGGCATCTCCAGGTTGTGGCCATGGACGCTTCTCGTCGCATACTTGTAGCGTAAAAATCCCTAGTGCTGTGAGATATTGTGAGGCCCTGATTTTGTTGCTTTGCCGTGACTATGACTCTTTTTACGAGACTTTTTGGTTGGCTATGTTGACCTATGTGTTGGAGTATGTCGACGATACGGATAGCTTTGATGAAAACGAGCTTCAAGATGGCTGCAGAAAGTTTTACCACGCCCTCAAACAGGGAGATCCTGAGATGTGGTCAATACTGGATGAGCTCCGACTCCGCCTAATTGAAGAGCGTCGCATCCCAGTGATAAATGATCAACAATGCCGGGACTCAATCGATGGGACTCCATGACTGACCAGGTGTTGCCAAAATCTCCGCGTTTCGCAAGGCTCTTAGCGCAACACTTCACAACACTTCACAACAGGCTCCATCAGCAGCTCAACCTCCCGCGAGCGGGGGCAGCTCTACTAAGTACCGGACTACGACTATGAGACTATTTCCTCCGAATGTGTACCTCAACCTGAGGTCGCTATTGAGCAGTCATTTGTGCAAGCTGTTCCTGTGTGAAGGGGAGACCTGGCAGTTGGGGGCCCGTCCCTGGGGCCTCCGGAACAGCCACGGGCTGGCTCATCTGGGTTGTACCTTTGATCCGTGCTTCTGTTGTATCATTAGTTTTAGGTCTCTTCTTCGAGGTTTGCTTCCTGGTGGCACACTTAGCACCTTCGGCCGTGGTTCCAGTTTGGGTCTCCTTCCAGACGCTCAGCAGCTTGCAAGCTACAGTGGTAGCAGTGACAGCAGGAATTTTACTTGTACTACTCAGAGGTATACTCCCTATAAGCCACATAGCAATAACCGTATGGAGTTCCTTCAAGGCCTGGAGGAGAGTGATGGCGATTGATTCAGAGCCACCATACGATTGGTTCTCAGGGACCTTCGACCTCATCATTTGATTCTAATTGAGTAATTCCCCATGGCTTTCTTTGGCATAGATCCGACAATTATATGCATTGAGACGACGCCTTTTGAAAAAGGGGGGTGTGTGTGACGATTTATAAATGTAGATGCCTGCTGCCGTAGGGGTCCCTTTGATATTTAGGTAGATAAACCGAACTATGCATCAAATGTTGAGCTGCATAACACCCCGACTCAAAGCACTCTCGATCTTTTCGATGGTTTCCCGTCGGGATACTGCTCTCGATGGAAGTCGGTCTCGCATCCATGGGGGTTATCTTTGAGGGTTTCACCACAGCACTTAAACGTAAAGCAGTGTGGAAAATCCTCGCGCATTTCATCGTTGTCCACTTCAAACTCCCAATTGTCGACATAGAGCTCTTCGCCTGTAGGCTCATTTTCCTCTGTTGTAGATTAGCTTATTGCACATACTGGATCGCGGTATCCACTTTGGCGCAATCATACTGGGATGATATCGACAGGCTTTCTCCGTATTGGTAGTGACATCAAATTCCTTCTCGCAATTGATGCAAAACGTGTAGCGTGAAACAAGTCTCTTACTGTTGTCGGAGTTCTCTTTGGTATCGGTGGCTATCACCAGCAGCTGACTCTCGGCTTCTTTGCGCGCCTCGTCATTTTTCGCGCAGATGGTTTTGAGAACCGCGCGTACCGTCTGGTCGGACGCATCATTGATCGCGCAGTCGAGGGCTGTGGCCTCGGGCACTTCCTCTGTAACTGTCATGATGGTGTATGTGGTCTGTCTAGTGTTAGTGGGGTTGAGTTCGTAGGTTCTAGGTCAGGTCCACGGGTGACTCCAGGCCTCGTCAATTGAGTTACCTAATCGGGAAGAAAGTTGACACCTTGTTTTTATTATCCTGCAGGTTCTTTGATCTCCTATATATATTTATAAGATTAGCCGGCCGCTTATGTGGCATTGTGATGTGTCTTCAGTGGTATTTTCTGTGGTCATCTTTGATCTTCCCTTTCGGCGTGAAACAGACCTGTCTGAATATAATCCCTGACTATGTATTGTGGTTGAAAAATATGATTTAGAAGAATCTCTGAACATAAAGTACCCTTTATATGAGGGCCCTATATAAAAGGTACCTAAAAGAACAAATTTGCAATCAGGCTAGGAATATGTTCTCTTCTAGCATCTGCAAATGAACCTCTTCCAATCCACAAGCAATACACTTATCTCACTGGCAATTTTTCTTTGCATATTTCACTTAGATCTCATATCTCGCGCCCATGCCTGTCGCCATTTGACGTACCAGCCGGACATAATTGAATGCTGGATAACAAAAATACATACAAGAAGATATCTATTTCTCACTTTCACTTCGTATTATGAAGATCTATTCCTTGCTTGGAATACGTTACGTCTAGACTAAAGCTGTCGTTGCCATCATTAAGCCTGAGCCGTATGTTATCGTGCACTCCTTTATGGGTAGGGGGTGAGACGGCGCCGAACCACAACAAACAAGCAGGGGAGGTCTACTCCGTACGCGGAATCTCATCGAAGGAAATAGAAAGATAATCCCGGTATCTGCCCCCCTCCGTTAACCAGCAGAAGTTGGAAGCAAACAGACTTAATTGGTGAAATGTAAGATCAGCTCGTTTGCTCTTCGTTTACTCTCAAATTTCATCCGGACAGGCTGTTTGCTGTTTTCCCGGCAGGGCATGCTATTAGTCAATTTCTGTCTGACCTTTTGACCAGTCACAGTGGCTAGAGACTACCTATCTAATTTCATTATGCAGAGCATTGTTGCCAAGGGGAAAGCAAGTTTCCGAGCTAGGTTATTGGGTGCCGTTCACTGGCAAACACTATGACTAAGGCGTTAGGATAGCCCTGGCTCAAACAATTACACACTTACATTGTAAAAGTATAAGCACATACAGAAATCAATTCGAATAAACTTTTTAAGAGGCCAAGCAGATTCTGATTTGAGCTTTAGAATACTCTTTGGAATCTCCACTAAAAGTGCGAGATGTCTCAGTGCCGTGGTACATGATGTTGTAGATCCCAAGCCTTTTTGATATCGAGCTTTGAATAACTGTTTCGGGACTTTGACTCAAAGTGCCAGGTGTCTCGGGGCTATGATACATGACGTTGCTAAGAGGTCAGATGGATAATATTGTCAGACACGCCCTAGTATAAACCGAGTACTCTTGCCGATTATCTCTGTTCCCAAAGTTGTCCTTTTGCGAATAGTTTATGTGTGTGCCATCTGTCACTCTAATGTCACAACAACGCTCGTCAATCACTCCAATATCAGGATAACTATAATGCTCAAACATCTGGTCTTCGTTGCATTGATCCTGAGTTTATTACTTTGAGTGCTTTGGGACACATATGCTATACGGCCGTTGTCTTAAGGAATTCGGCCTGTTTTTTGTCCTATTATATTATTGCTTTTGCTTTAGAAGATTTTCGAGCTATCAATGCTCTCTACAAGAGGAACTACTGTACGGATGTGGCTGGGTCATACTATGTAATTTGGAGCGTGTTGGGTGCTCGGCACGGTTACTTGTTGGGCCTAATAGGACTCTACCTACCATTTGACATTATATAATAATATCCAGGTGGTACAGTTTAAACATTGTATTGTGCAGGTGGCCTAAAGGAATTACTAGACAAACGCTAGTATAAACAAGTATCCTTGTATTCAAAAAGGTCGCACTTTGAGTCAGTCATAGATGAATAGACATGCAGGGGTTTGTTAAACGTTACGATCCCTTTTGTGTTGTTTGGTTGAATTCCACCTTACGGTCTGTGGGTCTGCCGAACATACCCCATCAGATTCTCGATTTCACCTCTCCTGGGCTATTAGGACTATGCCAGCTTTAGGGACTCAGTGAGGGCCTAGCACCCGTTCCGGGTGCTAGGCCGCAGATCATGCCAAGCGTAGCGAGGGCCTCTCTTATTGATCTTCACTTTATTCAACTTCGTTATATCAACTGTCATATAGTATCTCAAATATCCCTACAAAACGTATGTATTTATTGGGCCTATTATTTTCATCATTTGAGCGGCATTATACACTACGAATTTTGTGCTGGGGTTCTTAGTACTTTAGTCCTATGGTTATCCTTTAGATCCATTTATGTTTAGCTATAGCATCGTGAAAATCGTGAGAATATGAGAGGATGCCCTGGGGCGTCCGAAAACCTTGTATATTTATAAATATAGGTAGTGTTGTAGAGTTTCATATGGGGAAAAAAGACTACACGAAAACCACTTGAGAGAGGTACTTGCATAGCCTAACAGGGCTATACCTACTGTTCGGCATTTTATAATAACGTCTAGATATTTACAGCTTAAGTATTGCCTTGGGACCTGGAGTGAAAACGTGAGATAACTGAGTACCAGAGTACCTGGAAATACTAGGCAGACCCTAGTATAAGTAAGTACCTTGAACTCACATAGCTCGGACTTCGAGTACAGTTATGAATATAGGTAATGTTATAGGGTTTTAGGTAGAGGGGAAAATATACTTATATAACCACTACACCATACAAAAACTAAGGTACTTTATAGCCTAACAAGGCCATACCTTCTATTCGATATTTTATAATGATATCGAGGCATTTACAGTTTAAGTATTGTTTTGGGATCTGAAGTGAGAGCGCGAGATAACTGACTACTCGTGTACATAAAATTGCTAAGCAAACGCTAGTATAAGCAAGTACCTTGAACTCACATAGCTCGGACTTTGGCTACAGTTATGAATATTATGTAGGTAATATCACAGGTCTATGTAAAAACACTAGGTAACCTTAGAATCGTACCAAGCGACCAACATACATATTCCTATCACGATTGTATATATTTTCAAGCATCATTTTACTATCTCATCATTAGTGAAAGCGCAAAATAACCTAGTGCCAGCATACATAGAACTGCTAGGAAAACCTGAGCATAGGCAAGTACCCTTCACTCGTTGGACTTTGACCCGTAAACCCCAGTTGTGAGATTATCTGGGGCTTCCAGGTTGCTCCTTCTAGGGTTGCTCCTTCCTGGGTTGCTCCTTCCTTGTATTATCATGTCAAAATAAGCAACGATAGATACGTTGGCACCTTCCCAATACATTGGCACCTTCCTGATTCATCATACCTTGACATTATAAAAGGCCATCCTCCTTCTCCTTTCCTTCTTCCTTCTTCTTCTCTCTTCATCGCCATCTTTGTTTTCAGATCTGCAGTTATCTGCAAGCTGAAGACTTTCATCACTTCCACATCAACTTTTATCTTTGTGTGATCCCCATCTTCCTTTTTTTTACGAAAACCATCCCTTGCTCGTTCGAGTCTTGAACTCTGTAAGTGATCCTGCACTGCTTCCCATCCCCCCGTGAACTCAAGTGACGCGAACCCGAACGGTGTCTGCTTCACTTCATAGCGCTAAGCAGTATCACCACTTTGCTGTCATAACCATTTCACTTTGTTTCAATCATCTTACTTGATAGTTTCACACCTGTCTCTTGAACTAAAAAAGAAACAAAAGAAGGAGAATCTCTAGCTAACGACAACTGATTGATAGGAACGTGACTTCAACATGGCCCCGAAAAAGGCCATGAACCCGGACGACGAGGAGCATAGGGCTCGCTCCGAGCACCGCTCTAAAACGTCGTCGAAGCCCCAACCTACCCCCCAATCCGCTGCCGCTACGAAGACTGCTTCAAAGCCGCCTCACTCTTCGTCCTCTCGTCAACCCAGACTTACCCTTGAGCTTCCTCTGCGTTCGTCTGCCTCTGTGGCAAAGCCTCTGGATCCACGCCAGATCCAAGAGATGCATGACCACAAAGCGAAATTGGAAGAAGACGCCAGACGCAAGAAAGAAGCAGAAAGCACTGCTTGGATGCGTCGAATCCGATGTGATCCCGATTCTCTCGAACACCGTAAGCCCAAGAGCACTGGTTCCAGCAGCAGTGACTCCCCTATCCGTCGAGTTGTTACACCTCCGGAGTTCCCCCCCAACTGGACCGAGGAGGAAAAGGCTAACTACGAACGTCTCGCACAAGAAGGCGTGAAAGTAGCTGTTTTTGAGCAACACAGACTTGACCAAGAAAAGATTATTCAACATGAAGACTACATGACAGTTGCCTGGGATGGCTGCAAGAACATTGACATTCCCTGGCATCGATTCAAAATCAAGCCTTCTTCTGTAAGTTTGCGACCAACAGTTTACAATAGCTCCTGCAATTTCGCTGACGCTTTCCTTTTTCCAGGATTCCCTAGAAGAGACTCAAATTCAGCGCCGTATTGGCTACAACACTTCCGGCAAAGAGATCGAGGTTATGATGAACGCGTACCCAATTACTTCGTTCCCAGACAAAGCTGTTTATCAGTATGAGGTGAGTGTTTTGGTACCTGCTCAATGCCATTCATTGCTAATCAATTACTAGATTAATGTTCTCCATGGAGATCACAACGAGACCGACAAACGGATCCTGAGAAAGTGCTGGAACAGTGAGACTCGAAAGGCACACATTCCTGATGGTATCTGGGATGGTGGCAGAATCTGCTGGTAAGACTCACTCTTCCTGCTTGCTGCTATAGATTTTCTAATATATTTTACTGCAGGTCGTTGCGCAACTTTGATGACTGGAATGAGGTTATCGACTTCAGGGGCGAGTTGACCCGAGAGGTCAAGACCCTTGCTACTGTCGATGAGTTCAGAAGAAACCCGGCTTTCAGAATGTCTGTTATGCAAAAGCGAAAGATCAATCTGGCGGTGATCAACTCCTGGCTGCAAAACCGCCGTGATCTGGATGAACTTGTGATTGAATCGCTGAGTAAGTCCCCCTTATTTCGTGTATTCCTCTACTTTTGATTCATCAAGCTAATAATGACAGGCTTCCTTGATCATTTGCTCCGCGAGTGGCCCACCAAACAATTTGCTGCAATCAAGCGGGCCTTTTTCTTCGACAAGCTTGGGGATGACGAGGAGCTGAAGCAGGAATTTTACCAGCCGCTCGCCAACATGGGTGCTTCTGTTTACCGAGGCATTTATCAAGCAATTAAGCCGACTCCTGTAAGTCTCCGTCCTTTGATTGAAATTGAATAACGGCATGCTGACGTTTACTTATAGCAAGGTCTGATCCTCAATGTTGACATCGCCCACTCCGTTTTCTTTTCTCGCATCAGTCTCATGGGCTACATGATGAATATCAACGGGTGGAACGATAAGTCTACTCTGGTGAGGAATCTCCAGTCAACCCGCGACAAATTTGGAGGTACAGTGGAATCGAAGTTCTTCGCACAGGTGAACAAGAAGATTCAGGGTCTCCGAGTGGCACCCAACTATGAGGGGTGCCCTTTCCACCTGAAGAGTTTTATTGTCAAGGGCTTGATGCATGCAACGCCAAAAGAATTTTACATCCACTACCTCGACAAGGCCACTGGGGTAACGACTCGAATGCACCTTGAAGATTACTTTAGAAAACGGTACAACATCCGCCTTGAATACCCCAATATGCTCTTGGTCGAGATGACAAAGGAAGAAGTCTATTACCCGGCCGAGTTTTTGATCATCAAAGGCCTTCAGAGATACCGTTACAAGCTTACGGATATGCAAGCAGCACAGATGATTCAGTGGTGCGCAACCCGGCCCCCGAAACGTTTGGCCAATGCTCGGCAGTCCAAGGAGCTTCTCCAACACAAGAACGATCCGATTCTCAAGCTTTACGGAATGCAGATCAGCGACCAAATGATCAAGACAAAGGCTCGCCTGCTCCCCAGCCCCGATATTCAGTTTGGGGGCAACCGGAAGCACAACCCTCAGCATTCGGGAAGCTGGGATCTCCGAGGTAAAAAGTTCTACAAACCAAATGAAAAGGCTCTTGAGGCTTGGGGCGTCGGGTTTTTTGCCGGGCATCGAAAGTCAATGAGCCTGGAGCAGACTCTCAGCTGGGTTGATCAATTCGTGAAGATGTACAGAAGCATGGGTGGCGAGGTGACTGGCCGACCGGTTGTCAAGGGATTGAGCGAGGATGTTGGCACCAGTGTCAAAAAGGTGTACGATGCGATCGCAGCGCAGAATCAAAGAGAGCCCCAGCTCATGATATTCATCGTTCCTGACAAGGACTCTTGGGTCTATACTCGCCTCAAGAAGTCTTCCGACTGCCGGTATGGTACTCCCTCTCAAGTGCTCCAATCTGCACACTGCATCAGCAATAGACCTCAATACCACGCAAATGTTCTCATGAAGGTGAATGCAAAGCTTGGTGGTATCACTGCTCGAGCTGTTCCCAAGACAAAGTCTCAAGGTCTACGCCCAGGCTCCATGATCATCGGGGCAGATGTCACTCACCCAATGATGGGAGTGTGGACTCCATCGCTGGCAGCTATGTCCGTTTCGGCAGATACCTCCGCAACTCGCTACATGGGTGGATGTGAGACCAATGGAGATCGAATTGAGATTATCCGAGGCAAGGTAATTGAGTACATCCTGCACCCCATGATTGCTGAATGGAAAGCGACTGTTGGGAATGGCAAGGCTCCTGAGTACGTCTACTATTTCCGTGACGGTGTGTCTGCGTCCGAATACCAGAGAATTCTTTCGGAGGAGGTCCCGGCAATCCGCTTTGCCATTGCACATGCATGTGGTCAGGCAATCTGGAGTGGCAAGATCTGTGTTGTGGTTGCCAACAAGCGCCATCATCTTCGAGCATTCCCTGACCCCAAGAATCGCGCGGCCTCGGACACCCACGGTGGCCCCCTGCCAGGCACTCTTATTGATCGTGACGTCACTAGCCCACACGATTGGGACTTCCTGCTCTACACGCATGTTGCTCTCCAGGGAACACCCCGTCCAGTTCATTACCATGTCCTATTGGATGAAATGGGCCTCAAGCCTAATGACCTTGAGGGAATGATCAATGACCACTGTTATCAGTACATCCGCTCGACAACCTCTGTGTCTGTTCACCCTGCTATCTATTATGCTCACTTGATTTCGGTTCGTGCTCGCCACCACGAGGACGTTCCTATTACCTCTGGCCCCCAGAGTGGCCCGGAGGTAAAGATGACTAACCCCAAGCCCAAGCACCCTCGAGCCAAGAGGTTGCTGCCTATTGAAGGCACCTCGAACAAGTTGGCTCTGGGCATGTGGTACGTTTAATTGCATTGTAGCATTATGGTTGTGGACAATCTTCACTTTGTCCACTCCATGGCAGCGCGGGTTCCCTTCTAAGGAGTTTGTCTTGCTGCCCACTACTTTGCCTATTACTCCACATCTTCTTTTATGTTATTTCTTTCTTGAACGAAATCTCGACTGCATTACTTATGTGATGCTGCTCTTCGGAATGGCTTGAATGGCTTGATCTGGGCGGTAGGGTTGCATTGGTCATTCGCAAGAGCGACTGGTTGCAGACTCGAAGCTAGTCTCGCAGGTTTGAATGGGCCATACTTTATTTTGTATTGTGTAGTCGACTTTGCTTTTGTTTTTATCGTTACTACCGCTCGATCCAGACCTGGTTGCTACAAATGTGCTGTTGTTTCTCGAAACAACTTCGATGATGTATGCCAAAGGTTGATCTTCAGTTCAGGACGAATTAGTTTCAAATCCCCCCCCCCATCCATGTTGTTAACCCCAGAAAATACAAAAAAAAAAGCCCGTTGTGGATTCCCCATTTTGTGTCCAATTGTAAATGAGTAGTAGAGGGTTTAGTTTATGTCCCGTTGAGACTTATAGATTTTCGGGTGCATCTCTAACATAAGACCTAAGGATTTATAGCAAAGAGCTTTGGAGGGAGTCATGGTTCAAAACAACTTCTGGTCCTTGTAACCGCTAACCTTAGCTAGGCATATTACCCATTAATATGTACTTGAGGCATCTAAGGGCGAGATACGACACGAGAATGGACTCTGAATGTGAATAGGTATTCTGCTAAAAGATGGAAAGACCCCTCAAGGGAAGTTATAATACAAAAAGACTACATGTAAGGGGAACTATCCACTTGCCTTCCAAGTCGGACAGGAAAAAAGGGGAAAAAGCAGAAAAACCGGTAAAATACAAGGACTGGATTATGTATCGGAAGTTCGAGGGTCAAAGGATACAGTCTCACAATTAAATATTGGGTGCTGGATCCGACTGCTCGTTTCCTGTTCAATTGTACCGTGGCAAAGGGACACAAAAGTCTTGGTGTGTCATGAGTTGCAAATATCGAAGGAATGAAAATGCAGTATGCAAAAGTAAGGCACATGCGAGGCAAGAAGGAAAGAATACGGTCATTGTTGCTAGTCAGCCATAGATCTGACCTTGGAAGATACACATCAGGCTCCGTTGGTCATGGATTCACCGCCATCGCCGAGGCCGATTTCTTCGGTCTTCATAGCATTTGTTGCCGGGTCACCGGTCGTTTGGTCGGCTTCGCCATCCGGGTTGAAGTTGGGCATTTCAAGGGACACGCCACTGTTCTTCTTGGATTTCTTCTTACTTGGCTCTGTGCCGCCAGATTTGGATGCCATCGGTGGAGCGGTTCGTTTCTGTGGGCTGGATGTAAGACCCGAGAGACTGGACTGAGGAATTTTGCCAGAGGCTGGGAGACGGGGTTTGATCGCCATGGGCCGCTGCTTGGGGGGCAGCTCCAGGTCTTCCACAAGAGGTTCATCATGGTTTGCATCAAGCTTGCCCTTGAGGAACTTCTGTAGGAGTCCAATCTGGCGAGGTAAGTTTTCCGTTGAGATGCGTTGATATGGGGGCGGAGGAGCGAAAAGAGTAACGGTCTGTGAAACACTCGCGCTTTGCGGATTGGCCGCGTTGAACATCCGATTTTGAAGAAGATGTAAGGGCACGCTGAGTGTGGAGAGGCCGAACTCCCGGTCCAAGCCCAGTTCTTTGAAACCGAAGAAATCCTCGTCAATATCTTCAGCAAAGTCACCACCGACAAACTGTTCACTGCCATCGGCAAATGCGTTTGAACCGTCTTCGCCGCCTTCGAGCGCGGGTCGAAGAAGTTCTGTCAGAAGTGACCTAAGTCGGTCATGAGCAGTCGCGAGCTTGGTGCCCAGACGATCCACATCGTCCTTGATATAGCTCTCCAGCTCATCTATGTGGATCCCCACGGTAGACAAGGTGTGCAGAACAACTTCAGATTGGGTGTATGCAGGTTTCCATTCGGCTGAAGGTGTAGCTTCATGTGACTGTGTAGCTTCATGTGACTCAGTGGTAGGAACCTTTGGTGTTTCCATATAAGACTTGAAGGTGGACCCCAGCTTATGGAAAAAGTCAGCGGCAATATCTGTAACCGCCTCAAGAGCAGATGGCTGGTATTCCTCAAAACCAGTATGATAGAAAACTTTAGCAACCGAGCGTTGCAACGCTGCCCTACAGGTCCAGGGAGCAATGACAGGGCCGTTGTCGTTCATGACATGTGGTTCGATGTCTTGCTCCATAAATGGCTCGGGTTGATATTTTTGGAATTGGTTTTGGTACATCTAGAAGAAAGTTAGCTGAGAGCTTCGGTCATAACAGAATAGTGAGGTTGCTCACCTGAGATTGAAGCTGCATCTGCTTAACAATGCCAATTTTCGAGCAGATCTTGCGAGTTTCTTGCATCTGTCGCATGTTCGAGTTCATCTTGCGGGTCAGATTACTGTCCGGTTGGATGAATTGACCTTTTGGAAGGATCCGAAGGAACTCTTCAGAGGCATCAACAACATTGCCTTGCGCGTCTTCCTTCCAGAGTAGCCGGTCGGGAAGATCAGGAACACCGGACATAACATCATAATAATAAGGCAGCATCTGGTCTTCTTCCACCTCAATGCCTTCTGCAAGGCTCTCGCCTGCGGCCTCGGGCTCCATGGCTTGAGAGTCCCCATCGCGGGACTTGTCAGCTTCGATAGTAGCTTGCTTCTGGTGTCTTAGCCATCGGCGCATGCCAGCTTTACTTCTGAGTAAAGCGGGTTCTTCAGAGTTGAGCTTGTCTCCTCGGAGGAGACGATGGCGTTCCGCCGCAACGCGCGCTCTATCTTTCTTGGTGACTTGCTTCCACACTTTGTATTCGGGGTCTTCCGGTTCTACGCCGCCGGAAACTAACATGGCACTGAGCGCAGTTGTCGATGTACTCGGACCGTCCATATCCATCGTGTCATCCTGGCTCGCCGCAGGTATCGCTCCTGGGCCAGCAGGGTCAGACGGTGTGTTAGATCCAGGAGGTGGTGTGGAAAATCCATTCTGACTAGCTTCACCGGCGGCGTCCGAATCTGCGCGAGCTGGCGCAGTTGGCTGAGTGCTAGGGGCCCTAGCGGGGCCCTCGGAGCCACTGGGGGTATTACGGGAAGGAGCTGTGCCTTTCTTGGAAGACTTTTTGCCAGGGGCCTTTCTGCCTCGCGAGGACATGATGGGTTCGTCGTCACTCTCCTCGGCGCCATCGTTATCAGCGAGCTGGAGTCGACGTTCTTCAGCTTCAACTTCGGCACGGTCCCTGATGACAATATCGGGGATGAGAGGGACAAGTTTCTCAGTCTCCTTGCGCATGTAAAGTGCGTGCTTCCGCAGAGGATGTTCGGTGTTGGTATTGTATTTCAAGCAATTCGCCCAAATGAGGGTGAGGTCATCGACAAAGTCTTGCTTTGATCTATACTGCAAGCCTTTCAACTTTTTGGTCATTGATCCAAGGTCCATCGGGTGCTTGATGACTAGTGGCAAGTTAGTAGATGAAAAATATAATTGCAGCGAAAGGATTGCTTACTCGTATGGTAGTCTGGCGCATCGCGTTTGTTGACGCGAGTCAAAAAAGCAGTTGAATGTTCTGTCATAGCCTTGAGTTCACTGAGGACCTTTTCCGCAGCTTCATACAGCTCTTCCTGGCCAACCTTGTCTTCGTTCGCCCATTTGCTGCGGTTCTTGCGAACCTCACTCAGCAAGCTCCGCAGCTCAGCATCCGAAGCCTGCACTCGGTCTCGCTTTTTATCGATTCGTGCGATAAGGTTTTTCAGAGTCAAACTAGAAGCGCCTAGGTTGGTATTACTCAAGGAACTGTAGCCATTGGACGCCCCTGAGACATTGTTGCCGCCCATGTTAGCCTGGCCAGATATTTCTGCCTCAACTTGTCTTTCTGACTCTTCTAAGCGCTGTTGATCCAACATGGCATCCCGATCATTCTCAAGGGTGTAGAAGAGAGTGTGGAAGCTTCTTCTGGCAGCCTCCTCCGTTGCTTTCTTGTCTTCCTCGAGTTGCTTCCGGAGATCCTCCATTGTCTCCTTCTTAGACTCTTTAAGTCCATCTGCAGTGGTGGACATCGAAGTCCCGGGACGGGGTGGTAATGGCGCGGTACCATTAGGATCCAAGGCAGCGGCAGACTTGGTTTTCAGAGGGGATTCGGCGGCATCGTCCATTTCCTCGTCTTCGTCATCATCGTCGTAGTCATCGTAATCATCGTCATCAAGCTTTCGAGCCGTCTTGCGTGGGGCGGTGGAAGGGGGTGGCGCATCATCGACGCGTTCGGGCTGAGCTTCGGACTCAGTATTTTCCCCAGCCGCAGGGATATCGTCCGAGTAACCGCCCGAGAACAGCGCACTTATTTTCGCCTCACTGCGGCGATACAATTCACGGAATTGAGCAATGCGCGGGTCCTCCTCGGGCACAATATCGGCTTCGGATGCTGAGCTGGGGTTCGGCCCTTCGGCGCCAACAGAGCCGCGTATTTGTGGGGTCCGAGAGCCAGATAAAGTCTTCACTAAGCCATTGACTGGTCGGGGAGAGTCTTGAATGTCATCTGGGGGCCGAATGTTGCCCGGAGGCCAGGCGTTGTGGCCGAGCGACATGCTCGCTCCAAAACCCCGGTTCTGGGGGCGGGCGAGACTCGATTCTCCGCGATTAGGATTACGGGCCGATCGGACGCGACACAGGGGTCGGAGAAGGGACAAAAGGCATAGAGATAGAAAACACCCCTGGTAAAATTGACTGAAGATGTCAAAATAGCAAAAATTGATAGCGTGGGGGAGTGGTTTGATGAAGAAGGTCCGGGGGGAGCTTCATAGGAAGTTTCTCTGTGACGGGGGTGAAGTACAGGGCATGAAGGCGGAGTCAACCGGCAGATCTTGTCTCATTGTCACTTATTTCGACTTATCAATCGCTATTGTTCACATCTGGACTTATTTTCAATCTATTATTCTCTATCTCTTAATTTTACAGTTGATTTGTCTCTTTTATGTCAAATCTCACTCTTATTTGTTGTTGTGAACATCCCCATTGCTCCGCATATGACGCACAAGGCACCAGCTGGGGCCGAACTCCTCCACATTTGACAGCTCTCCCGAAGACTGGACAATCACTTTCAAAAAGAGTTCCAGCTAAAAGCTTCTTCTCACTTCTCTTTTACTGAATCATCTCTCATTCTTGACCACCATGCGCATTCGCTACCCTTTCGCAGGTAAGCTTTGGGGAGATTATTCTACATCCGGCGATCTCTCAACTAACCGCCTCAGGTGCCTTCATCTTCCTGCTCTTCTTAGCCGGCTACATCGGTCTTCTTCCACACAGCGCCTCTTCAACAATACCAACACAGCTACAACCCAATGACAAGTTCCTCCACCTTGTTATCTTTTTCCTGCTGTCGATTACATTTTACTGGGTCTTGGACACCACCCGTCGACGCACGCTACATGTTACCCTCGTAGTCTGCACATTAGGGCTAGGTGTTGGCTCTGAAGTTGTGCAAGGTTTCCTTCCAAACGGTCGAGACTTTGATATTTTCGATATTGTCGCCAATGTCGTCGGTAGTGTGGGCGCCATCGGACTATGCAGCTGGTACCACCGGCGCATGATGGAACGCCGCCGACAAAGTCGGTATGGCATGATGGAGGATGGCGCTGAGGACGTCGAGCTTGGTAACGTCGGGAATTCTCGTCGCGGCTCAGAAGCGATGGGCCCACAGGAATCCGGTGTTATGAGTCTTGAGCAGGAAGTCGACAACTGGGACGAGAATGCTGTTGATTCTTGGGATGTAGCAGAAGGGCCGAGTCCTGATCGAGAGACTGCTCCTCCCAGTTATCATGAGAGTGGCTCTGTCGGTGGTCAATCGCCTGCAATCCCTGTTGGGGCAAAGCGGACTGATTAAGCCTACTTTCAATCGATGCTTAGGAAAGAGATGCCACGCGCTACATTCGGATCCTGTTTTGCTATACTCTCTATTATGATGATGGATTTTATGTCTTGGTCTCACGTCGGTATGATACCAATCTCGATTTTTGTGCTCAGCAATGCTGCCCTTACGTTTTATTGTTTTATATTGTTATATTATGCCTTGATGGGGATGAATCTTCTATTAACGCACGGTTACTCTAACGTGATAAGCGAAGAGTGCAAGGAGTTTCTTATTTCCAAGGGATTGTACAGTGACGTGGATTTACTAGGAATATGGAGGTGCTACATAGCCATGAAACAGCTAAAGAAGTCTGATCTCCAAAAAAAAAAAAAAGAACTTACGGGTTACTAGGAGAAAGTAGAATGTCTCAGACCAGTTGACAACGCATACAATATCACCATTGGCTAATATACAGTGACTCGAGGGCGAGACTCACAATGCTAGTCAATAAGCAATATAACTACATCCAAGATAATAACCAAAGAAACAGGACGGGGTATTTCAACAGAAAAGGGGAAAAAAGATAGGGGGGTTGGAAGACATAATTCAGAAACGCAAGTTGAAAATCAAATAAACACCGGATACCATGAAGGGATGCAACATAAACATAAACCTCACGTCCAAAGTTCATGATCACAGATAGGACGAAAGGTCAAGATTGGGCGTCATTCATTATCAGATGCAGGAAGCTCCGGTGTGCCGGACCGACTTCTTGTAGGCGTATGGGCGCGATCTGGAACAGCTTCCAACTCGGGCTTGGAAGTCGGCAAGTAATCTGCCTGGTCATTCAACTTGGCCATTTTCGCGGACCGTTCCTCGCTACCGCTAGGCGAGTCCATGTTCCAGTCTGTAAGCTTGCCCAGCTTCCGATCGGTTTGTTCTCGGAGCACTTCGTAGATAAATTGCATCTGCATCTCGTTGTAGACCATCATCATCCGTTGCTGACGCATCTGATCGACAGTCTCGAAAACAGGGTCGATCTTTGGATTGTCTATATCCAACAGATGTCCTGACTCCAGCTCGCACAGCAAATGGTCTAGGGCGATGAAGGTTCCTGTTCGACCAACTCCTGCGCTGCAGTGTACGATTCGTGGATTATCCGGTGTGGATTTGGAGGCTGACAACTTGATCAAGTCGAGAAGGGCTTGACGATCGCTGCCTTCGGGTTTAGAGTAATCGGCCCAACCGGCGAAAAGGAAATGCCAGACAATCTTTGACTCGGAACCGATGGCTAGTTCGAGTTTGCGGATTTCAGATCGTGATCTAGCGTCGAAAGTCGATTCCAACAGGGTAACCCTGCCCAAGACACCCGGTTCTGCTTGCTCACTCTCAACGAAGAAAACGTCCGACTCATCCGCCGACAGTACCATCGAAGCCTGCTCCGTATCCAATGGGAAGTATTGAGCGCACTTTTCCCGGCCCGCTTCAAAAGTTTGAGTAAGCATTACAATAACACCAACCTCCTGGCTTTCATGGAAGACCATGTGCCAAAATTCCGCGAGATGTCCAAGTTTGGGGCCCTGATTAACGGTCAGCAAATCATATGATTTATGATGAGTGCGCAACCGACCTGAGTTGCGATGTATCTCCTTGTTTCCCGTGTCACTGAATCTTCCAGTCTGATCGGAGATGCGTTGATAAAATCACACTCGCCCTCGGCGACCTGCAGATGGATCCGACAATTTGCCCACGCCTGGACATTAAAATACCGATTCCTCTCTTTAACTCTTGGATCTGCCTCTAGGGCCCATGGATGCGACAGATCACTGGCTTGCATACTCTCATTAAAACGTGCGCGCTGCATCCATTCCAGCTCCTCAAACTTGTCATGGATCTCTGCATAAGGAAGCGGTCAGTCACATTCCACGTGCAGGTATTCTCCGATAGGCGTTTTTATGCACCCCTCACTCACCCGAGACAGACTGACACAGGAACGGCGGAACATCTTCCGTATTCCCAGCTTCCAACTTGGGGTTGTCTAGATCCGCGCCGAGTATATCGAGGCCCGCATCGTCATTCTCGGGTAATCCGCGTTTGGTCGCTTGGACACTGGTGTCGATCTTGATGGTCGGCGCCATCTTGGCGGCCGCGATGCGCTGAAATGCTCGGACTCTACCGATGACTCCGCGCGCTTTCCTCGAGACGGATTTGGCTTTGGAACGCTTTTTGTGCGGGGCAGAGTCGAAGGAAGGAGAGGGCGAACGAGATGGATCAGTTCTGACACTGTCAAAATCTGCAGACACTGATGTTATCTGCAGTGATGACAGATCGGGACAGCTATAGAAGCTGTCCCGGGAAGACGTGTCCAGGGCCAGATTTTTTGAGGATCGCGGGGGTTGGGCGTCGAGGAAGTGGAGGAGAGCGTCGCAATAAAAGTAACCCTCGTATAAGTTACAGGCCGTATACTTCCGAGTTGATTTCAAAGAGTTAGAAAGCACCGAAGCCGAAGGGAAAAAAAACCTGAAAAGAAAAGAGGTAAAAAAAAAATTAAAACAGGTTGAAGTGGGCTAAAAGGAGAGAAAGTGGAGGGGGAGGAAATAAAACATCCGAGGTGGTAGTTTTATATAAAAGATATAGATAGTTATATAGAATGTAATAGTTTATAATAGTATATCTATATATAATCTATATAATCTATATATACTAATATACTAATATGATAGAAGTATTTATGTTTTCATCTACTTTGTTTAGTATAGTTCTAGGGCTCATTGGTAATTGGCTTGCCACCTATTGAATTCAGCTGCTTGCGGCCTCCCACATTCTCTACAACATATGCCTACTATTAATATTTTTTTGGTTGACGAATTTTAATAGGAACGGGAAACTAGCTATATTTCACCCCTTTATATGATTTTGTATGACTTTGTTATTCTATACTCTTTTTCCTCTTTTGGCGGGGAAAGCCGAAGTTCATACTCCGTACTCTTTCTCTTCCTCTTCCTCTTCCTCTTCCTCTTCCTCTTCATCTTCATCTTTCTCTTTATTGTCATTTCTCTTGTATCTTCTCTTTATTCCTTCTTTTAACCAATTTTCGTTCTCGGTCTCGGATGTCGCCCTCTTATGCTTCCAGGTGTTGAGCACCCACGGTTCGCATATGTCAACAAATCCCCAGAAATGGTCTCCCAAGCTCAGATCGTTGATCGCACAACCGCCCAAAGTACCGCTTCCCTAGTATCGCGTCCCTCGAGTAGGCGACACCGTTCTGGTCGCTCACACCATGGCTCCTCCTCGAATCCTTCCTCGAACGATTTCCCCATATTCACCTACACGGGTGACACCGAGGTCGTGATCCGCGCCGGATCGCAGGAAAAGCGTTATCTCCTCCACCGATTGATATTGTCACAATGTTCAGGCTTCTTTGAGGCGAGCACTAATGAAGACTGGTCGCGTCAGATGACTTCGGGTCATTCTAAACCGGAGGGGACGCTGTCGCGACTGAGCGAGGACGATGATATGTCGAGCGGGTCAACACTGGTACCCTCTGATAACGGTGGAGTCTCGACGCGACCAGGAGGAAAAAGACGCTGGCGGTATGAACTTGACTGGGAGAATCGCGCGGAGGATGAAGAGGTGATCCTTGTTCAAAAGGTATGCCTTGCGCCGGCGCGTCGCATAATCTCACCTTTGCGAAAAACGCTAATGTCGCGTGTTGAAACAGCAACCAACCTATGCCCCCATGTTCAGTAGCGATGGCGACCAAGTCGCATATCCCTCAACGATGACTAAACCGTCGAACGCCCAGGCAGGCTTCTTTCGATCCATGGCGAACCTAGCAGGAATGCAGTCGGTAGCCCACCTACCGCAGACGGGGGAGCACGCTGTCGCCGTGGATCCCTTAATACGTGACTATGACAATCTACTACGAATATTTTACAACCATGCCCCCATTATCAACAGTGTCAACATCGCCTCAGCATATACAGAGTGCAAATCCCTCCTTGCATTGGCGGATATGTATGACGCGCTTCCGGTGACCGGACCCCGCGTGGACCACCACCTACTCGGCTTTGGATCTCGTCTATTCAAGCAAATAGCCAAATACCCACCCAGCTACCTGAAGCTAGGATATCTCGCCCGCAGCCGGGTGATCTTCTCCGAAGCCTTGATCCACGTCGTCGGCCAGTGGCCCGCCGCCCTACCAAGTCTACGAAACGGCTCCTACGCGCCTCTACCAGACTCACTCCTCGACCTGATCGAAGACAAAGTAGAAGATCTCGAGGAGCTCAAATCTCGCGTTGAATCCAAGCTCCTGCGTCTATCTCTAACCACCTCACGTGGTGAGCGTGTCGGCCCCTCAAACGCATACTTAGACTGGCTGGCCGTATGTCTGTTCCGTCAATGGCTAATAGAAAGCACCACGCCTCCACCAGCCCCCATCCTTAAGAACGCAGGTCCAAGCGATGGTCCAGCCCAACCTACCGCGTCAGCGTCACACCCGGCAACCGCGCCGCGATCACCCACCTCCCCAGACCCGTCTGCGCGCATCTATAGATTGATCGGCTCCTCTTCTGCGCAGGCATACCTGCCCCACGAAGAGCTAAAGCGCTTTCTTAAACTTCATCCTACGTCATCCTCTGGCTCGCTTTACACGCGCGAGACTCTGAAACGCTTCGAGCGCAAGATGGACGAGATGAAGCGGCTAGCACGGGATATCGTCAAGCCGCTCATGCGTAATTTCCTCGAGTTGGAGCTGAAAAGTCCTGATCAGACAAGTCCTGGCGCTGCTGGTCCTCGTGAGAATATTCCGGTGGGATTGCCATATCTGACATGCACCCGTGTTGAAGACATAGATATACCTTGGAAATAAGCCTGACGACTTCTTACTTCTTGGTATCTGTCTTGGCTTATGTTTCGTCCCTTTGGATGTCTATGCCCTACTTGGAGTTTTGGACGTGTGGTTATTTCTTTTTCTATCTGCGCCTTTCCTCAGGCTGCTGGTCTTGTCTGACGAAGGAGACCAGATTGTACTCCTGTCTTGATTTGCGATGATGTGATGTTTACTTGATTTATGTTGTTTTGTTTCTGATTCATGTTTTCACGATGTCATGAATGGTTCTCTGGTTTGATTTGTTTTTATTTAATATTCTGCTTTACTCAGCCCTAAGGCAGAGATCCGGGTCTTCTAGGCCTAATTTTTGTTTATGTTCTTAGAGATACCAAAAGATCACTCGCAATGCAAGATTCACCAAGATATTTACCTATTCTTCTTTATAGCCCAATTGTCCTCGACTCAAAATATGAAGCATATGTCCATTACTTCCCTAAAAAGTACATAATATACAGTGTCTCCACGAGAGTGAGAACAGCCCTCTAGCTACGACCAATACTCTCCATCCCATCCATCCAAGGCCGCAAAACCTCAGGAATAACAACAACTCCCCGCTCAGGATCCCACCCATTCTCCAAAATCGCAGCCAGCACACGTGGAACAGCCATAGCAGTTCCATTAACAGTATGCGGGAACCTCGACTCCTTAGCGCCACCGCCACGGACCCTCGCCGCCAACCGACGACTTTGGTAATCCGTGCAGATAGAAGCCGAAGTAACCTCCCCCCAAGCCGATTCCAAATGATGAATCTCCGGATCAACCGGCGTAGCACCCGACACCGCACGCAGACGAGACGGGAAGAGCGCCTCGATATCCCGCTTGCGCGTCGCGCTAGCCCCCAGATCCCCGCTCGGCATCTCCAGCACACGACACGGCAGATGCAGCGCCGTCAAGATCTCCATCTGCATATCCAGCAGTTCGTTGAACATATCATCCGAGCTCGGCGCGGCCCCGTCCACGCTATCCGCCCAACCGAACAGCTCGACCTTAGTGAACTCGTGCACGCGGTACAGGCCCTTCGTGTCGACGCCGCGGGATCCCGCCTCGGCGCGGTAGCAGCGACTCGCACCGACGAGCTTGATCGGTAGCTCGGAGGCGTTGATGTCGCGGCCTGCGTACATGGCGGCTAGGGGGATCTCGGCGGTGCCGGTTAGCGAGCGTTGGGGTTTGGTGTTTTTGTCGCGCTCGTTCTGCTCAATTGACCAGATCTGCTGTTCGTTGTGTTGGTCGCGTGGCTGGAAGCCGCATGCTTCGGCGATGTAGGAGTAGACGATTGAGGGCGGTGCGACGGTTTTCCAGCCCCGGCGGCGGGCGGTGCTTAGGGCGTATTGCACGAGTGCCTGTTCAAGCATTGCGCCTTCGTTTATCAGGAAGTACCAGCCCCATCCTGTTGTTGTGGCTGAGCTGGCGAAGTCGAGGAGGTTGAGCTCTGTGCCGATTGTGACGTGGGACCGAGCTTGGAGCTCGGATTGGGATTGGCGGGTCCAGGATGGGGGGTCTGCGGGGTTGAAGTTGATGTATTGTACAAGAGTTGGGTCGTGGCCGATGGGGGTGAATGGGGAGGAGAGGTTTGGGAGGGAGAGGGCTAGTCGGTTGATCTCTTCGGTGCAGGTTGCTTTGCGGTCTGTCATGGACTGTGAGTCGTCCTTAAGACGTTGAGCTTCTGACTTGAGTTCGGCTAGTTCCTCGCTTGGACTTAGGCCTTTCTCGTTGATGTTTCCATTGCCTGTATCTTGGCGAGTCGCAATGTGTAGCTTGGCGATGGTCTTTTCTAGTTGCTTGATGCGGGATCGAGGGGTTTTCAGGTCGTGATCGAGTTGTCTAGCCTCCTCTGATAATTGTTGGATTTTTGACGGATACCCGGCGTGACCTGCATAGTTGCGATCTATGCAGTTCTGCGCGTAGAGGTCGGCATTTTGGCGGATGTGTTTGATGTCCGGCGTTGGCTTTGGAGCTGTTGCGGGTCGCAAGATGTCTCGATTGCGTCGGGCGGAGGAGAAATTGCGCAGAGATGCTTTTAATCCATATGAATGCCTGCAATTGAAGCAGACGTATGAAGTGAGTGCCATTGGAGTTGAAGAGGAAGAAGAGAAGAACGAACAGGCCATAAAGTGGATAGTGGATCCGCTTTAACCCTTTTGGGAGATCCGCATATACTCCTTAGTATGCAACAACAACTCCTCAAGATTTACTGTGCCTCGATCCTTTTTTTAGTGAACTACTATGTAGTTATCTTCACCATTACAGATATATTGGCTGGTCTTACCTTTGAGCGTGCAGTCTCTAGCCTAGGCAAGAGGGGATTACAACCATTGGGTACTCAGATCTATTGGAAGGAGACACGGTTAGGTTTCTATGTTAGGGTGCTATAAACGGATGTAGTTCTGGTGTAGAGAAACGGGTATAATATTGATGAGCTATGCTAGCTACGGGGTAGGCTCAGAGTAAGTCATAGTATGTCCCGAGGTCAATCCATCTAATCCTACATTATCTAATTTGCTTCAGACTTGGATCAACACTTGCTTCTTGGAGATATTTTTTTGCATGGCATACAAGGTTTGTTATACCTGATCCAGAGAAATGGTGATCACTGTTAACACTTTTCTTGTCGGCGAAAGGCCCAAATCCTATTCGCAGGTACACTCATTCTATTAGTCTCTATTCAGACGAGAAAGAATATAAGCTGGAATTCAATCTGCCAGAGAAAGGTAAAGCATTTTTTTGGGATAATCTAAATGGCTGAATTCTTTACGTTCCCCAAGTCATATCCATATAGGAATATATTAATGAAATACAGCGTTTTTGGCCTGGATGTTGTGTCTATACAATACCCAGATGTCTCGCCTTTGTCAAAATTTCCTATGAAAACATATCAATGTAAATTCAACATCAAGAGTCCCTACCACTTAAACCAGGATAATATGTTCCCAGGTAATCATCTAGCTGCAGATGAGCCGCATCGATCTTCAGAAATTCCTTCCTATCGCTAAACTCGAAGATCGGCAATCCTTGGCGAAATATCTGCAGCAGCTCGCTAAGCTTAGCATGCTTTTCACGATGAGAATGTGTCATACGTTTGATGTTCCATCCGCCGGTATCCTTCGCCGCCTGTATTCTGCGCACACACCCCTTATTCATTTGCTGTTTTGAGAGTCCGAACGGATAGACTGAATTGAATATTGCAGGCTCAGTCACTAGGGACTTAAATATAGCGGTGTAGAGAGCACGCCAAGGAGCTATCCTCTGCTTATAGAGGACACCGTCAGCAGAATTGATGAGACAGTCCTCCGGTTGTGGAGCTTTAGATTTGCTGAGTGGGCCATAAGCGTGACAAGTGCGACTGTCACCTTTCCGGCCCCAAAGAAGGCATTGGTGTGGATAAAGGGATGGTCGTTTCCGGCATGTTAACAGGATGTTGTTAAGTCACAAGCCAGACAGAAGGGCTGAGCAGTTGATTAGGAAAAGAGACACGCTCTGACAAGCTCTCAGAACTAACTAAATAACTAGTTGACTACGGAGTAGTTAGGTAGTTTGTTAAGTAGTTGTCTTCAGCCTCGGACCCATCTGTTAGTCAAGTAACTACATATACGGAGTTAGTTGGACGCAACTAGAAAATTAACTTTTTCATCTTTCAGCTTTGACAGAAGAAATAGATCTTATGCAAGACCTGGAGTATTCTTCTTCATGCATTGACTAGAAAATAAACGTCTAAAGTACGTTCTCAATCCTGTGCCGAGGTATGTGGATAAATATACGCGATATGGAGTCATTAACTTCGAGTTCATTTCGGATTCTACAATGCAACTCCACTATCGGGACAAATATTGCACCAGTAGTTTTTTTCTTACCGTTTGGCTGAGCAAAAGTACTGTGCAGGTTATGTTACTATACGGAGTATAACTTTAGTGATCTAAGCCCTCTACTTCCCGACGTCGGCGATCTACCCGCCACATGCTATCCCCACTGTGGTCCTCTTAGTTTAAGTATCGCACTGAAGTACTCTATAGTCGTGTATTTCTTATAGGCATTTTAGTTAGGAAACCTGATATGAAGAGCTTAGTTGCTTGTAAAGGTGTAATTTACAAATGATTTTAGATCAAAAAATGAAATTAGTTTAATCATATCACTACCTACAATGATATCGGCTATTTATTTGATACAACATTAATATATTTATAGAATCCATAAGATCACTTACGTAGTTTTATGTGTTCCATATATAAAGTACAACCCATGGATATTTAGATTGGACTAGACCTTTTCTTTAGACCCCCCCCCCCCCCCTGGGCACATGTAAAGCAAGTATGTATTGGGTCGGGTAAATACTCCACACCTATCTATAATCCATGCAACTAGCACTAGAATAAAAAACAAAAACACCATGTCCTGGGGGCCAAAGGAACCGCTTTCTCGGCAGACAACTGTGTAGGGTAAGGGCCTAAACGATTGAGGCACATGGTGGTCAGTCACTTATTGTGTCATAAAATCGAAGGTTCGAACTGTTATACCTTACCAGGACGTTTGAGGTCGTATCCCGTATTACTTCTAGATAAGCGAGTCAGAGGCGCACATTAGCGCTCCTCGGTACCATCTAAATGTAGTTTATGGTATGATATGTGGCTTCACGGAATGTGTAGGTTGGGTGTTGGAATAGATGGATGTTGATCGCTCTCGCTCTGAATGAGAGGATCCACAGTAAGCAAATGTCAAGTGTACTAGTTTAGTAGGCTGTACTAGTAGGCAGCAAAAAAAGCCCACCCGGCAATGCAGTTAGTGAAGCCCACCCACTATACCCCGTATAGATGTGTCTATATGGGTCTGACACTCCTTGAATGGAATGATGCATATCCATATGGCCCCGTTGATCAGACCAATCATGCCTTCTCTTATTACAGTTTGTCATATGAGTAATTTGGGGTAGAGAAATGAAGAATCTGACTAGGGAAATACTTCGCCAGTGTTGTTGAGATACCTGTATTAAGACTCGAAAGGCCAACATGGTAATGGTAAATTATCTCGTGCTTCTTTCACCAACCCTGGAAGGGAATAGACTGTTGCATGTTTCAGTGAGCCGTTCATTTATAGATCGCGACCTCGCGGGGAGTCCACCCGCAACCAAATGCCCACTTTGCCTTCAAGAGATTTACTACACTGGAACAAGCAAGTGGATGCCGTCGGTGTCCGGCCCCATATATCTTCACGAAATGCTACAAGGCCATGGTATAAATACCATCCCCACCCTTATATTTTCGTAGCAAAACACCATGTCACTTGATTCGAATTCCCTGTACCAATTCGAACTCTCCCAGGACCAATCTAATGGCGATTCATGGCCTGAGTTGTGGTCTGATGAATTGGGTGCCTTGAACGATGTTAACCCTACCGATCTACCTTTACATCTTGACCCTGATCTCAATCTCCTCTGGCCGCAATTAAATGACGGTCTCTACCCTGTGACTAGTTCTTCTGAGGCGCCGATTCTCTCCCCATCAAATGCCTTGGCACCTCCACTAGCCAATCCACAACCAAGTGTGCCCTCCGATATCTATGAAATAGGCTACCGAGACGCTAATGGTGATTGGCGCTGCAACTACTCCGGATGTCTATCCAATCAGGTCTTTCTACGGGCCTGTGACTTGCGAAAGCATTACCGATCCCATCAGAAATCTTTCTTCTGCAATGAACCAGATTGTAAATGGTCAAGAATTGGGTTCTCTTCGAGCAAAGATTGTCAACGGCATATGCGCTCTCATCGGCCGATGATCAAATGTCTTGCGGCGGAATCACTTGGCTGTGAGCGGGTCTTCAGTCGAATTGGTATGTTATTCCTTATATATATTTTCTTATAGTCCTAATTTGGTAGTGTCTCAGTGCTAATTTCTAAAGATAATATGGTATGCTATCCTAATCGTACTCGATTTTGTTATAAAAACTGAAATCTTGATCGACATACTAATGGGATTGATTGGGGATCTACAGAGAGATCATTATCGCAAGATACATGAGGTTTCGCAGAGTAATTTGCTTCCTCGTTCTTCCAGGCGCAGTACCGGAAAAAAAGATGATGTCTCTAACCTACCTGGGCTTGATGCTGCATGACCCTCATCATGTAGCGGTGTACCTCTATCCTTCACATCTATGATGTCCGCACATTTCACTCGTGTAGCGTTCTGTTTACCTTTGGCGATATTGCAGGAGTTGTGATGATTTGAATTTCGGCTGTGAGAATCCCATATTGCACTTAGACCTCAGTGAGGCCCTCAACCCTAATGTCAATTTGTGTATAAGTTGTTAACCGGGTAAGATATAATAAAGGGATGAACATCATGTATTGTTTGTAATATACAAGAACTAATTCTTATGGAACGAAGAGGGATCTAGGGGGATGAGGTATAACGACACAAAATGCGTTCAAACGCTCTGGGTGGTTCTAGCAGTGGTTTCCTCTCTCCCAGTCGGAATCGTTTTCCAATACTTCTCCTGCTTGCCTCGTTTCACGACCAATCCGAAAATATCAAATGGATCGATAATAGTCTGGATCCAATGACGGGGATCATCATAGCCAGGACCCTCAATCTCTGTGACACCATCCTCAGCAAGATAAATCTTGTTTGAGTGTGGAAGCCAACGCATGGGATGAAAGACATTCAGCAAAGTGGTATTGCTATACATGAGTACAACCTCGAACACCCAGAAGAACCACTCCTGCTTCAGTACAGGGCTGATATGTTCTAGGTCAGAGTATGCATTCAGACTCGCGGCAGTGAAGTATTCCACAGTGCGATAGATGGTACGGATCGTGATAAGGGTGCAGCTACAGTACAACACCAATAGGGCACGCTTGATCTTGTGGTTCAACACGCCTCCTCTGGAGCAGTTGAAGTGGAATCGGGCAGCCAAAGACACAAAGCCTACCATGAGAGCAATCTGCATGATAAGGGCCGCTTTCAGCAGTGCCTTGCCGATGTTTTGCGAGCTGACAGTAGAGTTTGCGCTTGCGACTCGGACCGCTCCGTTCGCTGTAATGCTCTCAATAGCCACACCCAAGGCGATGAAGGTTGTGAATACGCGGCCAGGGTGGATGGGGGAGTGGTATGGGATATAGTAGAGTATGCGACCCAAAATGAAGAAGTTGGCACCCTCATATACCGGTCTAGAACGATCGGACATTGGTCAGTACCGTGTCTCATGATGGGGTGGGTACTTCTTACGGTCCGGCGAGAAGAAGCACAGTGCTTGCGATAAAGACGCCTATATTTCCCCACTGCCCGAACGCTCCGATAGTTCGTGTGATAAAACCTGCAGTGAACAGAAGGGCAGACCAGGGAAGAAGGCCGGTGACTTTCCAGGATTTGTATTTGCTGGTGAATCTGGTTAATTTGAGGGTTCGTAGTGGGTAGAGGTCACATACAAGCATTGATATCCATGGAGGCCACCAGAGATAGCGAAGAGGATTGCAAAGGTAATTGCAGCGCCTTTGTTTGGTGCATAGAACCACAAGCTTCCCTCCTCTTTATTTTGTCAGATATAAGTATTGATCGTGGTTGATTTAGACTTACGATATGACCTTGCCTCGAGCATGGTTGTAGATCCACCAACTAAATATTGTGAACAAATAGGTTTGCGTAAAGATAGCGAGAAGTTAGAGTATGAAAATTCTACAGAAAGGACGTTGGATACTTAACGATATATATACATGACGCTTAGGTCCTATACTTCGGGCAGTGCTATGCGGAACCCTCCTAAACAGATGACCTAAGTGTTCACTTTAGGCAATTTCGTATTCCTTCCAACGCCTAAATAGCGGATCAGCAGGCTTAAACTGACCTCGTATCTGCCTCATTGTGCCAAACAATACGAACACTGCCACTGCCATTGTCTCCTTAACTTCTGATTCGCCAACCTAGTTATCACGCTAATCCAACTTGGGTAACTTCGTTTTCGCTTGCTTTGGGCGTAGATAGAGCCTTAGTGTCCTTCAACATGAACCAATATACGTGTACAAAGTACTCCGTATGGAGTAATTCGTAAAGGCATATAACTGGGACTAAATATATCCCAAGGCCCACCAATGAAAGACATTCCCATGAAGGTATAGAAGGTGTAGATGGATGGCACGTGATATAGTAGTTGTCTGGGTAACCAGCAACCCAAAGCGGTAAGCGCAATGTTGATCTGTAGACGTTCTGGACTTTCCTTTGACAGCTGGCACAACTGTTTTGCATATTGCATACCATCCCCACAGCTTCAAAAGTCCAGAGCCGCACTCGTGTTGTGTGCATACTCACGAGTCGCCCAAGATGCCGTCCAAACAGCCTCAGGCATCGCTGTTCCAAGTTTACCTCCGGTTACGGCCGCCGATGGCCCAGAAGCCTAATGAATCTGATCGCTTCTTGAATGTTGAGCCTCCAGAGGCTTTGGAGGAGGAGACAGAGATTGTCTCCCCTGGATCAACACATATTACTCTTCAGCCACCAAATGACACGAGAAAGCGCGCCGTCGAGAGGTTTGGTTTCACAAAGGTCTTTGAGGAGGCTGCCTCGCAACTTGATGTGTTCCATGACACTGGGATGGAGCCTATCATACGCGGAGTGCTGAAAGAGAACCGAGATGGGTTAGTCGCTACCCTAGGAGTCACAGGCAGCGGAAAGGTATGGACCCAGATATTGCAGCATCGCGATAGCCAAGCTCATGGGTTGACCGTGTACAGAGCCACACTATTCTTGGATCCAAGACCGAACGAGGAATGACCCAAATGGCACTTGACGTTATATTCCGTTCCCTAGAGCCGACAATCAAGACCGACGATAGCAGCATTACACCCGTAATGCTTGCCTCACTAGCTGCTGCGGACGCATCCGAAGCGCAATTGTTCTCCGCCCAAACGTTTTTGGAAGCTGTATATGGCGAGCCAAATGGACGTTCATCGAGAGCGCAAACCCCAATGAGCCCATCTCGTGCCAATACCCCTTTGATGGTACGAACCCCCCTTACCCTGAACTCCCCCAAAGGATCCCCGACCCCGCGACCACGCACCCCTGGATCGTTGCTCCCAAGGCCGAGATCTAAACCTGGAAGCCCCCGCAAGGTGGATTCGTCTTCTACCACCAGTCCCCATAGCCCTGCACGAGCTGGCCTTGGTCAGGTCTCGCCTGGGTCCTCTGGATGGATCACCCCGGGATATTCTAATCCTATCCCCTTCACCCACTCCAATCTATTTGAACCCAAATCAGCTAAATCTCGACTTTATGTCATTAAGGAACCAACCCCTGCCTTGAACTTCCCTCGCCGTCACGTACGTGAACGACCATGCGCCCTTCCTAGGCTGCCCGATATGAGCCATCTTACTGTGGATATGGATTCAAATGCCGACTATGTCGTTTTGGTATCAATGTATGAGGTATACAATGACCGAATTTTTGATCTTCTATCCCCCTCTATCGTCCCAGGTCAGGGCACCATGTCCCGCGGGAATAACCAAAAGGATCGACGACGTCCCTTGCTCTTCAAGCCTACCGAGGGCTCACCAGATCGGAAACTGGTTGCCGGGCTACGCAAAATTGCTTGCAGCAGCTACGAGGAAGCACTGGCTATTTTGGATGTTGGTTTAACCGAACGCAAGGTGACTGGCACTGGAATGAATAGCGTTAGCTCTCGAAGTCATGGCTTCTTTTCTCTGGAAGTCAAGAAGCGGACGTATTCAAAGCGAACCGGCGAACATGCCTGGGCTGGAAATGCTCTCACAGTTGTCGATCTTGCTGGTAAGTATGCCATATCCTTGTTATAGGGATGTTACTAATTAGTCTAGGCTCCGAGCGTGCGAGAACAGCAAAGACAGCTGGTGCTACACTCGCTGAGGCCGGCAAGATCAACGAAAGCTTGATGTATCTCGGCCAATGCCTGCAGATGCAAAGCAACATACAGGATGGAATGAAGGTGTGTTTTGTATCGTTGGTGTGCTTTCTTTCGGCAGCTGCTAACCTACACAGACTGCTCTTGTTCCTTACCGGCAATGCAAATTGACCGAGCTTCTATTTTCTAACTCATTCCCATCGCCTCACCAGATGTCCAGAGGCCAATATCCGCAGAAGGCTGTCATGATCGTCACCGCCGACCCTCTGGGTGATTTCAACGCCACATCTCAAATTTTGCGTTACTCCGCATTGGCTCGAGAGGTTACCGTTCCTAGGGTTCCCTCGATTAGTGAGTCTATCTTGTCTGTCGCTTCTGGTAGTCACCGCTCAGTCAGTGGCTGCACTTCGCCAAACTTCGATTCAACCGAAGAGCTCCAGAGAGCTGTTGCTGAGATCGCACGCCTCACCCGCGATTGCCATGGCCTTGCTGTTAAGCTAGCCGAAGAAGAGATTGCACGGTCCGATGTTGAAATGAGACTGAGAGCTGCTGAAGAAAGATGTCTCATGATCGAGCAAGAAGTGCGAGAAGAATGCTGGGCAGAGATGGATGAGAAAACGGAAGAAGAAAGGCGACGCTGGCAGAGGGCCTGGGACGAGCAGGTTTGTAGCCCTGGATCAGCTCAAAACTTGTCAAATGCTAATACTTTGTAGATCGGTCGCAATGACGAGCACATCGACAAGAAGGTTGAGCTCGTATCCCGTGGATTCCAAAGTAAGTTGCCCATGAGGAGCGAAATCTAAGAACACTTGGACTGACCTCTATTTCCAGTCTTTGAAGATTCTGGGTCGAACGAACGAGTAGAAGAGCTTGAGCAAGAAAATGACCAGCTTCGCCGCAAACTCGCCGCTCTTGAGCGTGAGATGCACAACCAATCCCCTACAAGAAAGCATAAACCCAAGAATGCCACGTCCGCACGGCCTAACCTGCTTAGCCGCGAGAGCGACATCGAGAACGCGTTGCAACGCATGGATCAATTGAAGCTCGCAGATACCATGTTTGCTCCTCCATCGCCCGGAGTCTCGCCTATGAAGAGGACGAGAAAGATGGGAACCCGGAAATGGGACCTTGCCCCAGAGGACGAGATCTAAGCCGTCTTGTTTCCTCTACCATGTTACGACTGTTACGATTTACTCTTCTTACCCTGCTCGAGATACTAGAGCTTTTAATTCCTGGGCTTATCTTTGTTTTTGGTTACTATGGAATGATATCCCTTTGGCTAAGGCGTTTGGGGACAATCCGTTGTTTTTAATAATTGTTGATATTTCATTTCCCAATTGATATCCCAGTTTTGGATTTTGTGAATATTGTACATGTAGCTCGTAAGCCATTTAAGCCACCTGTCTCTCAACGCCATCCTGTAGTTTAAAAAAATCCTGTCTTGAGACACCCCATGTGCTCCATAAACCGAAAAGAAAAAAGAAAGCAAGCCCCCTTGGATATAGCAGATTCCTCAGGACTCAGAGGGCGTAATGTCCATGGCATCTTGCTCCCCGGTATCTTGCTTATCAGTGACATGCTCAGTCTCATTATCATTGATAGACTGATCGGCAGTGAGAATCTCCTTCCCATCTTTGTCTTCTTCCTCCAACTTGGTTTCCTCATCCTGCATCTCCTCATCCTCATCTCCCTCGCCCTCACCATCGCCATCATCCTCACCATCACCCTCACCCTCCCCTTCTTCTTCTTCATTCTCATGACCGCCCTCCTCATCCTCACCATCCCCTTCATCCGCACCTTCATCTGCACCCTCATCGCCAGTTGCTCCTTCCTCTGCATCAGTAACATGAGGGAAAAGCGCCGAAGTCCCCTCATCACCTAGCTTCGTGTCCTCATTTTCGCTTTGCTCAGTCTCTTCCGCACTGTCATGACCATCTCTCTGGTCGGCTGCGCCATCCCCAGTAGCAGGAACCGACTTAGCTGGACCACGAGACGCAGAGCTCGGCCCCGTAGTAGTCGGCCCAGCGCCCTGGGGAGTCGCAGGTGGCTCCGTCTCACCCACGGTGGCTACTTTACTCGCCACAGCCCGAGGAGCCAACTTCGTGTTCACGATTGTGTCCGCGCGTTTCTGGATGTCACGGCGGGCGATGCCCTTCGTCCGGCCGCGCGGTGCCGGGGTATCAGATGTCGGCACCGATGCCGGAACCGCGGTTGGAGTGGCTGATGGCTCAGGAAGACCATCGCCTACCATGAGGAGGTGGTCGACTTTCATCTTTTCTTTATTTTCCTCCGTTGGTTGTTCGATCAGGTGGGGCGTGTTGATCTCGTAGAGGCGGGCGTATAGGTCGGCGATGAGGTCTTCGAACATGGTGATTTTCATGAGGTTGTTGTTAAGCTTCTTTAGCTCCAGGGCGTCGCGAAGTAGCTCTAAGATGGACTGGCTATCTGGTCCCAGTTGAGGGAGACTTTCCAAGCGAGCTGTCTTGGTTGAGAACTCTTCCCACCCAATTGGCTTGAATACGCTTTCTTCGTGGCCTTCGTTGATCTTCGCTGCGCGGCGGATGATCTTGGCATATGTTAGACAAATGTCTTCCCACAGCTTGGTGTGGTTGAAGAAATCGCCTTGCTTTTTTCTCACGCGACGCAGAAGTTGATCTAAGCTTGCGCGATCGTCGAGTTGGTCAAGAAGGCCAACGAAGAAGTACACGTAGCGGGTTGTGTAAACGAAATGTCGACCGGGACGTTCGAATTCGGGCCGCCAGACTTGGATCGTAAGTGTCTTGGTGAATATTTGGGAAAGTTCTTGCTTGGCAGCAAGAGCTGCGGTTGCGTTTTTTTGCTCGTCGTAGATGACATGTGCAGCCTAGGGGTTGTAAGCATAATGTACAATAAGAAATCAAGTTGCGGGCGACATACCTTTACGCCCATGCGATGGTGCCAGTTGGACTTGTCGGCGCTCTTGTATTTCCGAAGGACTTCGAGTATGTATGGGTTCCATCCTTCCATATTCTCGGGAGGGTCGATCTTACGGGCCCAAGGAGTGGCAAGGAGGGTCTTGCTTCCTTCGGCAGGCTGATGTTGCTGTCAGAATGAGTTCTTCATGTCAGGAGTGGTACAACTTACCGTCATGTTTCCTCGGAGAACAAGCTTGTGTACAAAAGAGAAGAGTTTGAAATGTGGCTCGAAGATCGGATCAGAGCGTGAGTCTCTGCGCTGCGGAAGTGCAGCAATAGCATTAAGAATAGCATCTATCACTTCTCGCATTTCGACTTTTTTGGAAGTGGTTCTCAAAGCATCATCGCTAGTGAACATTTTCCAAAGACATTTGCCAAGCGTGTAGTGAGTCCTATGAATGTAAGTATTCTTTCAGTGTCCCAATTATGTCAAGTGGCAGGAATTCACTTACATCCATCGCTTAGACTTGTCGATAGCTGCCCGTTTGAGAAGGTTGCTAGCAAAGTTCCATGTTGAATAAAGCGTCATCTCTTTGAAAGGCGTTCCCTTGTACATTTGTTGGCTCTCCTCGCTGCTGAAATGGCGAGGGAAGTCCGCAACACTGAAGGCTCCCATGGATAGCGGCTCGCGGGAGGAGGAGTATAGGCGGAGACCGAAGTCTGAATACAGATCTGACATCAATTCTCTAGTCTCTGCCGTTGGCTCTGCAGTCCTCATTGCTGTTGAAACAGCCATGGCATAGCAATGAATAGCGTTTCGCTGTAGGGCTGCCAACTCCGAACGGTTGTTGTTGATTTTATCGGCTGTCCATGTAATGTCTTCGTCAAGCTTCGAGTCATATGTTTGGGCGAGCCTATACCAGGTTTCCCATCTCCCTGTTCCATGATCCAAGTCTTGCCTAAAGAACCCAATCGCGTCATCAAGTTCGCTTGTTGGACCAGGGCTGAGGCGCTTCGAGGATCGGAACTTGGTGAGTGCGGCATGGCCGAGGAGGAAGAACCACCCCTTCGCAGCAATCTTGGCATTCTCAGTGGGAACTACTGTTGTCGAGAGTTCTGTGATACCCTGAACAGCACGAAGGAGGTTGGATGGGTTGAGTGCGGCTTTTAGATACGCATTCACAAGGCGACGATTGAAAGTCAACTGTGGTGTCTGTGAAGTAGCCTTGGCAGGGCCAATTGCTTGCTGCATCTTCTCAATGGTAGTTTTCAATTCAGACTTTGACAAGTCCTTCATATTCATCTTGTTTGCTTGTTGCAGAACAAAGTCGATCATCATGATCGCCGTAGGGCGATCCAATTTCTCGGGTGAACATCCATGGTCGATAGTCCCATCGAATGCAGAGAATTTGATGCCATGGAGATCAAGAAGTATTTGATACATATCAAATTCATAATCGCCCTTGGTTTCAAGACCAAAGAGTTCCGCTTTGAGAAGCTTCAAAAACCTCTTTTGCGAATATCTGCACATCGAACGAACGCCCAATGCATTATGGACGGAACGAAGGAAATGAATGCGGTCTTCAAGCGGATCATCGAAAAGCTCCTTGTTCTGAGCGATCGCTTCCATGAAGAGAGTGTACTGTAAGATCCAGCATCGAACATATAACTCTCGCATTCTTTCTTTCAGGCTTTCTAGCGACTTCGCCAATGAGCCTCGGAAGTCGCGCCCAGAGATCTGGCCTACTCGCACCGAGTCCTCGTAAAGGATAAAGCTGTGCAAAAGCCTCATGAGGCGGGCAACAGCAGACATCGAGGTTTGTAAATGCTCCATGTCAAAACAGTCAAATGCTTTTTCCGAATCTTCAAGAATAAGCACTATAGCTTTGGCCACAATGCCATCGAGGGCTTTGAGCCAACCCAAAAGGGCTACTTGACGGTGTTGGCTTGTTTCTGCGCTGTGTTTCGCTGCCTCGAGTTCTGCCATTACCACCTCGATGCTTCGTAAATAGCAAGAGACAACTTTAGGCGGGTAGTCAATAGCCTGGTATGCTTCCTGGAGTCGGCGCCAGAGGAACAGTCGCAATGTAGCGTCTCCTCTATCGAGGAAGGCAGCCATTTCACCGAGATGTGAGGTAGGGTGATTCATGTCATTCTCCTCTGAAACTTCAGCATACTCAATAGACGAGGGTTCGAGAATGGGCTCTATTGCCTCGATGAGAGACACGGGATCCTCAGAGTCTGAGTTGAATACCTTGGCGAAAAAGTCCATGCACTTGAGTTTCAAGACCTCTTGGTCTATCACAGCAGTGGACAATTCTGACATCGTAGCATTGTTGATGAGATTGACATTTGGATTATCAAGAGACTGAAGAATTTGCTTCAGGTCTTGAAGACAGAGTAGAATATGCTCTCGCTGTGCGTCCCCGGCAAGATTAATATGGAATGCTGACGCCCACAAATGGCGCAGGATGAGATTTGACTGGGGTTCGACGGTTGGGTTGTAGTTGACAAAATGATCTACGGATGACCGGGCTAGCATACCCCAGCGAGCCAGGCGATCACGCTGTGCGAGTCTTGTCTCCTGGACTGTCTCACTGCCAAGACTCTCAGCCGAAGCAAAAACATCCAAATGAAGCTCGTATATGCTTTGTATCATCTCAAGTTCGAAGAAGTCTTTGGCCTTATATTCAAATGGAGCTCCATTGCTCGAGCCAAGAATTCGAGCTTCAAGATTGGAGATCATTTCGCTGCACGCACGGTAGGTAAATTCATCCTCCCGAACTAGGAGTTCTATCACAGTCTTCTTTAGGTCTTTTGGCCACAGGAAACAGATGTAAGTTGACTTTGCTACCAACCAGTCTGAAGACTCTTGGCCGAAATCCGGCATGAGAAGACACTTTAGCCATTCGAATGAAGTTTCATAGGGATGTAGCCAGCCGGAGTTGATGGCATTGGAAAAATTATAAAGTTGCTCCCCAGAAGGAAGCTCTTCCTCGACAACTGGCTTCCGAGCACCCTTTCTTGAGTGCTCAAGGAAAACAGCCAATCCTGACTTGCTCGTGCCACGGATGTCCTTCAGCGAAGACAAATCGTCTTTCTGCTGCATCAATCGAGACTTTTCGTCATCCCATGTCTTGATGAGACCTCGGAAATCCCGAATCAATCGTGTCTCAAGATCTTGAGGTGTATCAGTTGAGTCATTCCCAGAACACTTTTCTCTCAGACTTTCAATGCTACCGATCGCATCAATACCGACCTTCGAGAAGAGAGAGTCGACCGTGCTGAACATCCAATCATCAGCATTGACAAAAACCTCAAGACGGTCTTCGTAGTATTTTTCTTGATCGAATGCAATCTCTTCGGGCAATGCCAAAGCGTCGGCATTTGATTCTCGCGCTCGGGTCCGTCTGCTTTTCATGCGGCCGCCCTCTGGTTCCTCGTTCGCAGCTGATGTAGACGATCTTTTTCGAGGGTCCACCGTAGAGTTTGTGTCAACTTCTTCTACGTGAGTCCCATCTTGTTCGGCCTGCTGATCCTGTGGCTGCGTCGATTGACGCTCCAACGACTCCATCAATTGCTTTTCAGCACCTTGATCGATCGATGCATGTTCCTCTCCCGGCTCAGTGGGCTCTTTCGTTGGCGGAGGTGAACTTTGATCAGGTTTGGTATCGTTTTCGGTTGTTTCAAGCATATTCACATCGGCAACCTCGTTACCACCATTATTCCCCCGCTCCTCGGTATCTACGGCCATTTCGGTGTCCTCTTCATTTGCGATCGGCGTAGTCGGAGCTTGGGAGCTTCTGGAAGGTAAGATAATACCAATTGACCGGGTCGGAACATCAGCGAGCGAGTTGTCATCTTCATCGTCAAGTGCTTGGAGAAGCGCCTTGCCAACTGACTCCCAGGTTGGGTTAGCGGGGGTTATCTCTCGACGAGAAGGGTGCAGGGCAAGAGGGCCCTTTGACGGATCTAGGCGGCGCAAGTCAGCGGGAAGTGCGGGCAGTTTAGGATATGGATCCTCATGCTGTTTGAGGTATTTTAATAAAGCTTTCTTTGGCCTCTGGACAGGAATTTGTGAGACAGATAACTTGTCAAAGAGGGACTGTAGCGTGCTTCGCAGGCGCTGCTCCGCAAATATCTCCTCTAGGCCAAGCTGCTCTGACCGTAATTCCAGGCGGTTGTCATCATCTGCAAGGACACTCTCCAAGCAATACCGAGACAAGCGGTAGCTGTTTAATGAACTGCTGAGTCTTGCGCTCTGCCTCCAAAGGTTCAGATCTGAGTCGTCTCGTTCCAAGGCGTCCCCAAAAGATCCCAAGGCTTTCCTGGATGCCTCCGTCAACTTTTTTTGTGTTTCCTGCTCGGATTCGGGGGTTTGCGGCGTTGTTCGTATGGAGTCTTGTACTGAATCGAGCACAAATTTGCCGTGGTTTTTATAGGATAGGTAGAGCGTTTGGAATAGACTGGAGGTAGAGTCATTGACGTTGAACTCGGCGATCGATTCTGTAGCAATTTCATCATGCGCGTCGTCGAAGGCGCCCCTTTTGAAATCGGATATCGACTCTGGGTACTTGAAGATGTCCGAATTGAGAAGAGCTTCATAGGCATCGGCAGCTTGAGCATAGTGCTCTGGCCCTTGTGAATGCAGCTTCAAGGCACTGTGGTAAAGCTTTAAAGCTTCCTCGATTTGAAGCTCCTTGGTGTCATCAACTTCTTCTTCGATAGCCTCATCGGGCTCAACATTCAATGCGACCCAGCTCGACATACTGTGAGCTCCACGCGGGCCCCTCAGATATCAGATGTAAAAGATAAATCAGGCGACGGCATCGGGCAGGACACCGAGACCATAAATGCGGGCAGCAATAATGAGCAAATCAATTTGTTATCGCGGGCAGACACACGTTATCACGCGTAGCCACCAATCGGGGAAAGTGTTTGAGGCCTGGATGCCTGAGTGCCTTAATGCCTGGCCCTGGTGCCTGGTGGCCTGGAGCCCTTTCCTTGGGGGGTACTGACAGTTGGAGTATTCTTAGATCACTCTTCACTTCCCCTCAGCACAACCCCTGAAACGTCTTACGATTCACGCAGAATTCATTATTAAGATACCCTCATCTTTTATTCCACCGCGCTTGTGCTGGCGCCATGGTCGCGCCCGCTGTCCCTGAGTACGTGCTCCTATCCCCGTTTACGTGTTCCCCGGGTTGCATATGCATGGCCATTGTTCGAGATTGTCAAGAGTTGCCACTACGATGATTAGAGGAATTGTGACTAAGATTGAGGGCATTATATAGGATTCATGAGGAGGAGGATATCTATGTTGCGGTCGATGCGCGAACGGAGTCCCTGCAGAGCTTGCGAGAACTAGGCCCTCCAGATTTGGTCTATTTGGTGAAACAGCCTAAAGCCAATTCGACTCGCCAGGTAAGATATAGGATACCGACTTTGCTTCCATGATCCAAATCTTCATGTGTGAACAATTGATTGATTTTCTATATAACGCAGACCGGAGTTTATCATCATGTCACCGGAATCGACGCCTCCTCGTCCGCCAGCTTAGCTGCCTATGTTAATACCCTCACATTCTCTCCCCTCGACAAGACGCATAAAGTCGTATCGGGAATCTACTGGTTAGAATCTATGTTGGTATGGTGTCGGGTTCGTGTGCTTATTTCTATACAGTTGCTACAATGCATTCTCCCATCTCGATATGCGCGTCGAAGTCAAGATCCCAGGAAGCTTAGAGAGCTACTGCATTGATGAGCGGGGTGACAAGCGAGTTGCTACTGAAGCTCTTTGGCTTGAGACCTTCCTTTGCGCTGTTCTGAGGGCTTATCTCTATGCAGACGATGGAAGCGGAGATGCCGTCAAAAGGATTGTTGGAGTCCGACGTTTCAATCCCGTGACAAACACAGAGATGGAACACAAGTTCTTGGATGCTGCTGAGAAGCTTTTCTTCTTGGGTATGGATATGAACCAATTTCAGAGGTTAACTGTTATGTCTCTTAACTAACAATCTTTTAGGACGCCAATTGAGTTCTGACCCCGAAACCCAAGTTCCTAACACTGTGAGCAACCACCTCACATCCGGCATCCTTAAATACATCCACACCACTGGCCGATATACCTCTGGAATCAACTTGTTTGAGAAGCTCCGCACAAAGGACGTGGAGGTTTCGTCCCTCCTGGCTCGTGTACAGATTATGGCAGACGAGGAGGTGCAAGCCGTACGCCTCATGTACGACGCTTTACAAGATGTTCCGATGGACTATGCTCTGCTTGATTGTCAGGCTAGTTTCTGTCAAAGCAAAGGCGAAAGCGAGATGGCGCTTGAGTGCGCTAAGCGTGCAGTTACTGCAGCTCCCAGCGAATTTAGTACATGGGCTCGCCTCGCAGAGGTATATGTCGGTATGGAGCGCTGGGACTTGGCGCTTCTCACTCTCAACTCTTGCCCCATGTTCACCTATCAAGACAAAGATACCCCTCGCATGCCACAACCGTCACGCATCATGCTCCCAATTCTTGCTGAAAGCATTCTCGATGAAATCGACGAAGGCCAGCCAAAGCAGGGAGACCCTCACGACTATGTCCACCCTTCGCTTCGAAAGATTCATGCTGCTAGTTACCAAGGTACTTTCTTGAAGGCCTACAACCTTCTAACAAAAATAGCTGCTGCCATTGGGTGGGATCAGCTACTGAAGGCCCGTAGTCAGGTTTTCGTGATGGAAGAAGAATACCGTGTTGAGCGGCAGCATGTTCCTCCCAAGCCCGCTGCATCATTGGAGGCAGAGACTAACGGCAAGGTCCCCGACAGCGAAGATGACTCTAGCTCTGTGGCTGGCCCTGGCCCGGCCGAGCCGTCTTCGGAAGAAACTACCAATGGAGATGTGGGAGACAGTCACGCCGAAAGCCCCCTCGAGCGACCAGAGCAAACAGTAGCATCCGAGGTTGTCAAGTCCGGTAGCGAAGATGTACATTATACACCCATCAGGGACCTATTTTTCATATATGCTAACTGTTTATGTCACAGCCCGACCCATCCCACGCCTCATACACGCAATTCCGAAACAAGCGACTGTGTGAGAGGTGGCTAGATAACTTGTTCATGGTGCTTTACGAGGATCTGCGCATCTACACCATCTGGCGGACTGAAATGGCCCAGTTCCGTCAACAAGCCATGGAATACAAGAAGTCTGCTACCGAGTGGGAAATTCTTGGTGAGCTTGCGCAGCGACTGCACCATTTCGACGAAAGTATCGAGGCATACCAGAACTGTCTCGCCACTCGGTTCTCACCCAAGGCTATGCGTGGAGTGTTGAAGTTGTACGAACAGCGAAATGACACCAGAGGCATGCTCGGCGCGTTGATCCGTCTGATCGCCTGGCAATATCGCTGGTACTCCGAGGTATGTCCCCTCCCAATACTACCTATTACTTTAATCACTATACTAATAACTATCAGTTCTCCCCCGAACTTTTGTTCATGGTTCGCAAACTCATCGAGGACGAGGGTGCCGTCAAGGTCCGTAGCATTGTCCAAGCGACAAATCTACCTCAAGCCGTCCTAGACCTCACACACCAGTACTGTCAACTGTGTGCCACCTTCCGCAGCAGCGGTAGCGACACTTAAATATGTTGGCGATCACACAAACCGAGTCAGAAGACATTTTTATGTCTTCCCTGGATATCAAGATAGAAAACGGGGGCGCAGGCAGGGCTAATGACCATCCTTGATTGATGACACCTTTTTTTTGCACTTTCTCTTGGTCCGATTAGGTAGTTTCCTTAGATGGTATATATTTCTATGTTCCATATCTGGTTGTGTGCCCGATTTTGAACATAAAGGTAAATCTCATGCGCAGTAGGTATAGTTTGTGGATGCCCATTTAGGTCTAGACTTCCACTCCAACTGTCCAATGCCAGTCTATTTTAGGATCTCGGAACCCACCGTAGTGGAGAGACAAAAGTCAGCTAGTAGACAAGCTTTAACGGCGCTTTCTATGCACGTCATCTCCATTCCCTATATAGCGGGAATTGACTACTTCCATGTCTAGACTAACATGATATCGGATTTATATAGAGAGCTCACTTTCAACAGCGTTCTACATTTATAACACCTCTGTATACAGGAGGTTATCACAAAGTAATCCACCATGAGCGACTTCCATTAGAATTCCATTGCTACAAAATCACTCCTCTTTCTCACCCCCAGCCTCAGCAACATCCGACTCCTTGGGAACATCACCACCCTTCTCCTTAGCCTCAGCCGGTTCACTCTTCTCGGTATCGGCAGCACTCTCAATCACAATTTCCTCAGCATCTTCCTCCTTTTCCTGTTTTCCGCCATTTGCGGCGCTATCCTCATCCTCAGTGACAACAGTAACGGTCTTCCGCTTCTTTGCTGCTGGTGCGCCTGGAGAGGGGTGTATTAGCGCGGGCTTGGGAGGATATAAGAGCTTAAGATGAAACGTACCTTCGTCCTTGCCTTTAGCTTCCTTTTTGTCTTTGGCTTCCTTGTCTTTGGCTTCTTTTTTGGCTTCAGGTTCTGGCTCAGGCTGTGCTTCTTCGTCTTCCTCGTCTTCGTCAGACTCGGACTCGCCCTCAACCTCCTGTTCGCCCTCGTCGCTGCCTTCCTCTACATCGGGCTCGGAGTCTTCGTATCTATTTCATCGCGATTAGCAAGACTAATTGTTTCAATAGATTTCGATATGTTTCAATTCGCAGTTTGAGATCATTCGTAATCGCTGCGCAGCTAGTATAGTGCAGTGGAACGATGCGCAGGACATTGGCGCAAGGGTGGGAAGAAAGGGATGAGAACTCACTCTTCCTCCTCTTCGCTCTCATCACTAGGAAGGGCCTGGAGCTCCTCTTCGGTTTCTTGCTTTCTCTTGCGGGTAGTCATTGTAAAGAATTAGGGGTGGGAAATTAAGCAAGTATAGAGGGTAGGTGAAGGGTGAAATTAAGAGAAGGTTCTGGATTGGCAAAAGTCCCAAGTCTTGGGGGGGAGGACGGGAAATATAGAGAAAAAAAATCCAAGGGGAAATCCAAGGACATAAGCGGAGGTGACGGTGACGACATGGGAGTTTAGGGTTGTCCTTACACTCCGGTTCAGTGCGTGGTGCGTGTCGTTAAGAAAAACCCTGGATTCTCTATTTACATTCCGTAGGTATTCCATTCCATCTTTGACATTCCTTGTAGATTTAAGCCTTTTGGTCATTGTGTTAGAAACTCAAAATCTGCCATGCTTGGATCTAGCAGATTCTCGTCAAGTCCAAATCCGTATGTGCCGACCATGCCATAGATAAGATCTGGCGGGGGGAATCCCTGTGCCATGGCATTGGCTCCCCCAGGGACATCACGTCCTTCCACTGCTGTGTCATTGCTTTGGAATTGCCAGGCAGCTTCCCAAGCGTCATAGCGCTCAAGCATCTTGCCCAACCCACGTGCGATATGTCGGGTAAGATGTCGCTCGCCTGCAGAGACGCAATTCATCAATTCGATCACACGCTCAACTAGCCGTCGTACTTGGCGGGGATTGATGCTAAGGTAAGCTGTGTTCCAATTGATTGCGACCTTGAGTAGGAAAACAGCGGAGAATGTAACCATAGTGTGGGTGAAAATCGGAACGCCGACGATCGCATCCCGGATATCAGGCTCCTCCAGAACCATATTAAGACATGCCATCGCTGAGGAAATCGCGATGTTGGCCGATTCCTTGCGGTCCATAGAGAAAACAGGTGTGTTGGATGGTGAAAGCGCACGAAGGGAAAGCGAGTTCAGTTGGAACTTAGCAAAATGGTAGTGCAAAACCACCCCTTTGGATGGATAAGTCCGCACATAGGCACTATCGGCTGTAATGCATTCCATGATATGTTAGCACCACGAGTTGTTGAGAATTAGCTTGATAGATCACTCACCAGATCGAGGTTGCCAGAGAAGTCGCCATTGGTCTACTGCGACATTATATACACGCAACTGTCCAAAATCCTCCTCGGTCAACGCTTGTTCAGTGTCGCTTCCGAACATTCGATAGGCCTCAGTCAAAATCATAAAGAGAGCAACTTGAGCTAAAAGCCGAATGTCTCCTGGGACAATCATCGGCAGCGCAAGGAAGGTCTCATAGTTGCGAATCACCACATCCTCGTGGATGACTGGTGGCCGCCCATAGGCAATACTGAAGTGATGATCGCACACATAAAGCAGATACCAGAGCTGGGCGCGTTCATACTGATCCGTGTGTCCACGGGTCAGACGCTGATAACTTTGATGGAGGCCCATCTCGGTCGCGATTCGCACCGCATGCCCGGACAACTTCCAACTCAACTCTGAGAGCCAGAATGCCCCAACACAGAGGCCTCGGATATCATCCAAAGTGTGAGCCCGGGTGAGGGCCATGTTGGATACGAGCGATACATACTCGCTGTAGCACCGGTTCAAGGTTTCGGTGCGGTTCGGAATATGAAGTGCTGCGACAGTCAAAACCGCAGCGGAAAGAAGCGTCGATGCACGACGGACGGATGTCAAATCGCGGTGTACAAGAATTATTCCACCCCACAGTAGCTGGTTCATTGTGCGACTGAAGTACGCGAATAATTCCTCCGCTTCATGGAGGGAGATCAATCGTCGTGAGATGAAATCTTCCTCTAGCAACGTCTGTTTCGGTGCCTCGACATGATTGTTTCTCAGGTTCCGTAATTTAGTCACCTCGTATAGACTGCGCATAGGAGCAGGAACCAGATCCGGGTCTTGGAGATCCTGCTCCGGCGATGGCTCCCGGGTAACATCCATCACGACTCCTAATCCCTCCTGGTGACTGGGTTGTGGCTGCAACCGATCGACGGAGGGATGGTGGACATGATACGATTCGGCAGGACTGGGGCCATTGAGAGCATCCCCGGGAGCATAGGTTGAGAGCTCGGGCATCCCGCCTTGTCGCAATAGATGTGAAACAGCCGCCTGCAGCTGGAGCATAGTGGCATTGGCCTGTGATTTCCATCTATATCGGAGTCATTAGATTAGCGCAGCCCCTGATAGCTCCCAAGCTCAAAGGGCCGGGGGCGGGGTCACACGTACATCCCATCATCATCAACGAATTTTTGTGAAAAGTCGTTTACGACGCATTTAATACCGCTGCGGGTACATTTTGTACAAGTTGACTCTCCTGGCCGAAACTCGCAACGAATCTTATGCCGCTTGCATTCTGCGCCTGTTCCCCGTTAATGTGGGGGGTTTCGGGGGATGATGTGGGTAAGACTCACAGGCACGAGCTTTTGAGATCTTGGGGATAGGACGTGTCTTGCTCCCTTGAGGTGAGTCTAGCCCAGCGTCATCGGGAGATCGCTTTAGCGGAGTGGCATCCATCTAGAGAAGAGTCGGTGATACTCCGGGCATGCGGGTGGGCAAAATCTTCTCCGTAGTGTGGGGGTTAGGAAGGTCGGAGAAAAGCCAGAAATAACAGCCGAGGAAGAGAAAAATTGCAGTCTATATTTTTAAGCAGAGGATATTATGATCAATTGAAGTTCTAAGAGAGAAGAAGAGGAAGAGAGAAAAACAAATTGTGTGACTTGGACCCCCGCACGTTTCCCCGTTTATCCACATTATTTTATATTTGTTCAATGTTGAAGAGATTCAATTATTACAGCCTTAATTGTGAATTGAATTTGTTCCATAGAATATACTACCTATATCTATGACTAACAATCACAAGTAAACATTCCCCCGGATTCCCCCTGAACAACAAAAGGGCCCTGAAAGTCCGTAAATAGATCCACATGGAAACCGGGACAAGTCCGGTGCGGAGGAGGAAACATCAACTCGGACTTGATGCGAATTGCGGAGACCAGAACTTACATATTCGAACACCTTTCCCTCTATATTGTATTCCCTGTTCAATCATATCATACAATCACATCACAAAATGCACGTCCTAATCACTGGCGCTGCCGGTTTCATCGGCCAATTGCTCGCAAAGGAGCTATTGAACGACCCAGAATATCGCGTCACACTGACCGATATAAACCAACCTCCAATTCCCGCGGGCGTTCGCTATCCCGAATCGGCAACAGCAATCAAGGCCGATCTCTTGACACAAGCCAAAGACATCGTCGAGTCATCCTTAGATGCTGTCTATGCCTTCCACGGCATCATGTCCTCCGGCTCCGAAGCCAACTTCGAACTGGGCATGAGTGTCAACATCGATGCAACCCGCAACCTACTCGAAGCACTCCGACTCACCTGCCCAGGAGTGCGAGTCATCTATTCATCCAGTCAAGCCGTATACGGCCAACCCTTGCCAGAGATCGTGACCGACAGCGTGATCCCGACTCCAGAGTCCTCCTACGGTGCCGAGAAGGTCGTATGCGAAACGCTGGTGAACGAATATACTCGTCGGAAATTTATTACCGGATTTACCCTGCGGTTCCCTACCATTTCTGTTCGACCCGGGGCGCCGACGGCTGCAGCTTCGTCTTTCCTCTCTGGCATGATTCGGGAGCCGCTAGATGGCAAAAAATGTGTGATCCCCATTGAAGATAGACAGTTCAAATCGTGGCTATGCTCGCCAAAGACTCTTGTGGAGAATCTTCTTCTCACTCTGCGTCTTCCGGCCGACTCTGTTCCCCCGCATATTCGTCAGATTAATGTGCCTGGAATCTGTGTCACGGTTCAGGGTATGATGGATGCATTGAAGGCTGTGGGTGGCGCGGATAAGCTGGATCTTCTTACAGAGAAGGAAGATCCTGCGTTGGTACCAATTCTGAAGTCGTGGCCGACGCAGTTTGACAACACTCAGGCTATCTCCTTGGGGTTCAAACGCGACGAGTCTTTTGAGCAGACCGTGCGGGATTATAAAGAGTCATTGACACAATAATTAGTTCGATTTTAAAAACATAGACGATATCATTTATTGATTTCCTAACTCTTCGTCCTTTGAGTCACAAGAATAGTCGGCCTTACCTCTTTTCAGAGGTCTTTCGAGATATCCTTTTTAGATATCCTGTCTCCATATTGTATAACCTTTAACAAAGATAGACAGAGAACGAAGTGGTTTCCAATATAGACCAGGATTATTTACAGCCAAGTTATGGGCCCAAACCACTGCCGGCTTTTCAACCCACCTCCTTTCAACTCTTTCGTCACTCGACAAACTCTTCCTTATCTCCTCTAAACCACTCCAACATGCCAATACAAATCTTCCTTCTCGTATACAAAGGCGTGCCAGTAGACTTTGAATTCCAAAAAGATTCCGAGAACCCTATATCAGAATAGGTAATAGCTTGGATTCCGGTATGTACGGCGCCGGAATCTGTCACCAAGGCGAAGATCATTGCGTGTGCTAGCACGGCAGTGCGCAATAGTAATAACGATCGTGATTGGAACTGTCAGAACTGGGTTGGGGAAGCTTTGGCTGAGCTTATTAAGATTGGTTGTTTGAGCAACCAAGAGCGTGGGATGGCTATTGATAAAATGGTAGAGGTTATTTTGGAGGCGGAGCTGGAAGATGTGAGTTGGATAACTGTTTCATGGAGAAACTATATATGCTGATCTGTACTTTTTTGTGTACAGGGTGGGATGTATTGATATGGCTACTAGATAACCACTGGCTGGTAGTTTCTCAGATGATGTGCTCGAAGTTATCTTTTAGCCTGTTAAACATATTATATTGAAAGAAGTCCCACGGTATTTATTTATCACCACGAGCTTTAAGAGCTGTCTTTGCCCCAGGCTTCCACTTGTTCAATAAACAACCTCGACAAAAATTGTCGCTTTTCCCTTTTGTGGACGTCACAAAGCTCCAGACACTCATCACTAGTATGGATGTATTGCTCTCGGAATGTATCCCATAGGGAATTTTCCGGACGAGGATAGAAGGGATCGTTTCTCCAGAAGGCCTTCACGGCTTTTCCAACACCATTCTCGTCCATCGTCATATCTCTGCATAGATCAAAGTCCAAAATCCACATGCTATGCCTTCCCAAGACATTATCGATATGGCCACCATCGTTATCATTGCAGGGCGCGAGGACAAACTCAACATCATTGGCATCTATGCCAGCAATCCAGTGCATCATAGCAAGTGCTTCTGCCATCATTCGGGCATATTGATGAAGATCATCAGCTGGGATTGCCAGCTCCTCTAGCTGGTCTTCATGTAACGGGTAATTTCGTAAAGAGAATGCTTTGAACCGCGAGAAGGTTTGAGAACCCCGGGTATGTGTTCGTCGTCTGCCCAAATATAGTCGAATTAGGCAATCTCGATCCGGCTCGCTATTGATGATCTTTTGTTTGATTTCATCCGGGCAGAATGCTTGAATAAGAAGGTGTCGGGCTGATTCTCCAAATGGTGGAATACGTTGTGCCTCAATCATATTGCATGGTGTGTATCCTTGGGGAAATCTTTCTAGATTTGCAGCCCACCACTCTTTGTTCCTTGGCTCGATGAAGTTGTGACAGGATGGTATCTGGATTTGGACTTGAGTGGATTTTAATCTCATGAGGGTTTGTCGACTTTTAAGTACTCGATTGTGCATTTCGAAGTCGTTTTGGAGGGAGCGTGCTGGGTTTCCATCTTCCCTTTTGTAGGCCGGTCCCGTTTCGGATGCCCATACAGTGCCGCAGGCGCCACGGCCGATGGTCTGTAGTTTTATCATTTGGAATAATTTGGATAATTTGGTAATCTGAAATTTGGAGAAGGGACGTGAAAGAATTTCTGAGGGTAGCTTTCATCTCTCGTGCTACAAGGTTTACCGTTTACCTTACATATACCATGCCCTAATTGGTATCGGAGCTATTCCAAGGTACTACATATGTTTGTCGGATTGCCTGTCAAAATTTAATATGAAATTTAATTTGCGTAACTACGCTGTTGATACTATTGATACCTACCCAATTTGAGGACATGAGATCGAGCAGGCAGCGATTCTGTTCGGCCAAAGTTTACTTGAAGATGGTAAGGTTGACGTCGAGATTTCTCATGGTCTTGGCGTGGATTTCAGAGGCACAAAACTGTGCTTTGTTTACATGGATGGCTTAAAGGCATCTATACATTTACAACTCATTTTGGAAGCTGCAACCGATGATGCCTTCCTTGGAAGGTGGTTGTCTGATATAGTTCTTATCTCTCCTTATCGGCACGTGCCAGTCGCGTTCCCAATAAGGCAACATCACTTCGCGTCCAGCGAGAACTCTCGCCTTAATGATAATTCGCACTGACCTGTCACTCAGTCACTGGACACTCAACTCGCCATGAGCGAGGAGTGTGCAAATCCCCTACTCCTGGGGTGGATCAAAGAATGGCTGGACCAAGCTCGAGAACGAAATAGCAAAGGCGTGACCGTGTACGTATCTCTTGGCGCCCTTCGGAAAAAGACTATATCTAACAATCCTATAGGTACAAAAAGGCCTATGAGTCAATGAAAGCCTGTCCGTTAGAATTCCAACATCCATCTCAAGCACAGCAATTGAATGGACTGGGTCCTAAATTGTGTGACCGCTTGACTGATAAATTAAAGGCCCACTGTCAAGAAAATGGGCTTCCAATGCCGGAACCGCCTGACAAAGGTTTGTGGTGTGAATTAGCCCTTTGTCCCCGAAACCGACGCTCAAATAGGTCAAATAGGTGGGAAGAGAACATCCGAAGGCGGCGCGGATCAACCGGCGAAGAAACCTCGGAAAGCCAAGCCGTATGTACCAACATTACGATCTGGTCCATATGCATTGATGTTGGGCTTGGGAACCCAAGACGAGAATGCATCCCAGGGGATGACGAAGGCTCAGCTGATCGAGGTGGCCCAGCCATACTGCGACAGTTCTTTCACAGCACCCCCAGACCCGACCAAGTTCTACACCGCGTGGAATTCAATGAAAACCCTCATCCAGAAAGACCTAGTCTATGAACATGGTCGTCCCCTTCGGAAGTATCTTCTTTCTGAAGAAGGCTGGGAGGTAGCCAAACGTCTCCAAAAGACATTACCTGGTGCTGCTCAAACCGCCACGTCCGACTCCCAAGCTACTGCAACGACTGAGTCTCAGCAAGCAGCATTGGCCGCCGAAATAGACTCACTTCAACAAGAAGATGATGCATCGGCAGATGCCCAAGAAAATTTATCCGAACACGACATAGCCAATATCGAGCCCATCTTCTTCCCACCCAAAAGCTTCACCATCCAGCTTGTATTAGATACCCGAGAAGTCCGCACCTCCACCGACCGCGACTACATCTCCGGCGAATTGATGAAGCAAGGAATCACGCCGCAAGTACGTGCTCTGGAAGTCGGCGATGCAATGTGGGTAGCCAAATGCCATGACCCAACTTTCCTCGCAAGTCACGGCGAAGAAGGCGACGAAGTGATGCTAGACTGGATCGTCGAGCGAAAGCGCCTGGACGATCTAATCGGATCCATCAAAGACGGCCGCTTCCACGAACAAAAGTTCCGTCTCCGTCGCTCCGGCATCAAAAACGTCATCTACCTAATCGAAGAGTTCGCAGTCACCCACCCCGACTCGACGAGCGGGAGTGCAGCGCAATACCAAGAGATGGTTGCGTCAGCCATCGCCTCGACACAGGTTCTTAATCAATACTTTATCAAAAAGACGAAACATCTGGACGAGTCAATCCGATATCTGGCGCGCATGACTCTACTCCTGCGGAAGATGTACGGAGTTGAAGATGCGTCCAGTGGAAACGGTAGCAATATCAACCGTAGCACGGGTCCTCCATCTCCAGTATCCAAAATTGGCCTCATCCCCGGCCGCCGCCTAGCCACTGACTCGTATCTCAGCGTTCTCGATAATCTCCGCTCTCAAGACCCGTCCATCACGTACGGGGTTTCATTTGTGACATTCTCTGCGCTCACTTCCAAGTCTGATGTCCTTACTCTCCGCGATGTATACTTGAAGATGCTCATGTGTACCCGTGGCGTGACGGGCGAAAAAGCCCTTGAGATCCAACAGATCTGGCCTACGCCGCGGCATTTAGTGGATGCGTACATGGCTCTGGAGCCTAAGGAGCGGGAGACGATGATAGCGACTCGGATGTCTGAAGTTGTAGGGCGGAAGAAAGTTGCTAAAGACCTCAGCAAGCGCATTGCAGAAGTTTGGGGCGAGTCGAATTTGTATTAGGTCTATCGAGACTACTTTGGAAACAGACTTGGGCACTGAAAAATTTCATGTATTAATTACAAACATAACGCTATAATGAAATAAATGAATACCATAATATCTACCTTCTCAGAATCTTCATTATACTTTCTTTGTCAATCCTCAAAGCCAAGCTACTCAGCACAACAGAAATACTACTCAATGCCATGGCCAGAGCAGCCCACACCGGACTCAGTCTCCAATGCTCACTGGTCATGATCATGGAACCATCAATACTTTTCTCATGATGGCCACTGACAATAGGATAGAGCACACCAGCAGCAACCGGAACCAGACAGAGATTGTAGATGACCGCCCAGCCGAAGTTCATGCGGACGCGATTGAACACACGACGACTGAGCAGGACCAGCTGCAAAATTGTGCTGAGATCTGAGTTGAGGAGGATGAAACTGGCGGAGTTGATAGCGACGTCGGAGCCAGATGCCATGGCGATGCTCACGTCTGCTGCTGCCAAAGCGGGCGAGTCGTTCACTCCGTCGCCGACGAAGGCAACAATAGTGGCCTTGTCATCGGTCGGTGTTGTATCCGGCGAACGGTCTTGAATCTGACGAACAAAGCTGGCTTTCTCCGCTGGCAGGACGTTGGCCATCACCTTCGAGCGCGGGATGCCTATCATATCTGCAACGGCATGGGCAGTGGTCTGGTTATCGCCGGTGCACATGAAGACATCGACATGACGCTTCTGTAGCTGAGAGATTATCTCGACGGCTTCCGGGCGAATTGTGTCTGAGGTGGCGAAGATGATGGCAGGTATGAAGTTGGCTGATTCAGAGGATTGGGTGGATACTTGACGGAGTGAGAGAACTGCAGTCGACTTGCCTGCTGCCTGGTATTTCGCCAGCAGGTTGGAAATGAAGTAGGTTTCTGTTTCGGGGGACAGAAGACTCTTGAGAAGACGTTCATTGCCAATTGCAGCTTCGTATTGCCGTTCGCTTTCGGCATCAGACACAGTAAAAGTTCCTTTCATGCCTTGCCCGGAAATCTCATGAACGTCAGACGACTTGATAGAGAAAGACTGTTGTGTTTTGCAGAATTCTGTGATTGCCTGAGCAATCGGGTGGTTGCTGCTCTCTTCCATTTTTCGAGCTAGAGCCCATGCGACTTTCGCAATTTCTGGGTCACTGGTCAAAACTTCATGATCTGAAACCTTCAGACTTCCACCTTCAGTCAATGTGCCTGTTTTGTCGAAGACGATTGCATTCAAGCGACTGGCTTCTTGGAAGGCTTCGCCACCACCTTTCACGAGGATACCATGTTTCGCTGCTAGGCCACCCCCAACGAAAAGCGCCGTGGGGGCTGCAAGGGCCAAGCCGCAAGGACAAGCCACGACAAACACTGAAATTGCAAACTCCAGTGCCCAAAATGTCCAGCCACCATGTGCGACATCGAGATAATCTGCGGGAAGCACACCGGAATGACCAAGTGCCAACCAGATAACGAAAGTTGAAATGGCGATTAGAGTGATGATAGGAACGAAATGCGAAGTGAGAAGATCAGCAACTCGTTCAAGTGGCGCACGCTTGCTTTGTCCCTCACGAACTACAGCGATGATTCGGTCAAGCATAGATGAACCACCGAGCTCAGTGATACGGATCCGTACTGGTTGGCCAACATTAACCGAGCCTGTATATACTATGTCATCGGCTGTTTTCTTGACTGGACGAGATTCTCCTGTCAAAGAGCTTTCATCGAATTGGTATGACGCGTTGTCGACGATGACTCCATCTGCAGGAGGCGAGGCTCCGTGAGGAATGCTGACGACGTCAGCAACCTCCAGGAGGTCAACACTCGTACGCTTCATTCCATCCTCGGAAGTGTCATCGGACAACAATGCTTCTGAAGGTCGAAGCTTGCCCAAGGATGTGACAGCATCGCCAGTTCTGGCCTTGCTGTAGGCCTCCAAAAATCGACCAGCAAGAATGAACAGAGTCAAGAAGACAACTGAGTCGAAATAAGTTGTGCTATGGGGGCTGGACTTGGTGCCCACAACTGCATCGACGATAAGAACCGCCAAAGACGAGATATAGGCCACTGATGTGCCTGCAGAGATCAAAAGGTTCATACTACCAAAACGGTAGAATCTCCGAAGGATCGGCACCCGACTTCCAGGCCGCCATAGCGCATAAATTTCCTTCAAAGCCCGGACATGGAAGACATCAGTGCCATAGAACATGACGGGAGTGGTCATTATAAACAGCGCCCATTCGATGCGGGTCACACTACCAGACCACATTGGTTGCTCCAGATACATTCGAACGGAATTCTTAGACGAGACAAGGGACATGAATACAATGCCTATCAAGAAAGTCGGGATTGCGCTGATAAAGACGAAAAGTAATCGTGCCAACAGACGACTTCTTTCATGGTGCTGGATCGCACGGGACCGGTCTTCAATGCTAGGTGGGTGATAGACAGTCGCGCGGAAATTGTTATTCGCCGAGTTGATCGCCGAGATTATTGTGCGAATTGTGAATGAAGGTGGCTGTGGAGTATAGGTGACTTTGAGGATGGGGGTTTTCTCGGAGAGTGACTCCTTGATGGTGACACCAGGAATTGATTTCACCGCCCCTAAAACAGTTTGTGGGCAATGATGACAGAACATCCCATCCACTTGGATGGAGATTGTTCTGTTCTGAGCAGTGCTGAGCTTTTCGGTGTCAACCTTCAATGGAGATACGCTATTAACAGTGGCATCGTATCCGAGGTCTTCAATCTTCTCTATGATTTTATCGAGATTGTCTCGGCCTTCAAATTCCACCCTCCCGCTATGGGAAAGCAGGTTCACAGACACATCGCGAATGAAAGGAAGTTCTTCAAGTCCTCGAGTCACAGCTCCGACGCAAGAACCACAGGTCATGCCGGTGATTGCAATATCACTGACATAGTTTGCTGCCGACTCTGGAGATGCCAGTGGTCTAGAGACCTGGTTCACCTCGTCAAGAGATGCTTCAAATCCAGCATCATCGATTTGCTCAACAATTCCGTCGACATTGTTGCGAGGTCCAACATAAATAACTGTTGCGCTGTTGGTGAGAAGGTTGACAGTGATTTCCTTCACAAACTCAAGCTGTTGGACTTGTGCGGTGATGCTGTTGGCGCATGATGCGCAGCTCATTCCTCCGATGCTGATCTGTGCGGTGAACTCATCGGCTGATTCAGCTGGTGGACTGGGAAGTTCCGCTGTGTCTGTGGGTAATTTTAGAGCAGGCACATGGGGTTGAACTTTCGTTTCGGAGGTGGCAAATGAACGAAGACTTTCCTCCACAGCATTCTCCGCTGTTGACTCAAGCTTTGTGGTGTCTTGTTTGTGGTGCTTGTTCAATGGCCGGGAGGGAGTCTGTGAGGACTTCTCGGTCAAAAATCCCAGCTCCGTTCGAGAAGAATGACGAGAAAGGGCCTCTAGTTCTTCCTTCCTGCATGCATCACAGTTGGCAATGTGCCGTCTATGCCTGTTGGACTGAATTCGCTCCTTGATATTGGATGAGACACTAGAAACAGAGGCTCGGGGCGAGGAGAACAGCATGGAGCCACGGTGGTTCCACGAAGAGGTATCGAGTTCCGCGATGACCTTTCCTCGTTGGTCGAATGTCGTTACATAGTGTACTTCAAACGCAGCATGAATCAGTGCGTTGACGAGGTCGGCCGGCCGAACAGAGGTGCTATGGGTTGCACGCACTTCATGCGTCAAAATTGTGACTTCGATATTTCCGACTGAAGGTGTCTCGGAGAGCACTTCGGTGATATATGCAACACATGATGTGCAGTGCACATTAGTTACAAAGAAAAGACTGGTCTGGGTATCTAGACCTTGATGGCCTGCCTCCAGATCGTGGTTCTTCGACCCTGAAGACATGATCGGCAAGAGATCTGTGTGGCCCAAAGACGGGGGGTATAGTGGATGTCTCGGTCTTGCAAACCCTCGCAAAGTTGGTACTTAAAGGATCTTGCTCAAATTAGGTTGTAAAGAGGCAGCTGGCGGGATTCGATGTTCATAGAAAAGTCTGATATCAAGGTGAAGGAAACAGCGACCAGCGGCGATTTATGATATAAAGCAAAAGCTGGGAACAGAATTTGATTTGCAATCCAATATTATATTTCATTAAAGAAGAAAAGAAAGGAAAATCCTAGAAGTGGGTGGATTGGTTGAAACATGGCCAAGATGCGACATTTGTGCGTGATGACTCCAAACCACGCACAAATACCGCATTCCAGACATCACGATACACCCCTGCGGCGCCTATGTAGTATTCCGCTAGTTTCAAGGTTAGCAATCAAGAATGAGGCTGGATTCCCGTATTCAATATTGTAAAGGCAACCACTCCACGTGTGTTGGATATCAGGTCTTCTGATGTTGTAATCCTCGATCAAGGATCACCCAGGAACCTCAGGCACTGTGGCGCGACAAATATCAGATGGGGCTAATCCTAATTGGGCTAGCGTGTCATAAACCAATTAAGGTCATGTGATTCAAGAAAATCCGGTCGTTGAGAAGACAATCAACAATAGACAAAGGAACTCGACTGAGCAAATTGCTCAGTACTTAACTGAACCAACTCTCAGTTACCAGTAATCAACTCCAGATCTCATATATCGTATGTTCAAATGCAGCCATGGAGCTCTACCTAGTTACAGATTCCTTATTACGTAAGCAGGTTGAATACTTTTTCCTCTCACTTCGACTTTCATCCTTATCGCGACTCTCGTGACAGTCGATAGACCTTTCGCTACAAAAAAAAAAAAAAAAAACTACGCGACGCTCATTCGACGAATTCTAAGGCTGTGAGGACTCGGCCTCCATTGAGTGCCCCTGTCTACATTCATCCTCTGAAACGTCTTACTTCTCGCTTCACCGAAAATGTCGGCGCCCAGATCCGGCGCGCGTCCAATCCCTCCCCGCGGGCCCCGACCTCCTGTGGGACGACTAGCTAGTCTAAAACCTCCTAATTCAACACCTATCAATCGTCCAACAGCTATTGGACGTCCTCAGCCACCACGTCCAACGACTCACCCTAAGACTTCAAATTGTCCAAATCCGGGATGCCCTGCTCCCCACATTGTGGATGACGGAGGTGTCAAGGTCTGCACGGGCTGTGGTACAGTTATCAGCGAGAATAACATTGTTTCTGAAGTCACATTCGGCGAATCCTCGTCCGGTGCAGCTGTTGTGCAGGGATCTTTCGTCGGAGAAGATCAGACCCATGTACGCAGCTATGGTCCAGGTTTTCAGCGCGGGGGTGCCATGGAGAGCCGGGAAATGACCGAACAAAATGGAAACCGATATATGCTCCAACTTTCTCGAGCTTTGACTATCCCGGAAAGTGCAACTAAAGCTGCTGGTCAGGTCTTCAAGCTTGCAGTCGGACTAAACTTTATTCAGGGTCGTCGCACCAAAACGGTAGCTGCGGTATGCTTGTACATCGCATGTCGTCGCCAAAATGGTAATACCGTCATGTTGATTGATTTTGCCGATGTATTGATGATTAACGTCTTCAAACTCGGTCGTACATACAAGGCGCTTCTGGATGAACTCCGCCTAGGTGGCAACGTCTTTCTCATGAACCCAATCGACCCCGAAAGTTTAATTTATCGTTTCGCCAAGCAGCTCGAATTCGGACCTTCTCTCATGGCGGTCGCTGGCGAGGCAGTCCGCATCGTTCAACGAATGAACCGTGACTGGATGACCACCGGTCGACGCCCAGCTGGTCTCTGTGGCGCGGCACTGATTCTTGCCGCGCGCATGAATAACTTCCGCCGAACCGTGCGTGAAGTCGTCTATATCGTCAAAGTAACGGAAACTACTATCAGCCAGCGTTTGAACGAGTTCGGTTCCACCGAGAGTGGTGAATTAACCGTTGATCAATTCCGTTCAGTCCAATTAGAGAACACTCATGATCCCCCATCATTCACTCGCGGGCGAGAGGGCCGGAAAATTCGTGTCAAGAATATGCCAGAGACTGCGGCGGAACTTGAAGACGACGGCACTCCAGCCGAAAGTGAAGCAGAATCAGTGCAGCCGCATCGCGTAGATGCCGATGGTTTCGCTATTCCCAATCTCCCCATCGACCCGGCATTGACAGCAAATGGTCACGGTCGACGTCCATCAGTAATTGCCAAGGCAGTGAATGACGTCGTTGAAGATATCAAAAACGAGCCCACACACTCCAAGGGCAAGGGCAAGCGACAACCCACACCAGAACCCTCTGCCGAGCAGGTCGCATCTGAAGCGGCGCTAGAGGATGAAATGCGCTCTATGCTTGCGCAAGGTTCAACTATGATTGAGAGCATGGGCTCCGACCAACCGCCGCGGCCCACCGTTTCAGACAGCGCTGAAATCGACGCTGCCGAGTTCGAAGATGACCCTGAAGTCGCCAATTGTCTCCTAGCGCCTGCTGAAGTCGAGATCAAGGAGTCAATTTGGGTAACAGAAAACAAGGAGTACCTCCGTACCCAACAAGCAAAAGCCCTAAAGCGGGCCCTGGAAGAGGCAACCGGAGGAGGCGCCCCTCGCAAACCACGCAAGCGTCGCCGTGGCCGCCTTGGCGATGTTACCTATCTGGAGGGCGAAGGCTCAGAAGGCGGCAGGTCTCGTGCCGCGACACCGGCTGAGGCGACACGTCGTATGCTCGAGCGCCGAGGTTACAGTAAGAAGATTAACTACTCTCTCCTGGACACTTTGTACGGCGGCGAAGGTGCAGACGCAAAAGCACGGAGCATGAGCCGAAGCCAAAGTCGCAGCCAAAGCGTCCTCTCAAGGCGCAGCGCCAGCATCGAGCCAGAAACAGCCTCACGATCCCGGCGTGCAACTCCCGCAGATGCCAAATTCGATTCCAAATTCATCCGTCCTACTTCTACTACACCATTACCTACTCCGCCATCTACCATTCCAAACATGACTCAGGACGCAAAACCAGCCATGATCAATGATCCGCTCGTGGATAAGATCGAGGCAGAGCCTGAGGACGAGGATGAAGATGAAGATGATTATGACGACGACGAGAAGGACGATGGCGTCGACGACGCATTTGCCGGCAATTACGAAAGTGACTATGATTATGGCGATGACGATGACTGAGGATTCTGACCTCGGGAATATTGTTCATGTCCAACGGATTTGGAGTTATAAGGCGACTGTCATCCACTTGCTTTCTTTCTTTCTTTTTTCCTTTTTTTTTTTTTTTGCGGCCTTCGAGATGATACCATGTCTTTCACCCGAGCATTGGGGTTTTCGAAATTATCATATTAATGTCTCTGCAATTGCACCTTTTTCGGTTGCATCGATGTACTCTAAGCCAGGCACTCGCTAAACTTGGGTAGCAGCAAGCCCTAGATCACCAATGATAATGATCATTTGAACTTCCATTTACTCTTTAAAAGTATGACCTTTAGTCAACCGTGTACACATTCATTAAAGTAACGCAAATCCTAAGTTTTCGCGATAGAACATTCTTCCAAATATTATAGCCATAAGCAAAATCCCAGGTAAACCCAACATCCAGCAACGCACCAAGATCAGCGATAATACATTCGACACAGCTCACTATACTGTCTCGCCGGGATGCAGACGGAAGTAAACCTCCAGGTCTCAATCCATTCATCACAAATACCAAGTATCTCACTACGTGTGTCACTTCCACACCGGTCAGCCCCACTCCAGCCATGTAGGACATGAGCCCTGATATTAAACAACCGGGTCATCGTGATAGGAAGATCGCTAAGTTCATTTCCCTTGCAACAATCAATCCCCCATTGAAGACCATATCTATCGAAGAATGCGGCCTTCCATCGGTCAGCAGTTTCCGGGTCCGTCTGTTCTTTAGCAATGATAGTGCGGATATCGGCGTGGATGTCGCCTTCGTAAATGGGTTGTTTGTCTTCAGAAGAGATTTGAGAACGGTCTCTCCAGTTGCCCCACCCGTCCTGTTCTGGGGAAGATACCGGGGGAGCTCGAGACCATGCGTTCAGGACATATTCGCGGTTAGGGCGGGGTTCACCTGTACTCCCTTCTTTGTGGAGGTTTTTGACGGTACTTTCAAGCCTTTCTAGTCTTTGGATAAGTGAGGGATCGGCTTGATTGGTTGATTCTTGTCTTTGGGTGTCGAACTCCACATAGTCTGCCTTCATTTCGACGACGGCGTAGCTTAGATCCCTCACCTGTTCCTGAAGGCTAGCCACTTTTTGGATAAGGGAGGAATCCGCTTGGTTGGTCGACTCTTCTTGCCTTAGTCTATCCTCGTGAAGTCTTTTGAGAGTGTCGAGCTGTTCTTTGAGTTTTCTAATCTTCTTCCGTTTGCCGTGTCCATCCTCGTCCTCGACATCAACAAAAGTAAAAGAATCTTTCTCCATGGTGAATCTGATGATCTCGCTTTTGGTGAACGATATTGGGGAGATATAACCGTCGATGAATCTTGTATAAGGAAGACAAGAAAGCTTACTACATAATGACCACTTCATTCTGGAAAAACTTCGTAGCCACGGAAAGATAAGAATATACATACCATGGATGTCTTCGATCCCAACTTCCAAGGTTGTTTGCTTCAGAAATATTCGAGATTCGAGTTGCCTTTCGCGGGTGTCTTAAAACTTCTAAAATAACGGTTAAACTACCTTATCAACTCCAAAAATTATTTCGATCTTTTGAATTTATTGAGATAGATAGTAGTTAAATAACGTCAAAATCATGCGAATACTTGAACTCCTTACGACGCCGGCCGTTTCATATAAAAAGAGGAAAGCAAAACACCCACACCAAACCCTCCACTGGGCGAGAACCGAATTGGGCCAGACTGGGCCAGTCGCGCGCGTGAGTCTCATAACTAAATAAGCAATAGTGAAAACAAAAAAAAGATTTGAAAAAGATGATCGGACAGGCCGGAAAAGAGTACGAGATCGCGAGGATTGGCTGGACGTCGAGTCATCATGGCGGTCGAATCGATGTCGGATCGGACGGAATCAAAGGGAATTGAATGCGTTTTTAGAAGAAGTTAGGAGTCGATCTCCATTCCCATTTCCGCGCCTCCGCTCAGTTCGCCGAGGCCTGATGTTTGAGGATGATTAGACATGGCTTGTTGGAGAAGTGGCACGCCAGTGTCCATGGAGTTGAAGGAGATAGGCTTTGCGCTAGGTCGATCCATAGCTTCGAGGGGAGAGGCGCCCTCAAATATGATGGGGGAGCTACGAAGATTTTGAAGGCATGCTTCCCAGGAGGAGGCAACGAGCTGGCCATGAGTGAGGTCTTCGCTAAAGAGATAAAAGGCAGGCGATTGTCCAGAAGTTGGAGTGGCAGCCACAAGATAGGCATTCAGAGCGCGACTTTTAAGGAGCATCTGAGAGTCGTGCAGGTGAGCCGAGTATTGATTGTCGATATACTTGGTCCAGCCACGAACAGCAGGAGCCATGTCCCCTTCCGTATTGACACGTTGCCAGCCGATACCTAGAAGACGGGTGGCATCATCTACTAGAGGCTCCGCCGGCGGAGCAGGCCCCGCATTGAGAGTGCGATGCTGATCATTGGAGCTAGGGTCCTCCAGACGTTGGCGAATTGAGGACAACGCAATATCGTCCAGACCTGGCGCAGATTGATCAAGACGCTGAGACTTGCGGCTTACGTCGGTAGCATCAGAAAGCAGCGCGTTTGACCGCGAGGAAATAGGTGCACTGGCAGCTTGTTGCAGCTCGGACTGTTGTTCGTACCATGTGCCGGTCTGGCTCTCAGCAGAGATCGCAAGGCCAGTCTGTGGGTTTAAAAGAACCATGCCTTCTCCATAGATGGGCTGTACCTGGGGTACTGGTGCAGGGGTTGCGCTGGGAGCAACAGTCTCTTCAAAAGTGGCCTCATCACGCGACCTCTTCCGGGAGGGCTTAGGAACCGCAGGGGCAGACGAGAAATTGGAACTCGAGGGAATGGGCTGCGCAGAGTTATTGTTGGTAAAGACCGCGCTAGGGCTTTTCGGATAGCCGTTGAAGCTTTCTGAGGAGTCGAGGAAAGATGGCTGGGAGAACTGAGCGAAGGCGTGTTCCCTGGGAGGAGAGAGAACCGTGGCCGGGCCGTCCGAGAGACGATTAAGCATCATTGGACACATTATTGCCTCGAAGTCGTCTAATATTTAAGACAAGGGGAACTGTGCTGTTAGATTAGGTGAGCAAGACACAAGAAGCTTCAACCACCTAGAGAGAGACGGAAGTAAGACCGAGAGGTAAAAGGTGGAAGATGTCTCAAAAGAGTAAAAAATATAAAAAGAGAGGGGAGAGAAAGGTGGGATAGAAAGAAAAGAGAAAGAATTGGGAAGAGAAAAATGGGGGAAACGGGGGGAAAGACCAAGGTAGAGCGAAGTAAGAGAAAGAGTAAGAGCGTGAGACAGGAAAGAACGATCTGAAGAAGTGATGGATCGATGCGCGAAATGCGGAGGTACACGGTCAAACGGTAATATACCAGCAAAAAGCAGCCATCCGATCGCCGGTTACGGTATTGATACATGCGCTATTAACGGGTACAATTGGCTCATGCAGCCAAGACGCCTCTGGTGGAGTCCAGCTGGATGGGTCCAGCTTAGAAACAATTGGCCTATGAAGATAGACAGGTGGCCCGTGATTAGAATGTCACGTGAGATCACGTGGACTAAAGAAAATCATGTGCAATGAGATCATATAAATCGAAGTCTATTGGGATACTATAAAGACATGAATGATAAAAAAATGACCACAAAATCAGGTCCAAAGCAAACCGACACCAGAGCTGCAAGTCTAACGTCAATCAATGTTCGTAAGAAAAAAAGACAAAAAAACAAATAGTACACCACCAGCAACAACACTTTCATGTCACTGTATACATCACAGAAATGGGGCTAAAAAAATTGATAATAAAACAGCCAGAAACGAGGACCCCGGTTCCCATTGCACAGCAGGGACCTGTTAAACAAAATTGAAAGCATAAGCGGCAATCTCTGTTCCCGAAAGGGAACGGATACCGCTACATGTCTGCACTTATCCACTTGCGCTCTTATTCTAGCCATTCAATCCGAGAATTGATATTGTGGCTTCGAAGAGTGAGTCAAGTTTGTGCGCTCCAATTAATAGGAGTTGAGAAGCCAAAGACAAAGGTCTCTCATAAGTGCATTTAAGCATTACCAGCAGTGACACCACCAAGGTAGCCCTTGACACGATCAACGGAGTCATTGGCGTAACTGGGGGCCATAGAGCCAACAAAGAGGAAGAACATAAGAGCAGCAGCACCAAAGACGACAAACTTGCGCTGGGCAGGGCGATTGTTACCATACTCAGCCCAGGCACGGCCAGCGGAAGAAGAGTACTCGCGCATCTTGTCACCGCCAAGCTTGTACCAGACAAGACCCAGTAGGGCAATGGAGTAACCGAAGAACTGAAGGCCAGTGACGGGAGTCTGCCACAGGAACATAGAGGCAGCGACCAACAGGATATCCTTGAGGACACCGCACAGGGTCATGACCAGGGAAGAGGTCTTGCCAATCAGGAAAACGACTGAGACGTTGAGCAAGAAAGCCACAACGGCATTGAGAACCAGAAGCCAGATACCAACAGAATAGACGTGGTCCATGGTGACATGGGGCAATTCCAAGAACAGAGCAACAACACCGTTCATAACAGCACAAATAGGGGCGAAGTAGTACAGAGAAACCATGGGGTCCATCTTGAAGTCAGCGGAGCTGAGGAGACCCTGCACCATGACCAGACGGGTGGCCTCGAAAACGATACCACCAATCTGGAACAAGAAACCGACCATGTTGAACTTGATCTCACCGAAGGAAGCAATGACGACACCAATCACAATGATGGAGACGTTAGCCAGGACCTTCATGTTGGCCGGAGCCATACCCATACCCCAGGTTGCGAGGAGAACAGCCACGGGGGTGGTAGCCTTGAGCATTTGGATGAAGGCAACACTGAGGTAGAGATAGGTCATGTTACCACAAATCAAGCTCAGACTGAACATTATACCGATGGGGACGATAGCGCGGAGGTAGACACGGCCAGTCATTTTGACCTTCTTGCGGCCGTCAAGGGCATTGGTAGTGCGAGCAAGGATTTGGGTCATGATGGTAGCGAAGGTCAAGTGCCATGTTGTGAGGATGATGGGGAAACCTGTTCATCGTGTGTTAGTACCTAGGTACTGGTGGGTTTTTTTTATCATGTTGTTTCTCCGATCTAACTTACGGAAGTTGGCATAGTCGAGGAGGTACTTGTTGAATAGGATAACAGTGGAACTCAAAGTGATCCATGTACTATAAAGATATTAGCAATTCTGTCAAATCTGTTTCCTTTTGATGTTGCTCACGTCACATAAACGGCGGGGTGGAATGTAATGCCGGGCTGCTCTGCTTTCTCCGCTGCGGGGTTGACAGTAGGCAGAGTCTGCTCCCGGGGAGTCTCGCCAGAGGCGCGGACCTTCTCGCCGTCACTCATTGTAAATGTTCGAGATTGATCGGATAAAAAGCGCTTAAATTCGAAAGGTCGTGGCCGGGAGAGGCTTCCTTGACTAAATGCGGAGGAAGCCACGGAGAAAAGTGGGCAAAAGGGAAATTAGAAGGTAATGATCACTAAAAAAAAATACTCCGGTTAAACGAGTGTGACAGGAAAGGCCCAAAAAAGATAGCGATAAAAGAGTGAGATGAAGAAATGATGATGAAGGTTGAAGGGATGGAATGGGGTACGTACTTCGGAAGTAATTTTTTTTTTTTCCTCGACCCTTCAATTTAGAGGATTTGCAAAAGAAATTAAGAGAAAACTCCAATGATAAAAGAAAATAAAAACGAAAATAGACCAGGAACCAAAAGACCAAAACAGCAAACACCAGAGAAATCAAAATAGATCCACTCCACCGCAAACAGCCTTGATGCTGTGGATGAATGCAATATCCATGTATGGAAAAAAAAAAAGTATGTGAAATTACCATTACGTTCCTGGTAAGGCCACCTGTACTCTTTGTCCGCTTTCTTATGTAATAATTTTCAGTTATATACTAGTTATATCAGAACCAATACGATTGGTACTTTACTTAATTTTAAAACAGAGTCTGGCCAATCTTGGAAAAACGTCTCCATTTGACAGTTTTCCCTCTTCACCAACATCCACTATCCCTATTTGTACTCTAGTTAGATAAATTTCATTCATGTTCCAACTCTATATTGTAGTAACTTAATACATTGATTTATGTATGTTATAGATATATTTAATACTCCCAAAGCATCACCTCGAAACAGGGCAGATCCAAATTAAATAAGGCATTACGCAAGCATCTGTTAGCCAAGACCCACCTGAACCCGCGTTCAGTGACCTTCTGGGTCCAATTCGGTCCCTTACGGGTGGAGAATGCGGCGATCCGCCTTTTTGGTATCTGACGCAATCAGGGGACTTTCCTCCCGAGGTCCCCCCACAAAGTACATTGTGCTTGGACCAGGGAGAAGACCCCTAAGCTTTTGAGTATGGACGGGAGTTGGTGTTTCAAAATTCGATAGTGTTCTCTGCTTATTCGATGAGTTTTTCCTTAAAGGAGGGGGGGGCAATATTGGTGCGGAGAGATCCTCGCTGTATTACTCTCTTGGGAGTGATAATCAGTGGAACCAGATACCTGTGCACTGAAGTTTCGCAAATCCCGTTCTCTCCTGGAGACCACCAAATAGGACGATCAACTCTGCGGATGTTGTTCCGGGAAGGTACAAGGTATTTTCCTTGAGGACTGTTCCTATTATATTGGCGATTTCGATGTATATGATACACATGTTATACTTATATGTATAGATTGTAGTGTATAGAGAAATCGATGTAGATGAAACATGGATCATCATCTCTATCAGTACGGAGTAGAAGAGAGTCTAATGTTCCAGAATGACCTTCAATGGAGGTCCATACAAACTATCCGTGGACTCAAACGGACTAATTTAACCATAGCCAATAACCAACAACGTGCCAATGCCTACATCGGTGGCGTTTTTTAGCCTGGCCACAATAATGGATCGAGATTCAACCCCCTATCTCCAGGGCGTTTCCGTATGCCCCCTTTTTCCCTCTTTCTTCTAGAATAATGTTCCGAGATGACATATGATAACGGGCATTCCAGATGACCCTGAATGTTATCCAATACTTGCCAAGAGAATTCCAATATCAACTTAACCCGCATGCAAATGGTGAATGCAGATTTTCATGCACTCAGGTCCCTGCTTTTAGAGGTGTCATGATAAGCTCAAAGCCAATAACGGCTTTACAAATGAATGTGATATGTTCGGTTAAGAAATCACTACCGGTGTGATGAGATTGCCTTACGCGTTCTCTTACTCCTATGTACTCCGTCCTTATACTAAGATTGAACCCTGAAGCACTGCCTCCCCCTGAGTAAACTATTGTAATTGCCATTGAGTTTTTGTCAATGTGATAGGACTTTAAAATGTTTTATTTTATTAAAAAAAAAAAGGAAATTAATTCCAAAAGAAAAAAGGAAATCATCTTAAAAATGAAAACAAATAAAGGAAAATGTCACGAATCAGTAAAGCTGAAACAGGCACGTCTAGTCTCCACCGGATCCGTAAATGCGTCTAGATAGCTTGGCTTGTCACGTTGTCCTCCCACTTCCCCTTCTTCTTTGGTTCTTCCTTCTTTATTATCCCTCCATTCCCTCTTAATCTTCTGCAGATTCTTGCAGCTGTGCTTCTATGCTGAACGTCGCCCGCCGAACATTCAAACGAGTCCCCAGCTTTCAGGACCTCCTACAAGGCAGAATGACCCACCCCGATATGTAAGCTCTCTTACTCAACCTACACTCGTCATGTTCTAACAATTGCACAGTTCTGTTGACGTTCTCGTCATTGGTGCTGGCCCAACTGGTTTGGGTGCCGCCAAGCGTTTGAATCAGATTGTAAGTATTTCCTTTACTGTGTGGGAGAGGGGCACAAACTTTTTCCCTTGAAAAAAAAAGGGGGAGGGGTATCCGGGAATGCGAAAAACTAATTGAGTATACAGAATGGCCCCTCTTGGATGATTATCGACTCAAATGAGATCCCCGGTGGTTTGGCTTCCACTGATGTTACCCCCGAAGGTTTCGTAAGTCGCGACTTGGTCTCAATTGTTGATGTCCGCATCGCTAACCCGGTCTGCAGCTCTACGATGTCGGCGGTCACGTTATCTTCTCCCACTACAAGTACTTCGATGATTGCATCAACGAGGCCCTCCCCAAGGAGGAGGATTGGTACACTCACGAGCGTATTTCCTACGTTCGCTGCCAGGAGCAATGGGTTCCCTACCCCTTCCAGAACAACATTTCCATGCTGCCCAAGGAGGAGCAGGTGAAGTGCATTGACGGCATGATCGATGCTGCTCTTGAGGCCCGTGTTTCCAACACCAAGCCCAAGGATTTCGATGAGTGGATTGTCCGCATGATGGGTGTTGGTATTGCCGACCTCTTCATGAGACCCTACAACTACAAGGTCTGGGCCGTTCCTACCACCAAGGTAAGTTTTCGACTTTTTCCCCCTCGGAAACTTGAAACAATACTAATCAATTATGTTTAGATGCAATGCGCTTGGCTCGGTGAGCGTGTCGCTGCCCCCAACCTCAAGGCCGTGACCACCAACGTCATCCTCAACAAGACCGCCGGTAACTGGGGTCCCAACGCTACCTTCCGTTTCCCCGCCCGCGATGGTACCGGTGGTATCTGGATTGCTGTTGCCAACACTCTCCCCAAGGAGAACACCCGCTACGGCCCCAACAACAAGGTTGAGAAGGTCAACGCCTACAACAAGACCGTCACCCTCGCTGATGGCACCACCATTGGTTACGGAAAGCTCGTCTCCACCATGGCCGTCGACTACCTCGCCGAGGCTATGAACGACACTGAGCTCATGCCCCTCACCAAGCAGCTCTTCTACTCCTCTACCCACGTCATCGGTGTTGGTATCCGTGGTGCTCGTCCCGACCGCATCGGTGACAAGTGCTGGCTCTACTTCCCCGAGGGTGACTGCCCATTCTACCGTGCCACCATCTTCTCCAACTACTCCCCCCACAACCAGCCCGAGGCCTCTAAGAAGCTCCCTACCCTTCAGCTTGCTGACGGCTCCAAGCCTAAGAGCACCGAGCCTCAGGACGGTCCCTACTGGTCTGTCATGTTGGAGGTCTCTGAATCTTCCATGAAGCCCGTCAACCACGAGACCCTCCTTGCCGAGTCTATCCAGGGTCTCGTCAACACTGAGATGCTCCAGCCCGGCGATGAGATTGTCTCCACCTACCACCGCCGCTTCGATCACGGTTACCCTACTCCCACCCTTGAGCGTGAGGGTGCCCTCACCCAGATTCTCCCCAAGCTCCAGGAGAAGGGTATCTGGTCCCGTGGTCGCTTCGGTAGCTGGCGCTACGAGGTCGGTAACCAGGACCACTCATTCATGCTCGGTGTCGAGGCTGTTGACAACATTGTCAACGGTGCTGTTGAGTTGACCCTCAACTACCCCGACTTCGTCAACGGTCGCCAGAACACCGAGCGCCGCTTGGTCGATGGTGCCCAGGCTTTCGCCAAGAAGTAGATAATTCCCCCTTATTTCTTTTTTAACCTGTCCCACCATTTTTGTCTGAAGTGAAGGGTTCTATTTTTTTTTTACACCCCATTTTTTTGATGCAATTGAAACGAGCTCATACCGTCATGGAAAAAAAATTATACACGAGAGAGCATTTGAAGCGGCATCTGGAAGACGATCGATTGGCGTTCAATCTTGTTACTTAACACCATCTAACCCTCTTCACTTTATCATCTTATTCCCTTGTTCTTCTATTAGCCGACGGGACTCGCTTTTGATACACTTTATTAGAATGCCTTGACATGTGCGATTGCTCATTTATAATTCATTCAGTTGACTGATGACCTTTTTCCTTTTCCAAATAATATCATGATATAAGCACGTGATTTGTTCCACATGACCGATGCCACACCGCAGCCTCGGGGTTCAGTTCTCAAAGTCCAGTCAAGCCATTTGAGGGACCCTAGAAAGATCCCAAGGCAGATCTCACCCTACATGGACAAAGTGTTTCGTGGCATTTTCCATCCACCCTCGAACACCCCACCAGTACCATTGCCCCTCTTCGAGTTACACTCGCCACAGTGCAGATCACCCACATACACCGCAAGAGCCTCTACCAACCATGTCCATGAATCTAGAAACCAAAATCCCCCTGAATCGCAAACCCCTGGATCCAAAACGACTAATCTACCAAACCCTGTCTTAGCGCAACCATACACGGAAATTTCCCGGCACAGATGGATATTCCATGCGGTGGCGTAGTGGATCCCCAGAGAACGGCCGCGAACCAGTCAAGGATCGAACATGTACAATTCAAATGTCCTGCAGATCACAAAAAAGCAAAGAATCCGAGTAAGCAAAGTAAGCAATGCAAAGTGACGTAGGGTTCAGATGAGATGCGTCGCTTAAAACGACACGGGGCCGCGTCAGATCTGGAGGCAGACAGGTTTGTGGTTCTCTAGGGCTATCTCCACTGAACTATTCATAGATTTGGGTTACCGATATCGTTGTTTCAGATGGGTATTGTTTACTGACATTCTAGATTGCTTCTTTTGCATTTTAACGTGAGACATTGTAGACTAGACCGAGGCTTGGAGGGTTATTTTTGATATTTCTTGTAGGCCTAGAACTACTTCTGCGTCAGGCTGTTTCAATGTCTCAAGAATATTGCATGCTTCATTCCCCGCATGATCATGGGATCTGGAGGCGACAAACATCATACCATAAATATACATTAGAATTAGAGTCGAATAGGTCAATACAAAGCCACTGATATCAATAGAAACGCCATTGGACAGCTCATAGTGGAACTCGAAGAGCCCAAACCGCTATCACAAATCCAGTAATTCTGAGCATCTAACGATATCATGATAGAGCTCCTAGATGACGATTTTGCTGTGAGAGTCACGATCCTCGCTAGTGCTATTGGACACACTAGCAGGCGAGACTAATTTCTCTGCCAAGTCTGCTTCGTAAGACATCGTAGACGCTAAGGTTAGGTCCCGGAGTGGGACGCCTGCGGTGGCCGGGCTTGACGACACACCACACGACAAGAATGAAACCTGTGGCGTGGAAGCTGGCGAGTCAACAGACAAGGGTGTATATATAGCGTCAGTGTGGCTTGGCTGGTGGTTTTCTCGACGACCTTGATCTGCCCCAGGAGTGGGACAATTAGGTAGAGTCTATGTTTCTTCGGGAATGTTTGACATACCTGTTTCTTCAAGAGGGGCTTTGCCGCTATGGAGTTCGAGTTCCTCCGGTGAGAGAGCAAACTTCACCTTTAGTCGTAGTGGATCAACAGACCGATCTGCTTGCGAGTGTACACCGGTGGGAATGGACATTTGTAACGAGGACTGTTGATTTGGAATTGGGGATTTGAGGCAGGACTTTGTCACGGAAGTATGTGGAATTGCATCTGTAGACACATAGCTTCTGTCTCTTGGGGAAGGCTCAAAACACGAGGATCCTTCTTGACTCAGGCCTGTGGTATCATTGTCCACATCGGATTCCGAAGAGACACAGGAGGATGGTTCCATCTCGCTTTCGTCTAGGTGCAGCTGCTCGAACCCGACAGTTAGGGTATGACGGATATAGATCCGCTGGAGGTGAGATTCAATATCATTTTCGTCAAAGGTAATTATGGTTGGGGGCCGTCTGATCATGTTTGGGGGTTAATTTATCAGTTGCACAGAGCAGATTCCGTATATAGAAACATCGTGTCTTAGAGGAAACAGCGTTCTCATAATTTAAGAAACCTCGACCAGGATATGATGACGAGAATATCTGGCAATACCAGATAATCCTGGATTTCTATTAGGAAATCTGTAAATTTGTTATATCAATGCCTGCTTGCTGGTGTGTTGTCAACTCGAAACCGAACAAATCAGATATTAACATTCCATCTCACCCCTCAAAAAGGTTTAAAATAGCATATATATTTCTCTTTTCCTTTTATATATATCTCTACACTAGAAAAACGCCCTAGAAGAAATATTAAGAGTTAAGAGTCAGGCTCAGCCCCTCGACACTAGACCGAATTTCTACGGAGCCTCCTGTTGATCCTTCCACCCCCTCTCCAACGTCGACTCTCAATCTCACTCTCTCTTTTCCCCCCAACTCTTCCTCGGATCATGCATCCGCTGCGTTTCCGATTATAGCTTGTCTTTCGTTGACCTTTTGACCTTACTTCCCCTGAAACTCCTCCCCGGCAAATACCCGGTCGCCGCAAAACCTCCACCTCCGCCATGAACGGGGACCTCAGCTTGTCCCAGGCTCTGGGAGGGCTTCGGATAGCTAATCCAGACGATTCGCCTCTTCCAACGGAGGATGCGACCGCTGGGTCAACAGGCTCCAGTCCGTTCGGATTGCCGGACGGTTCGGTATCAACACAACACAATCCCGCACAAGACGACCCCTCTACTTTTCCTCCTGCACCTATCGAAGTTCCTGGGACAGATGACCGCCAGACTTCATTCCCTCAAGCGTCCCCCGATATATCACCACCACCATACCAGCCGTACTCGGCCCCGCCACTCTCATCGCCTCCGAATCCCAACCGACCCCTTTCCTCCGTATACCTGAATGGCTCGGCAACGTCGGTCCTCCCCCGTGATAATACGTATCGTATTCGAACCGATTCCGGTGCTTCATCCACATCTGGGTCTCAGGCGCGGTTAGACACACGAGGAGGCTCATCGGCATTACATGCCGGTGTGTTGGCGCGCGATAACTCCCATAGCGACAGATCCTACCGGACTGCGCAGATCCCGGGGAACGGCCCGGCAGTGATGCGACAGTCGTCTCGAGCACAAGCAAGAGGTGGCGGCGCGTCTCAAATGCCACGAACATCTTATATGGCAGAGAACGGCCCAATGGCGAGTAGTGAGGAGTGGAAAGAGCGTGGCGCCGCGGTATCTGTGAGACAGGAGGTGGATGCCAACGGCCAAACTGTCTCCCGCTATATCAAGAAGGGCGTGCGAGACTTCTCGTTTGGAAATACCCTCGGCGAAGGCTCCTACAGTACGGTCGTATTTGCAACAGACCGCCAGACTTTGAAGGAATACGCGATTAAGATCCTCGACAAACGACACATTATCAAGGAGAGGAAAGTGAAATACGTGAACATTGAGAAGGATACACTCAACCGCCTGACCGATCATCCAGGTATTGTGCGGCTGTATTACACCTTCCAGGATGAGCAGTCACTTTATTTCGTGCTTGACTTGTGCAAAGGAGGAGAATTACTCGGTGTCCTTAAACGGATGACCACTTTTGATGAAGAGTGTACAAGATTCTACGGCGCTCAGATTCTTGACACGATAGACTATATGCACAAGCGCGGTGTCATCCACCGAGACCTGAAGCCAGAAAATGTGTTACTTGACAGCGGGATGTATGTCAAGATCACTGATTTTGGAACGGCAAAGATTCTCAAGACTCCACGAATTGATCCCAGCTCAAATGGCATTCTTCCCCTTGACTCGGCCGAGCTTTCACAAGAAGAGCGGGCGAGCTCTTTCGTCGGCACTGCAGAGTATGTCAGCCCCGAGCTATTGCAGGATAGGAATGCATGCAAAGCCAGTGACCTTTGGGCTTTTGGTTGCATCATCTACCAACTCTTGGCTGGTCGGCCACCGTTCAAGGCTGGAAACGAGTACCAGACATTCCAGAAAATTGTGGCACTCGACTACGAGTTCCCAGTCGGATTTCCTACAGTGGCGCGTGATCTTGTCGAACGTCTTCTCGTCCTAGATCCTGCTCGGCGTCTTCAGATCGAGCACATCAAAAATCATGAATTCTTTGAAGGTATCACATGGGGTCCAGATCTATGGAAACAGAAGGCACCCCGCTTAAAGTCATATACACCCCCTGCACGCGAACCCATCAAGCTCAATGACAGTAACAACGGCGAGAGTATGCCTCCAGTCATCTCCACTGCCCCCTCGAACGCACCAAGTGCTAGTTCTCGCCACCTTCCACGAGTGGTTACCGAGCTACCCCCGCCAAGTCAGCTCGATATAGAATGGTCACCGGTACTAAACAAATCCAACGAGCGGATCTTGAAATTGGGTAATTTGGTTGTTTTGTCTTCTGCTGCCTCACACAGCCCGACGTCCAAGAACAGCAGTGGTGAGATTGAGGCACCTAGGAAGTTCTCTCGTTTCTTCACAGGTAGCACCACAAAGAAACGGCAGCGGTTGGTGATGGTCACCTCGTCCGCGCGGGTCATTATGGCCGCATCGGGTGGGGATGATAAGAAGATCAAGCTTGAGATTTCCCTGCTTGCTCCGGGGACAAGTTACAGAAGTACGACGGATTCCAAAGGAATTTCTTCCTGGGTTGTGGACACGGTATGTAGTTCGTCCTTGATCAGTCAAAAGGACCCATCTAACACAAACCTAAGAGAGATAAACATTACGTTTTCGAGGACCCCAAGCCATCATCAAGCAACATTGGCGCCACAGCGGTCCAGGTACAGGAATGGCTGGACGCATTGGACAGATCCCGGGAGATGGCATCACAGCAACAAAGCGCAGGCTACTCTGATGATGCATTCCGCGACCTTTCCTCTGGCTTCCCTAGTCCCGCCAATACCCTGGACCGCAACTCCGACATGCAGAAAGACGATAGAGGCCCGCCATCATCGAATCGGAATCACCTTGTGAAACAGCAGACCGGTGACACCGAATCAACGAAAGGGAGGAAACGATTCAGCAAGCGTCATTCGAAGAACGGCCTCGCTGCGGTATTTTAACGGCATTGAAAAATATGCATCTTGCCATCTATCCCCCGGTGGTAAATTGCCTTTCAGTCTTGTCGGTATCAACCCGACTTTCCTATACTACCTGCCATACCTCGCACCTCTCCATCTTATCATTTGAATACGGACCAAGGCCTCCGTCTCCCTGGCTCTTTCTTTATTTATCTTCTATGCACGGGCATTCGCACAAAGATGGGATGTCATCCCAGTATATCGGTTCTCCTGCCTTTTGCATATTCCAATGACAAGCGTGTTCTTTTGTTTATGTTGGGGAAACATGTTTTGCATTTAGATTTGGAAGGGAGCCTGCGCATACTTTTGTTCTTTTATTGCCTTATAGCCTATTCCAGAATACTGCTTTTGTTATATCCGCTGTTATATATCCCTGATTTGGCCTGAAGCATCACAACGAGACTTTTTGTTCTTTTCACTGTTCCTGGTAGGTTATCAGGTTTCTGTTGATTTCCCTTGAAAAATACGAAATCAAGGCTGTTTATATGCACTCATTTCGCTCTCTTGTATCTGGGGCATGTTTTCGTCTGAGGGGGCAAAAGATCACTTTCCTTCATCTTTATGTTCATTCTTCCCCTTTACTCACCTTGGTTTGACTTCATTTTCATTGTGATTTTCTTTTTGCTTGCCTGTTCTCTTAGTATACATTTTTCCTTTTTTTTTCTTGCTTCCTCTGCTCTAGGCAAGAGAGATTATATACCCGACTTTCTCATTCACAAATCATTATTCTACCGTCTCCCTACAATCATTACACATATTGGAATTCATATTGAAACACGTATCCCGAGCGAAGTGCTCTTAAATGTACTAATTGAGAAATATATAGTATATATATATATAAGTAGATACAAACAGACAATACTAACAAAAATTAAATCTATTATTTCCTAAATGAACAACCAGTCGAGGCGCGAATGATCCAACTCCTCAACCCAGTCAAACTCAAGATCGTAGTCATCATCATCATACTGCTCAACATTGTGTTCACGACGCTTGAGATCCTGTTTCTGCCACATGAGACGTAAAACCCAAGCAGCATTGCGGACATTAACACTCGTCAAGGCTTCATAGAGCGAGCCGAGCTTTTGAAGGATAAGAGTCCGCTGCGAAGGGCGACATTCCGCGCCAGCAATGAAAGTAGGCCAGATAAGGCATTTGAAGTGCGGGTCTGAAGGTGGTATGAGACAGATTTGCGTGATGAGGTTCGTGGCAATGAGTCTGTGGTCGAGCGGGAGACCAAGGTCTGTCCAGGGAGGTGAGAAGCCCGGTCTGCGACGGGAGAGGACACGACTTGTGTAAAGGTAGACGGCGTCTTGGTAGGATGTTGCGAGGGCGAGACGGTAGTTTAGGTTTGGGAGGAAGAAGACTTTTTGCATTTCTTCGCTCCATGCTATTGGGTCGAAGTTGCGAATTCCTTGGAGGAGACTTGCGAATGCGTCTAAGGTGAGGGGTTGGCCGGGTTGGATTGGGTTTGGTAGGGCTGTTGGTTGAGGGGTTGGGGTGGTGGTTTCTGGGTCTGGGTACCACAGGGCGTGGACGAAGAAGATTGCTTCTAGGAGATAGGCGGGACATCCGACCCAAGACTGTTCTTCGAGGCGTTTGAAGATCGCTGGGTCCATGGATGAGGAGTAGAAGGGCTTTGAGAGCGCGCCTGGGCGGGCTAGTGTTGATCCCATGATTTCCATTCTGTTATTGTTAGCAAAATCCATTTGATTATATGAGATTTGAATCTTACATTAAACACCCGTCAAGGGCAAAAGCGTCCAGGTCGTCAAGGATTCCTTGTCCCGGGCCATTTTCAGGTCGGTCCTTGAGAAGCTTCTTCGCACCCTCGATATGATAACTCCAGGCTCCGCTGCCGGATTCAAATATATCTAGGAAGGCGAGCAAGACGATGGCAGCTATGGTCCTACCGTCTTTCTGCATCGCCGGGTTATTGAGATCCATAGACAATTGGCGAAGGGCGCGCTGCTTGTATTCCAAGAAATGATGATATGCCTGCGAAGTAGGTTTTCGAGAATTCGACGGCGCAACTATATCTTCAATCTCCTGTACTGACAAGTTGGAGTCCGCCATCGAGATGTTGCCGGATGACCATGGTAGGACAGATGGATTCGATTCTGATACAAGGGAGTAATGGATAGCTCCAAGAGCAGCGATGCTACTAGCGAGAACAGGAGAATGGTTGACCAGCGCAGTAAGATCTCTGAATGGATTTTTGTGTTGGGAGTAAAGCGCAAAGTCATTCACCATATATTGATTGTCTTACGAGTGATTGTCAGCAGAGTCACGGATAATCTATAAGGAAATTCTTACAATGATGTACATAGTACCTTGAGAAGTGGCTGAGATCTTTGAGCAGTGGATCTACCAGTCCCCATGGCGTTGGAATATAGTCGGCGGGAGGAGTGCTCCGAGGAACATGAACAACCGCGGTATCCTGTTCCTCGGCGGGATTGACCCCCAAGTGCGCTATTTCTCCCCCAAATGTTGGATTCTCCGTCTCAAAAGTCCACCCATCGGTCTCCGGACTAGGTTGAGTCCCAGAGCTGTGCGATTCGGCATCGGACGATGTTTCGGCAATGGGGAAGAAGCCGAATCCGCTGTTCGCCGCAGTCGAATCATACGTCCTAGTAGCTGGCTGGCGCTTTGGCTTGGTAGGCGGCATTTCCACATCATCAAAGCTGCGGCCCATCATCTTTCCTCGACTAGCTACACCACCTTTGACCCAAACAAGCGGTTTCTGGTACCCCAGACATTCTTTCCCCGCATCTCGACATTTCCGACAGGTGGGTTGCCCATTGTCGCAGATTATGCGACGTCGGCGACAGGTATAGCAACCTTTGGTCATTCTTTAGGCGTGAGAAAAACGTAGTTTCTTAACTGGATGAAGATCCGAGCCACTTGTAAATTTTGTTTGGCGCCACTCGCCATCGCTATGGTCAGGATTCAGAGACGGGTTGACGAAGCCACACGACCATTTCTAGTCGTTTAAGAAGTGACTTTGTCGATAAATGCCAAGTTATAAAAATAATTCCGTCATGTCCTCGGGGCCAGCTCGGGATGATTCAGAAAGCTTCGTGGGGCGGGGAGGATGACTAAGAAATTCTTCTGACGATCCAGACCCCAGGACTCTTCTTCATCTCTTCAACTAACTCATTCTATATCAGTTGCACTTGGAATCCCCATGGTTGAGTAACAAAGAACTGCAAGATGGTTTTGAATCTCTTGCTCCGAAGTATGGAGGTAAGTGCTCTTGATATCGCCACTCCGATCTTTACTGACATTGTTAATCTTAGATATGGCTCACCGTTCGAGTACGTTGCTCCGATATTGATATTCCTACCGTTGAATTTGCATTCTAATCTCATTCACACAGCTCCTTCGAAGTCCGATATTCCATCGTATGGTGGGCCGAGTTCATCAGAAAGTTCAACATATCAGGTACGGGGTGCCTCCGGAGGAGCAGGGAGGCACCAAACTTGAGGGACAAGGTATGCTTTATACCAATATTTGGTGGAATAGTGTGTCTAACTTGTTCTGATTAGATTTCGAGTACAAGAAATTCCTTAACCATTTCAAGGAAGAGCTGAAGGACCAGATAAAGGGAAACACGCGGAACAAATCTTGATACCCTTGCGCTTTGATAAGGAAACTGATGATACCCACATTAAATATGATCTAGCACATGCTGCTTTTTTTTCCCGTTTTGCAAATCCGAGACTTTTGCTTCCTGTCATTTTGACGTGTATCAACACCGGGCATACAGTGGGATACACTTCGCACTCCCTGGGATGCATCCCTTGTTTCATCCGGAGAATGAACTTGATTGAATTAATGACTTGTCCCTTCTACTATTTCCAGCTGTTTTATATACAGTCAGGCTGGGATCCAATAACTGGGACATATATGAAATTGCTCTCAAGGATGCGTCGCAGGATGGCTACGATGATTTTCAATGTCTCCAGAGGCAGTCAAGGCCCGTCAAATTGCCATATGTACTATATTGCTGATCCTACGCTATAAAGTCAACTAGCATAGCATGATCTAGCATGTTTGTTTTACTACAAAAGATGGAAAAGGCCATGCAGAGTATACGAACAGAAAGAGTGCAATATCGATGTATTCTATCACCTCAATCTATTCTTACCAGTCTAACATATGTATCTCCTCAATATCAAAGCAAGTCGATTATGCCGGGCCGAACCGTTCCTCAGTCTACAATGTTCTCATAACTCGAACCCGAACGGTCTCCTCTTTCTCCGCTCTAGCCAGAACCTTGTGGAAGACAAAATCTCTGGCAGGCCTCCAAAAAGCCTTCTGTATTTCCCGGGGGTTGGTCCGCATGAACATGACCTCCACCACTTTCTGATTTCTGTCACTCAGGTTTTGACTACCCGGCTCCTTCTTTCCGACGTTGGTGAATGCAATGAACTTGCGTCTACCAAGGCGCTCGGTGCCTAGCCATTCTAGTTGGGTTTCATTGCCGAAGAACACCACAGACAGCGTCTTTCCAATGATCTCTAAATAATCTTCGGTGTCGTACTTGTGGGAGATATCAGCGTTAACATTCATGATGTTCTTGATTACTATATCAGATAGACTAGTTCACGTTAGTACTAGTTGCAAGCTTAGTATAATTTGGATAGTACTCACTGGACGACAACATGTGTAATATCTGTGAGATCGGAGTCCTTGAATCGGTCTTCACATTGAACATCAAGGTTAGGAAGTAAGTCTCTGATGTCCTCGGGGTAAGAGTGTGTCTCGGCCATGACTTCTTTTGTAAGGTTTCGGGTGCTGGGATTTAGTTGTCGAGGGGTTGATTGAGTCAACTGAATGTAGGATGGATTAGTGTCGGGTATGCTAAAAAGATGAACGCTGAAAGTGATATATATATGCTTAACAGAACTGGGTGTATAGAAGGTGTATGCAAGGCTGTTGATGTCAAATACAAATGTTAGACAGGTAGAAAATGAGGTCTTTTATACCCATAGTCATTGAGGAGCAAAAAGAAAGAACAAAGGAAAAGACCTTCATGTTATGCCAGCACGGTCCCAAGAAGAGACTCCGTTATTGGGAAAATAGAGAGATCATTGATATTGAGACAAACAAAGTAAGCTATTTCCTGCCTCATTGCATGGCTATTATGGGCTATTTGTCTTTTGTCGTCCTTTGTGAGGAAGCATCTAAAGCTTCCACTTGATTTGACACAAAGTAATATGTAAATGTGAGCCCTCTGCTAAACTATCGATCTATGCAGCCTTGTAAGAGAGATCTAGATGTAGAGGCTTCCATTGTGTTGCACTCTTGGTTGTTGATATCTTAAGATACGAACATCAAGTAGCTTCTCACTGATCACTCCGCCTTCGATATGGGAACTAAAGGAACTTTCTTGCATCTATGATGTTTAGTCAATCTCCATAATTTTTGCTAATCTCACAAAGGTAATGTTGGACATCCGAACAAACTCGAGATTTTCGAATACCCTCTCAAAGGCCCGTTATCTTTCTTACTCAATACGGAGCACTCCGTACGGAGTACATAACTACGGAGTAAACCTTTGAAGTAATACTGCATTCCATTATCAATCCTGAAACGACGTAGATGTGGAGAAATTGCGGATGCGACGGATGTAAGGAAAGTAGCCATGCAGGTGTTACAACATAGGGCGCTACGGTTGAACCGTGAAACAAGGGAAAGATTCGTATCTCCTGTTGAGTTGTTATAAATAGTACTACTGGATTAAACTGACTTACTCTTTACATTCGCAGTGCATGCAGACTGTTGAGATCGACAGGTCTATGTCGGGACAGGGATCAATAACATAGCTGCTCATATTGGCTAGGATGATAGTAGAATTCCTTCTAAGTATTCCCGAGGTCTTCCCGAGGGGCTGACAGGTAAGCAGGCCTTAGTTTCAGAACAGGACGGGAACCCCGAAGCCTACTCCGTACCTAGTATGTTATAGGCACGCCACATAGACCAAATAGGGCTAGGGGGAAAAGGATCCAATTTTTAGGTCACTCCGGCTACGTCGGCTTAGAAGGGTTGAAAGGGGCGGACAGGTACCCGAGGGGCTGTGACATGAGACACAGAAATCCCTGTCACGTTGGTAGGACGATGACAACCATTCATTTCTGTGGTAAGAACGACAACTAGGCGTTTATGCAAGTTGTCATACGGGCGGCTTCATGCAACGCCAATAATATTAAAGATCCAGAGGCAGATCATGGGAGGTGCTAAATATGGAGCGGGAAGCGAGGGGGTACGTCGTCACACTTCAGCCCACATGTTCAGAGTTTTCTCACAATATAGGCATGTAGGTCATTAACTGATTAATACATTCTTTATAAGCCCTTTATACGTGATCATTAAACCGTGATTTATCCTACTTGATTATAATGTTCTCCGTATTTTGTATTTTATTAAAAGATCATGATAAATCTAAATAAATATTTTCCTAATCGGTCAAAACGTTCAGGCGACCCAGTTTTAACGTGTTTTCTATTGAAGTGGCAACCAATCAGATCAAATCATTTTCGGCGCTTGTATTTAGTCTGAGACCAGTGGAACCAAATTAGGACTAGCGTCTCCCAAAGTTCGGGACAAACAACACACCCAAGGCTCGCTTTCTCGCTTTGACTCCTTTTTCACTTTCCTGCTTATTTTTCTCTTAGATCTTGACTTCACGTCAAATTCTTTCGTTACTTTACACACATACACACACATTCGTTATGCGTCTCTCAAGCCTTTCGTTCTTCATCCAGGCTCTACTGTTGACTGCGGTCGCAGCCCAGAGTGCTGGTATCTCCACCAATCTCCAAGATACCACAACCGCTACAACTTCATCCTCCACTACCGAATCAGTGCCTGAAACAACTTCAACATCATCCTCCACTACCTCTAAACAGACTACTACTGAGACAACTTCTACACCCGACCCTACTACCAAGACAACTTCTACCACCTCCGAGCGTACCACCGATCCTGTCACCGAGCCTTCTACCTCAGCAGAACCCTCCTCCACTCCAGACCCCATCGTCTCTTCAACCACTTCCAAGAAAGACACTGCCACCAAGACCACTGCCGATGACACCACCTCGGCCAAGAGCACTACCACTCAGACCCCGGTCGTGAAGACGATCACCTCCTATGCGACCAGCGATGGATCCACCATCGCCAACGTCATGACCACCACTTCCACCCCACCCTCTCTTAACGGCGAGAAGAGCTCTGGCTCTAGTGGTGTGTCTTCTTCGGACAAGAAGATCATCATCGGTGTCGTGGTGGGTGTCGGTGGTGCCATTCTTATCGGCGCTGTCGGTCTGGTCTTCTGGAGAATCCACAAGAAGCGCAACGAGCAATACGGCGATGAGGATGATCTGATGGGCGGCACCGCTGTAGGCTCCGGCCCTCGCGAGAAGGCTCCCAGCCCAGCCGGCAACACCCCCTTCAAGAACACACTGGACCAATATCACAACCCTGGTCCTGTCAACGCGGCGTCTAACTTCTAAGCGTATTGCGTTGACTTGACACTTGTCGAAGTGTAAATCTTGTACGATCTTCATGCTTTTCTCAGGCGCTATGGACAGGATATGCGAGGTCACGGTTGCATTTTTATTCGGTTGCAAAATTGCTTTTATCTTTTCGGGGGTTTTCACCCAGTCTCTCCCTTCATCATCTGCGCATTTATTTGAGCGTTTTATTCTTCTCTGCAACCACCACATTCCCTTTATCGCAATCGCGGTTCTCGACCCCTGCGCGACTGACAAAATTACGGCACTTTTCCGTGCCTGTCTCTTTTTGATTCCCCATATCTAGGCTTGTGTTGTCCTATGGTGAACTCCATTATGCCTTGACCGATATTCTATTCTTGTACCTTTTGCAGTATTCAACGTCACAAATTGTATAGTGTTGATAGACGCGTGCTGCAAAGGTCCCTTCTTGATCTCTGATCCGTATGTATGTAATTCAAGGCAAATGAAATCAGTAAAACAATCCACAGTGTTGATCCTATTATCGTACCAAACTATCGTACATGAATGTAGATTAAGATCGACATCCGATCTCGATCCGAAGTATGTATCCACGTGGATTGATCCACATGCCACATTCCAGCCCTATTTACTTCGTATCTTATTGGGCAACAGTATTTCGGATCTTCCTCCCTTCGCGCCGATAGGCAATTTGAACAGTAGCACTGGCCTGGAACAAGCACCCAGCAAACTTTCAATCGTTCCGCTGGCAGCACATGACTATCGAGGGGAAACCGGTATCCCACAGCATATGCAATCACAGCCTCGGCTGTATAGCGGCTTTGCACAACTTAGGCATTGAGTTCCCCGTCCACGATCTTCCGCTTGTCAAGTAGTCATAGTCTCGGCCATATCTTTGCCTCTTTCTTCTTTGTTTCCGTAGAAGTAGGCTCACCATTGAGAAACTTGTAATGACAGAAATTAGAGTCTCGAAAGCGTCAAACATGGGGAACTTAGTGTGATTAAGAAACGAACGTATCAGGCTTGTCTGTAAAGGCTGTTGGCATCGCTGCCGTCCACGCTGGTCAGGGTGGCTTGCGTGATACTGAGATCGTCTGAGGCTGTGTCCTGCTGGGGTTTACTCTTCGATAACTGTTAGGATTTTAGCCTTATATTCATCTTATATAGTCAAATACTTCCAGCCCTACGACCCTTACCTTTTTGGCTTGTTCCCGATACTTGTTAATGCTTTCAATTGGTGTTGGCTTTGGAAAAGAACAAGTGAGAGGTGATTTTATATGTATATTCATTTGAGGTGGAAGTGACTACACCCCCGACTCTGATGTATGTGAAACAAGAGTAGGCGGCCGCTTATGCGGTACGAGTGTTCGATGGGCGAGCAAAACAAACTGGAGGAGTCTATAAGGCAGAGCACCACCTTGAAGAAATGGTGGCTCTGTTTGGGACATTTCCGCGACTACTGGCACGGGGTGACCAGAATCTCGTTTCCAAATACTTCGACGAGCATGGCGAGCTTCGGGACCCAATTCCTCGGCCAAAAGCGTTCTTGGAAAACTAGATCGAGAGTCTAGGTGGGAAGGATAAGGAAAACTTTGTTTAGTTGTTGAAGACCATGATGAAAATCGACCCTAATGATCTGAAAACGGCAAAACAATTACTGGATGAGTCGGCGTTTCTAATTCAAATAACTTGACAGTGTATATTTGATAAGGGACTCGAGGTCTCTAACTTTCCTCAGTCTGCCGGAGTAGTTGGTAATACATGCCTGTGCTCCATGCTGAATCCAAGCTCCATAGGCTTACCCGAAGTAAGTAGGCGAAGAAGTCCACGCTGCTCTAAATCTCGGCAGATTTCCCGTTTCGAAGATAAAGGCTCACCAGAGTGGTCCTGATCCACATTGCAACAGCCATCACCATTGGTTACCTCGCCATTGCTCCCATCTATAGCCGTTCGCCCTCCAGGGGTGAAGGCTGCTTGCTGGTTCGGTGCTTCGCTACGTGATTTCTGAACCAACATTTCTGTCTGTGTGGCCAATTCCGCAAGCGTGCGATATTGGTTGTGCCAGCACTTATCGATGATATCGTCAATATACGGATCGCCATTGAGCTTCGGAAAATCCATGTTTTGGAGTAATTTCACGACCTTAGGTCCATGCTCGTAAGGATCGTCGGCGAGACGTTGATCGTCATAAAGCTCAAAGCCATAGTTAATCAAGTAGTACAGCGAGCCGAGCGCGAACTGCTCGATTCGAGTACATAGGAAGCCGCCAGTTCCTGGTCTCCCTTGGTCTGTCTCGTTACGATTGAGTAGTCTTCCGTACGGGCAAGGGCAAGTTTCAAAATCTGTTCCGAATTCGGCCGTACAATCGAAATCCGATAGTTTTAGTCGTTCACGATCAAGCAGAATATTTTCAGCCCGTAGGTCACCATGAGCGAGGTTAAGTGACCCGAGGAACTCAACACCTTGGGCAAGATCGTGCATCCCTAAGCATATAAGGGTCAGTTCCAAGTTAGCAGTTGGTAGGTGTCTACTAACACAACTTTCGTAGTGGCAGGGGTTCTAAGTTTTTCACTTTAGTAACTACACGAGTTTCCGGGTCCCGAATGAGATTGAATTGTTTCCTATAAGCAAGGGAGATATCTAGGAATGTACTCAGTATATATATTCATAGCATACTAATAGGAGTCGCACCTCTCATATACTCAGGGAAGATTCCGTCTGTTGTATAGAGGAAACACTCCACCAGAGAGGGACAGGGTGGATGCTGGGATAGAATCTCATAGATCTTGAGTTCTTTGCGAAAGCTCTCTCTCTCTCTCTTCCTCGCCGGACTTAGGAACCTTGACCACGATGAGAGGATGGACCTCGTAGACGAAGGAGATGCCTCCTCCCCAGACCCAATGCACACCAGGGAATTTGCGTTGAATATCCATAATAATGAGGACATAGACAGTGGAACATAGGAGGTGTTGGGCCACGTGATCACATGTCGTCTTCCTGTTCTTCCAACTTCTTTTCTCTCTATTCCTGAATTCCTTGATCCTTCTCTCCAGGGCTCGATTTCCTTGTTTTGTCAAGTTCCTAACAAGTGAAGATGGGATGAGAGCCGAAGGTGGTCTGTAAGCAGCTAATTAGCAACGCACCAAGTACCCAAGGCATAAAAAGTGACTAGACTTATATGCTTTGCCAACTCCAAGACCTACGTGTATTTGGGCACTTCAGAGGTGCCCACGGGTCTATGTGTGGATAAGATAATTTGGTCTAGTTAACATGACGGTTCGGGTAGTCAGAGCTACCAAAGTCAACAAACAAGATTAGGTTATTGGAGCGAAAATTCACCGAACGTAACACCCCATAAGGCGTACGTCGTTGCATGAGGACCACTATGTACCAATTAAAGGAAATGGATGGGCCTTAAGATTACTAACCCTATCTACTAAGGGCTTAGAGCAAGAAGGGCAACTAGTGAGCCCTCCCATTTGGAGTGAGCGTCGATTACATGTGTTATATGTAGGTACTCCGTAGGTGTACCTGGATCTGTTTATAGATAAAACGGGAAGGTGCGAGGGTGTGTTGAAACCAAAACAGGAAGGTGTAGGTTTTATATATGGATCCACCTCACCTGATACTTCCTCTCTCAGGGCTTCCAACTCTTCCACCCGTGGACCTGTCAGACTGTTGAGTTTATGTCGTAAGTTTGTTGGCAGCCTGAAGAGAGCGCCAAGAGATCGACATATATTACCAAGAGATCCGCTGTAAAAACAACATGAGATCGCCTCTTGAAATCACCGCCCCCAAACTAGCCAAGCACTAGACACTCCGACAAAACACCTCCAATCAGGGAAGGAAATACCACGACGGCCCCCAATCAGCCAAGCATGCAAACCATCACAAATGATGTCATTGAAGCGCCCAACTTCGGACTTATACTAGCTCTCTCCGAGGTCCTTGCAAATGCATAAAATGACATAAAGAAAGCGTGCAGTGAAGCCCATAGCGAGGTTTATATAGAACTATCTCCAATATCAGGTTTCGCCGCATCATAAACACATCCAGCTTGTACACAATCCAAGAACAATGATCCAGCTCAAACCATCCACACTCGCCCTCGGCCTCTGTCTATTCATTTCTTCCATCCTTGCAAAGGATGCTGAACTCTCCTCTAGCCTCGTAGGCTGCAAAGAAGTCTCATGTCCTCTGGAAGGTTCCAATGACCGCTGCACAGTGGGAAAAAACACCTTCCTTGGTATCGGACTATCCCGCATCCCCGACGTTCCATCCTCTCTTGAGGGCTTCTCCCTCGTCAAAGGCGTCAATGTGTCTGCCGGTATGGCTGGCAAGGACAATGACAAACCCACACGTCCTTTCAACTCGACCTATTACCTCGGCATGCCCTCAGACGTAGAAGCCAAGGACTTGTCCGGCTGTGTTGTCGTCTTCCACGATGCTCCGTCAAAGACATTCAGCGGAAAGGATACCCGTTCCGCGAGCGGGACTTGTTCCGATGTTATTGATAAGACATGTATTGAAAAGCTTACGGAGAAGGCAACGGAATTAGCTGAAGACACTGATGGAGATTGCATGACGCTTGAACGAGAATTAAAGAAGACTTCTTTCGAAGATTGCGATGGGTTTGCGGGGAATGGTGGCAAGTTTGGGAATTTCACTGTTCAGTCGCTTGATGATCTTAATACGGTTAAGAATTCCTCGGATTGTTGGCCTATTCAGCCTAAGTCTGATCAACTAGTGGAGATTGCGAGACATACTGCTTTGGTAAGTGGAGTCCTATTCAATTCTAACAGTCGTTAATATATTGTAGAACGACTACACAGCACGGGCTTTGCTTGACGAGGCCTATAAGATTACCCCAATCCTCACTGTTTTCACTGGGAAGGGCAACAGCAGTCTTGTCGACGAAACTGCTTCTCAGCTGACATGTTTGAAAGTAGTTACTGAAGAGAACCCCGATGATGACAACGATAGTAGTAAGAATTCCGCAGTGACAGTCAAGGCAAGTGGATTTGCTGCTAGCATTGCGGTAGGAATATTTGCTTTGCTGTAGATGATTGAATTTGAAACAGACATGGAAAGCGTATATAAGATCATCGGACTATCATTCTAAATACGGAGTAAAATGATAAAATGCAAGGGGCAAAACGCGCTAAATTAGCGCGACTTCCAACGTGTATCTACAACTTTATCTTACACGTCTACCCTCGAAATAAACCTGATTCAATCAATCCAATTTACTATTTACATACAACATACCCAACGGAGTACAACATAGAGAAACCAAATATCAACCTCCGCAACCGACTTCCGCATCCGACCCACAACGCCATCATGTTCGCAACCCACCCCCAAACACCCTTCAAAAAATACACCCCAATCCTCTCCTCCCCCCTCAAAAACACACCTATATGGACAATGTCCCCGCATAACACAACCCCAAACCACTCCAACCCCCCACTCTTCAACATCCAAACCGAACCAATAACCCGCCACACCCAAACCAACCACACCCCAATCGCAATGAACTTCCACGCGTCAAATCAATCCTCACCCACCTTAAACCACTCCTCAAACCAATTCTCAACATCCACCTCAAACCACTTCTCAAACCAAACCTCACCAACACCCCGCCCAAAACCAAAATACGAAGCGCGCTACGCATCCATCGCGAATCCACTCAAAGATAAAGCTGGTCTAGCGCGGTCGCGAACGCGCACTATGTTCCTTAATCGCGTGCGGAATGAGCGTGACGAGGGACGGTTTGAGGCGCGCGGTGAGCAGATGATGCGGATGGAACATCTTGCTGATCGGAGACGGTGGGAGGAGAGGATGGCGAGGGAGGGGGAGGGGGTTATTGGGTTTGAGGAGGATGATATGCCTGGTATGTTTATTCTTTATTCTTGGATTGAGGATTGAGTATTCTTATGGACAACATTGCTGACACTGACTTGTAGATGATGCGCTTGAGGAATTTATTTCTCAGGAGGAGGCTATGGAGATGGCGATGAGGGAGACAGAGGAGCGGGAGCGGAATGGGGAGCCGTTTAGTGATGATGAGTATGATGATATATTTATGGGATTGTCAGAGCCGGGGAATCATGCGCAGTCCCAAGCGCAGTCTCAGGATATGGATATGTCGTGAGTGGACTCGGCTACTGGTGTTTGATTTTCTTTGCGAGGCATTGCATTGGCGGCGTTTTTGATTTGGGATTGGACGGATACATAAAGTAAATAGGGTATATAGGTCTGGGTTGCGCATATGTACAATACAGAGATGATGTATGACAAGCACGTCTTGACAAGACGATATCTTTCAATACATTTTCAACATATCACTGCTGCGGGCAATCAGGCACGCCAGCTCCAGCACTTCCCAGGTCATCCATGAGGGGATTCGAGACTAGTTCCTCAGGTGGACTTCCAGCCGCTTGCATCTGGGATAGTCAGTAAACCTCTTCCAAATAAAAGTAACGTTGAACTCACCTCCTGCATCCTCTCCCACACATACTCCCGACACTTAGGATCATCATCCGAGAATCCCTTCTCCTCGAACTTCGCCACAATCTGCTTAACAACACGCGCCTGCGTCTCGAACCGCTCCATATCCTCAGCGGAAACCTTCCCACTACCCTTATTCTTCTCAATCCACGGCCCGAACTTAACATCCAATTCCTTCATCGGCTCATACAACATCTCCTTGTTAGACAGCTGCTCCATCATACCCATGAACATCTTCGACAGATCTCCGTCTTCACCAGCACCCGATGCACCCGCCTCAACAGCCTTAAGTAGTTGCGCTAGCATATCATCGGAGATATCATCTTCATTTACAGCAGCGGTAGCTTTATCACCACTTTCTTTCATCCGCCCCATTGTGCGCTTGATGGCGTCGTTGAATGAGTCGGGTTGTTCGCCTGCAGCCGCAGCCGGAGTAGATGATGTCTGAGTAGGAGCAGAGATTCCAGCCGCGGCAGCGGCAGCTGCGAGATTCTCCGCTGAAGGTCCAGCACCGCCCTCCTCGGCCATTACGTCGGCGAGAAGCTGTTTGAGGAAATCGCCTGGCGCGATCCCGCTCTCCTCGAGCTGTTTTGCGAATACGTCCGCGCCTTGGTCGACTGTTGCTTGGAAGTTGGGGTCGGAGCTTGTTGCGTTCCCGCTTGGTCCCATCATGCTCGCCATGTCTTGTTCCAGTTGCTTGAGGAAGGCATCTTCGTCGAAGTCTGCGGGCGCGATTCCTGTCGAGGGGTTTGCGATGGTGGGTGGGTTTGCAGGAGGGGCGGGTTTGGGTTTGTTGAAGTCGTCGAGAACGTCTATTGGTGTGAGTGCGTATTCCGCGTGGCGGGGTGAGGGGAGAGGAGAGGGAGAGGTGGGGGTTTGATACCATCTAGCTCATCGAAATCTGAGTCTTCGTCATCTTCAGCAGCTGCTTTTTGTGGTTGTACAGGTGCTGGTGCTGGTGCGGGCACTGCTTCCGGTGGTGTGGCTACGGGATTGGTGTTTTGGGTCTGAGATTCTTGTGTGGTCGGCGCGATGACGGTGGAAGCCTCTTCCGGGCGATCCTCGGTCGGCAAGGGGGTAGTCATATTGCCCAAAAAAATAAGGTATGAATCTCAATTGGAAGTACGGCCCGGAGTGAAGGTTAATTTTGGAGGTAGAAAGTCTGGAGATGAGGTTGACATGTGACGGGTGTTTGGCGGGGGAGATGCCGATCGCCGAGGGTTTACATTTTGCCTACTCCGAGACTAGAGTATGAGGACTACCGTATATGGTGTATATGGTATATTGTATTCGACATTTTTTATACAGAGTAGAAATAAAAAAATATATCTAGAATAAGAGTCAAGGTGTATAGATTGCTAGAATCCTTGAATCGAGCTTGAATCAAGCTTGAATCGAGGTCAAGTCCAGGGTTATGTATGGAGTACCAGGGGTGATGCAGTCCTATATTAATATCAAGATCTACTCCGTAATAGTAAATCAGATCCAAAGCCATGAGATCATAGTCCAGACCAGGACCCCCGCATCATCTCAGGATATTTCCATGCGAGGAAAAATCTGCAATGCATTCTAAGTCCGGGGAAGGGGCGTCATGCGATGATCCTTTATTGGTCTCCTCGGAGAACCAGTTGAGGGTGGCGCGTGATTCGCTTACGAGTACCCCAATGGGTCAGGGCAATGGGGTCATGTGGCATTATCTAAAGGCGGAGGACGCCGCGATCCAATAATGGGCAATAATGTTATGGAACCGGTATCGGATATACGGAATGAGCATGTTTCTGGGTTCTCCGCGGACAACTTCATTCTTTGAGAATATAGGGCAATAATATTGTAAGTTGGAATTGTGTACAACATATGTTGTACGTTGTATGTTATATGTTGTATGGAGTAGAGAGAGAGAGAGAACAAGACCTTTGTGGATCGACCATGGATGGGAAGTAAGGCCAAGTAAAACGTGGAACCCCAAAAGAAAAAAGAAACCCCAAAGAAGTTAGAGAAAGGAGAAAAAAAGAAAAAAAAGAAAAAAGGTCAGAGTTCGAAGTAGGCGAGCCCCTCCTGACCAGACAGACTTTTTTTTTGTTAGTCAATTGATTTATTTTATTTTTCTCTCTTTTATCTTTCCTCTGACTCTTTCTTTCTCATAATTTCAGTTTTCTTTATGTCACAGCTTTTGAGCTTCCTTCCTGAAAGCACGTCCCTTTCTTAGCCGCGCGTGTCCCCTTTTACCCTTTTTATCCATTTTTTCTTTTTTTTTTTTTTCTCTTTTTTGCCGGCCATCAGGTCCGGCAACGCGGGGAAAACTGGCTGTGTCTGTTCCGTGTGCGGAGGGCCGCCTACAGGCTTGAATTAGATTATATAATGGTCTCGATGGTTGATGATATGGCCATGGACTCAATTGTTCCTAAACATGAGCCTGGTCCGGATGGTTCTATCAGTTCAACGGTGTCAACACCAGATCCAGAAGCGGAACCTTTGACTCAAGATGCTGCGCAAACTCAGAAGAGGAAAGGAGGCAGGAAACCTGTACGTAACAGATTTTTACAAATCTGGGGCCCCGCATTCCTGTGTCACTTTACTAACTCATTCAGATATATGCCACTTCTGAAGAACGAAAGCAACGCAATAGGCAGGCCCAGGCGGCTTTCCGAGAACGCAGGACGGAGTATATCCGCCAGCTAGAGACCACCATCAAACGCAATGAGGAATCCCTGCAGAGTCTGCAGCAGAGTCATCGCAGTGCCGCCGATGAATGTCTAATGCTGCGGTATAAGAACTCCCTGTTGGAGCGCATTCTCCTTGAAAAAGGTAACCTTCGCCTCGAACCCCTAGTCCAAACCTCAACTAACTCCCCCCCCTAAGGCATCGATGTCCAGGCCGAACTACGCCTGAAAACGGGGGCGCCGGGCGCTCCTCCCAAGGCAAACCCTATCCCCCCAAAGGTAGCACCTGGTGCGGGGGCACGCCCAAACCAGCGACACCCCGCAGGCATCGCCTCGAAGCCCGAGACGTTCGGCATGTCGCAGCGGGAAGGCGCATACGGGATCCCATCACCGCAGTTCCAAGCAACCCCCACCTCCCACGTTTCCTCACCCTCGCACGCCAAGTCCCCCGGCTTCGGTTTCCAGGGTGCCATGTCACCTGTCGAGGGGGGACGGCCCCAGCTGCTCCCCCAACCCCGGACTTTCAGTCAGACTTCGCCGCCGGCAATCAGCATGCCGCAGACCGAGCCATCAGACTCCAAGCCCCAGTCTCGTGGAGCTATGGGTCCTCGCGGTGCGCGGGTCGCGGCTGCTTACTACCCTTCTCCATTCCAGAAACACTACGATCAACTCGGTAAGCCTATCTTTACCTCGATTTTTAGTTCCTCCCCAACTGACCTCTCAAGCAGAACAAGAGTACGATGCTCAGGCCGATATGGTCGACGATGAACACGACGGCTCAGCATCATATGTCCCTGGATTCACTCCACAGTCCGTTGCCTCAGGCACCCACAATATGTCTGGTTTCCAACCACCAGGCGAGGGCACGCCCGGCGATTTCAGCAATGCAAATCAGCTGCTCGGTCAGTATGAGCCGATGCTGGACACGGATCCGTTCGGGTTAAGCGCTAGCATGCACTTCCCCACACCGTTCAACTACGAGCACAACTCGAGGCAATGAACTTTCTAAAAATTAGTCTGCATTTTTTTTTCTTTCTTATTTTGTTTTATATTCATATATCCGTCCATCTTATGTGGTGAATGATCATCTCTTCCTAAAAGTTTGATTTGAGCATTGTCCGGCGTTGTTAGGGTTTTGATACCAATGTTCTCTACTGGTTTTCTTCAGAGGTATATTATATGACATTCTGTACATGAATCGAATCTTCTCATCACGGCCATTAACTTGCATCTGCATGTTTCCTAATATATATCACCATTACGTCTTTGATTACCTGTTATGATGGAATACTATGACTACTATTCTGGCTATTATAATGCGAGCTTTGGATACACTATCGGCGAGTGTGGCATATGCGGAGAAGCCTATTATCCCAATATTTGGCCCTCCCTTAGGCTGATCGTGTTACAGCGGAGAATCATCAGAGTTCGAGCATATAAAGTAGCTTGGGTGTTGACCAAACATACCTTTTTGGCCTGTGGACGTGGTGACACCTGGTCTCTCACAGAAATATTGTGTCTGGTCATCTGGCATAATGACCAATGCGCCACAACACCAAAATATTAAAGATATGGATCTCATGTGTTGTTCTTTGAAACATTTTCAGGGGAGTGACCCCACTGATCGTCCGGCACTATGGGGACCTATGAATTTCCGTTTCAAGTTAGTTTTACCTCTTTTGGGATAGCCGCCTACGCCGTCACTGCTCCTTCGATATAAGTTGTGCTTGTTCTAACACCTAATTTCTTCTGCCTCATACCCCCTTCCATATTCTGCCCGCGATCGTACCTTTTTACCGTGCTGCCTGACATGTCCGGCGACATGTTTCTATCTCTAGACCTTACTTCGTTTAAGCAGTCCCCTTTACTAGAAATCGATAAGCTCTCGGTTTACATTGATCCCACTACTCTCGAAGACTGGGTCTTCCGATAACCACCGAGACCCTGCTTCACCTGTGTCATGTCGATGACGCTCGGGGTTGAAAGCGAGGCCGGCCTCCATCCAAGCCACAACACAAGGACCATTTCCGACTCCAGCTTTTTCAGGGAGCATCGGGCGTATGCACTCCCTACCCCGGCCGAGGTCAGAGCTATCAACGAGGAATCAGTCAACATTACTGGCAGAAGGTTCAACCGACCCCCACCCGTCAAGTTTCCATCATTGGGCCTGTTTGTTAAATACGGAGCCGACACAACCATTACAGAAGCAGAGACCCAAATTATGGTATACAAAAGTTAAAGGGCAAAGTACTAGTTCCTGAGGTATTTAGGCGGCCAAGTATTTATCTATATGTCTTTGATAGAGGCCTGAATAATCAACCTCTAAATGATATCTTTCTATCCGGTCACCGGGACTTGGCTGGCCCATTCTACGGCGTAGACGCCGTGCGGAAATTCCAGAATGGCTGCGATATCGAGATTGATGAGGATGTGTCTGTGGTCTTTACTCATGCCGATCTTGTACCACCGATTATCATTTTCTCGTCCGGGTCGAATCCGGTAGTTGCTGTTGTCATTGATTGGTGCCAGGCTGGGTGGTATCCTGCTTACTGGGAGTATTGCAAGGCGCGTCGTGTCAGGGCGAATCCGAAATATTTTGAAGATTGGGAAGAAGAATGGAATGCGAGATATCTGCCGACTATTTTGGATCCGGTTGACGATGAGACGGTGTATCACCCTTGGTTGTGGTTTGTCTTGTATAAGGGTATCTACCTAGTGTGAATGGATATTATGGAACTATACAACCGTGAATGAATAAAATATGCATGGTTTATTTCATATGGATGTACTATTCTGACCCTTAGGTCATGGGCACATCAGCCAGGCTGACTGTGTTGAAAAAGTATGAACCTGATACAAAGCATGGAAGTGGGATATTCTCAAAGATGATTTTAATACTACAAGTAGAGATTGAATTATAGAACTGCCTTTGTCTGGTGCCAGTTGGTTTAGGTAGCTTTCATGTTTGTAAGCAGCGAAAGATGCCCGATACCTACGGTGCTCCGAACGCCGACGTGGTGATTGTATAATGTATTGGTTTGGAGCCGCAATCAAGATAACCCACCGTCATTCATCTCGGACATTATTGACTAATTCTGCTGCTTATAGGTGAACCAGTGGGATGGTTGTAATGTTAATACTCCGTATGGAGTTAGGAACTAGGTATGGAGTTAAGCAAATTATATCCGGGTTGTACATGGTCTAGTTCCTCGATGGCTTGATTAATAAAGAGTTGCAACCTCGCTTTCTGTATCACTCTCACCTTACCTATTCATTTACTTTACTTCAAGAGGATCTATTCTCGGCCATCAGCTTCTACACTTCACGCTTCAACCTTCTTCACTACAACCATATCACCATGCACATATTCGTTACCGGAGCCACCGGTTTCGTCGGCAGAGCAGTTGTAGACGAGCTCTTAACTGCCGGCCACACCGTTACAGGCCTCGCCCGCTCTAACAAAGCCGCCGAATCCCTAACAGCAAAAGGCGCCAGAGTACTCCGCGGTTCCTTCCTCGACCTCGACATCATCAAGCAAGGAGCCCTCGAGTCTGACGGCGTGATCAACCTTGCATTCGACCACGACTTCAGCAAATATGAGCAGAACTGCCTTGACGAGAAAGCAACCATCGAAGCACTAGGTTCAGCTCTGATCGGAACCAACAAGCCTCTGATCACCACCACCGGCACCTTGGGGCTCACCTTGGGTAAAGTCAGCACTGAAGACGAAGTCGTTGATTACGATGGACCGATGAACATCCGCCTTCGTAATGAGAAAGTTACTGCCCGCTTCGCTGAGCAAAACGTGCGTGCCTGTGTCATCCGTCTGGCACCGACTGTACACGGCGACGAGGACCGCGGGTTCGTCCATATGCTCGCTGCTCTGGCCCATTCAGAGGGAAATGCTATTTACATCAACGAGGGGCTAAATCGCTGGCCTGCTGTTCATCGTCATGACGCTGCTCGTCTCTACAGACTTGCAGTAGAGAGAGGTGTTGCTGGCAGCATATATCATGGTGTGGCCGAGGAGGGTGTCGTCTTGAAAGACATTGCCGAGGCTATTGGTCAAAATCTAGATCTTCCTGTTGTTTCCAAGTCTCTTGAAGAAATGAGGAGCGTTGACGGTTTCACGGCTATGCTTATGAGCGCCGATAATCCGACTTCAAGCAAGAAGACCCAGGAACTTCTCGGATGGGAGCCAGTTGGCCCGACGCTTTTGGATGATATCAGGGCCGGGGTTTATGCCCAGGAGTGAGGGGTTGTAATATAATGTGTATAATTTTGGAAGGGAAGCTTGGAGCTTTGGGCATATATGACTGGAATGCATACCCAAGGGAGAGAGAATGACCAATGTGATTACTAGCCAGACGCAACAATCCCCCACATACCAATCGAAATCCAAACAGATTCATTTTTTGCCACGGATAGCTCCATGATTACATAGCTACTGCAAGGTCATAACAAAAAGATGTAGTCCACAGTCAGATCGGCATACTCCACCGAGACGTGTCAATTCATTGTAAGCTAATGAAATATAAAAATATGCATAATATCATATACAAAATGGGTGGATATAATTCGTACAAAAGCGAATAAACCCAGCAAGTATGAGAAAAAGTATCCCCAGAGCAGTCCTTGACGTAATGATTACGTAAGGTACCCTAAGCCCTAGACTGCGGGCAGCCAATCAACAGCCACGGACATCTTCGCTTAGGAGCAGAAGCCGCCTTTCCTGATTAGTCACCTTACACCCTGCAACCACAAACCGTGGACCTCTCTTCACCCTGATCATTCATCATCATCAAATTGACAGGCCGGATTCCCTTGGGTTCTGCCTTGTGCCCCGTTAACTCCTCTAGACCGATTGTCTAAAGTTGAGCGCCTCCCCCCCGGAAGGTCTCCGAAACACAACAGGCGTCATGGCGGAGTCCGTCCGGTCGAAGGTACGCTGAAATGGAGCTCTCCTGCGCGCTGCTAGCGACGCAATGCTTGAAAGAAATCGCGATCTGGAAGCGATTTGGGGAGGATATTTTTTTTTGAACGTTCAATAACTAATTCGAATTGATTATAGAACCTCTACGAGCTTCTGGGTAAATTTCCCCTCCCTTGAATGCAATTCTCGGCTATCTTTTCCGACGACAATGAGCTCTTTCTATTCGGAAGAACAAAGCTTTATTCGAATTCGTGCATCCGTTTTTCGGTCTATTTGATCGCTAATGTTACCTATCATCAGGTAACGACCCAGAGCTCGACCCCAGCAGACCCGCTCCTCCCCCCACGAAGGCTATCGACCGTCCCGTCGACCGCTCCGGAAAGCGTGATGCTCCCAAGGAGCAGCCTGCTCGTCACACTGAGGCCAACGCCCGCCGCGGCGGCCGTCCCGCCGCTGGCAACGAGGCCGGTATGTGTTTATAAAGAAAATCGGTTGTCGGAACAATCGGACTAATTATCTGGATAGCTTACCGTGACCGCAACGCTGGCCGTACCCACAACCGTGAGAAGCCCACTGATGAGGCTGCTGCCCCCGCCCGCCGCGGTGGCCGTGGCGGCCGTGGTGACCGCCAGTCCCGCACTGGCCAGACGTAAGCGATTCCCTGGAAGGAAACCCGCAAGAATCATGAGAACCATGATTCAAGGTGGAATTAAGCAGAAGGAGAACTAACCTAAATTTCGATACAGCGACACCCGCAAGCAGGTCCAGCAGGGCTGGGGTGCCCAGAGCGGCGAGAAGACCCTAGACGACGAGCGCCAGGGCGAGAAGATCGCCAAGAAGGAGGAGAACGAGCCCCAGACCCCCGTCGAGGCCGAAGAGCAGGAGGAGCCCGATAACTCCAAGTCCTTCGCCGACTACCTTGCCGAGAAGGCCCAGCGCGAGACCCTCGCCGCCAAGCCCGAGCGCACCGCCAACGAGGGCACCAAGCTCGACAAGAAGTGGGCTGCCGCCAAGGAGCTCACCAAGCAGGAGGAAGACGCCTACATCCAGCCTTCCCAGGAGAAGGCCAAGCGCGAGAAGCAGCGCAAGGAGAAGAACTTCCTTGACGTCGACCTCCGCTACGTCGAGCCTCCCCGCAGCGGCCCCGCCCCCCGCGGCCGTGGCGACCGTGCTCCCCGCGGTGACCGTCCCGCCCGTGGTGGCGAGCGCAGCGAGCGTGGCCGTGGTGGCCCCCGTGGTGGCGACCGTGCTCCCCGTGGTGACCGCCCCGCCCGTGGTGGTGCCGCTCCCCGTGCCAACGCCCGTGGCCCTGCCGGCCCCACCGTCGACGAGAAGAACTTCCCCAGCCTCGGCGGCAACTAAATTGCCTGACGTTGTCGGGAACTGGCTCCACGACACGGATTTCTTTTATATCCCCTCTTCCATCCCTTTTCTCCATCTGCTAGGTGTGCAAGTTCACCCGGAGGTGGTATTTAGTCGCTTTCATCTGTGATGGTTTTTATTTTCTCTTTCCCGTGGGGATTGGGTTGGGGAGAGTGGGATGTGAAGGATTCTTCGTTCCTGGATGCAAAAACTGCCCAGTTTTAAGTTTTTTCTTTTATCTTGGGAAAAGACATATTCCGGGTTGGTCTTATATGTTGTGTGTTTACATTTGCCTTTGAGCAAACGCGAATTGGATGAATTCGACGGGCCCATGTAATTTGAATCGATCCAGAAGAAGTCAACAAAAAAATAGGAACGCAAAGAAATCTTCAATTGAATTACGGGACATGTCTGCTTCTTATATCCATATTATCTAGATCTACCAAGTGTACTTCGATACGTACGCTGATGTGTAGGATTTGCACATAGACCAAAATGGTGCTCTGATTTTCCATGCTATGGATGAGTATGAACATAACCCTAAGTATGTACTAATGATAGCCAAAGTTGCAAAATTCGGGCCCTAGGTATGGATGCAAAGAAAATGAGGGACGACAGATCCACTGTGTCAACAGCCTCTCCATTTGCCCTCGCTGTGACGAAATGTAAGCTTCTACAGCTCCTCGCCATGGCGATTAAGCCCCGACATGGCGAATTCTTTCGCGGCAGACTCGGCACTCTGGCTCCAAACCGCCATGGTCTCTTTATCGATATCCTCGAGGAAAGACAGGCCAGCCATGGCCTTTCCACCACAGGCACGCTCCAATGCCAGGAAAGCAAAATGCCCACCAATGACAGGCCGAGCGAAGAAGTTCGGACCAGGGAAGCCCCCGTCACCCTCTGTGTTGTGCAAGTCCGTGAATGGACGATCAGTGGAGGTCTCATTGACCCAGCGGGCGACAGATTCGAGGACCTCTGTACGCACAGCTTTGGATGAGACAGCCATTGAGAAGAACTCCCAGTCGGTCTTTGTGTACAGGTGACGGCTGTCAAGGGGAAGGCCGTACTTCTGACGCACATAGTGGTACCAAACCGACTGCTTCTGGTAGATGTGACGTGGGACGAAGCCAGGCGAATCAGTGTCGGTATCCTCTAGATGGAAGCAGAGCTGGGCGTCGGCATAGAGGTTGTAGAGCGTTGTCCAAGAGCCATACCAGTCGTAAGCAAGCTTAGCATGGGAGCCATCCCGGGACATGCCAAACTGCTCCCATTTGGCGATGTAGTCGCTGGCGATTTTCTACGTGCAGTTAGTCAATCTGTCATGATACACAGATAGAAAGCGGTTCGTACCTTGTAATAAGCAGCATCGGCATCGTGGCCGGCCACCTCGGCGATCTTACTCATGGCGTTGATGCCCACAATTCCCTTGAGAGCCAGATTGGTCTGGAGAGCCAGCCAGCCTGCAAAGTCATCGGTGGAGACTGTTCTCAAGATTAGCTTGGACGAACGCACTTATCGGAAAAGACAGAGAAATTGTTCTTACGTTGGTTAGCAGGCTCAAGAGAGAATTCAACTAGATATCCGGTCCACTGTTTCCAAAGACTATAGCTCCGCTTCACCCATTTCTTAGCTTGGTGCTGGCCCTTGCTACCACCACCCCATTTGCCATCTTGATGGGCAATTCCAGATAACGCCTGCAGGTTATCAAGAGGGAATAGTCCAGAATTCTCGTTTTCGGGGTTTGATGAGGGCAACCCCTGTGTTGACCAGATAGACGAGGCGGCAGCAGAGTCTTCATAGCGAAGCGAGTTCACGATAGCCAAGCCCATAATGAGGATGTTACCACACTCTTCGACCGGCATGTATTCATCCCTACCATCAGGGTGTCCGGTGGCATTGGGGAAGTGTGTACCCAAATCATGCATCGCATATTTATTAGGGTATTGCCCGCTCAGCATGTGCTCGATTAGCGGCTCCAAAAGGTACGCCAGCCACCGGGGGTTCGTGTACATGAAGAATGGGAACGCAGGGAAGATGACATCGATAGTTTGGAAGTTTCCATTCGAGGAGATCTCCTTTAGAAACAGGATTGGGTCTTCCGGGGTTCCTGAAAAGGTAGTTGCACCCATGACCTGCCGCGCAGTTAGGGCAACAATCTCAACATAGTCCTCGGCTCCCGACAAGTACGCATCCTTTGCCAATTGCTGCGAGTAATTGGAAGCTAGGGAACTAGCTGCCGCATAGTCCCTGTAATGGAAATCCAAAAGTTCCTCAGTTGTTGGGTACCAAGATTCCCATAAGGGTCGCATCATGGTGAGGCCACGAGATGACGCATACTGAACAACGGGGATTTGGATGAAAGCAAGAGTGAATGTTACGCTGTCGGCGTAACTCTTGGATGAATGGCCGAGGTGGAAAGACTTGGAGAACGCAAAAACCGGCGCTCGATCCCGAATAGGGCGGAATTTCTCATCGTTAGTGTTTTGCAGAGCTCCAGAGCTAGCGAAGGCTCGGCGTACATTAGTCGCATCTCCAGACTGGAATCCAGCGTCCTATATTGTGCTTAGCTATAGATCAGTTCATTTGACAAGATGGGACTTACAGATGGTCCAGTGAAATGAAGAGTGCCCCATTCCGCACGGTCGCGGATTTCCGAGAGTTCAAGCTCAGTCTCCCTTTGCACTTGCCATCGATTAAGGGCAGGTTCCTCATTCTCTGTCTTTAACAAGCTACCCCATTCCCACGTAATCTTACTGCCAGTATCTCCGCTGACCCAACGGCCGTCAACATCCATATAGATACTGACGTCGACATCACCTTGGACATCGATTGTAACATAGGAGGCCGGAATTGATTGACGTAGAGTTGAAGTTGGCGTAATAGGTGAAAGGAATGAAATTGTAACGTCGATAGGGTTTGCAGAACCAGTGTCGATATGGTAGGTCAGATTGGTCGTTGAGGCATCATAGTTCAGGCCAAGGTAGTTAGGGAACTTGATCTTATAGCTGTAATTTGTTAGTTAGATTCCTCAATGATTACTCAAATTCATACCCTGCTTTATTATCCAAAGACTCATGGGGCTTGCCAAGAAGAGGGTAAACGGCATTCTGACTTGGAAGATGAGCCATCAAAGAAAGGCCCACCTCCTCTCCAGTGTAGAACATGGGCCATTTTGACCAAGGTGTATCCCGAGCATTTGCAAGCCAGGTACTCAGATATGGATTTCGTACGATCAAAGGAATTACAGGCGGAGTGAGCGACGATGCGGTGCTAACCGCTGCCTGGAAGACAGCGGCCAGGACCACGAGCAATAGCTGCATGGTCAAGGTAACACGGGGTTCGGTCCACAATGAAATTTGAGATATCAATATAATATAATATTCAGACTGTGTAACGAGTGTGTCTGAAAGTTATAGCAATGTTGAAGAGGTGAAAATGATCAAGGGAGGAGCTCTGAAGAGAATGTGAGGTAAAATTACAAATGCGGGGGAAGGATCAACGTTGTAAGTCTCTTTGGTTATGGAAGTTGATGAGATCAGTTTCGACTAATTCTAGTCCTTTCATCTTTCCTTTCTTTTATTCTATTCCACCTTTACAGTGCCTATTCTCTTCTTTGCAATGCCATGTGAGTCGAGTTCTCTTTCGATGATGTCATGCGGAGACTATCTAATCAAGGAACATCCATTGATATTGATATTATGCCTATTATGGATATCATATATAAATATGCATTGAAATATTGTTCCTCGATCCGGAGTACTTTCATTGAATCGTAAATAACCAGAGGTTAGTTGAATGCAGCATGGTAAGAATGAAAATCGCTGTTATCGGCAATTTATACTGGAATGAAGGCCTGAGAAATTAGGTCAACGTCTTTGTGACTAGTTAACTAGTTAAATAGTGAACAGTTAATTTATCTATACACTCACCAGATACAGAGGAGATAGCTTAATGGGAATAACAAGTCAAGCTACTGCCGTATTTCAGACATCTATTGATGTTGTCTACCTCGTTGTCCGGGCTTGGTTATATATTATACTATATAGATAACTCTATTTGTTATATACAACATGAAACCAGTCATGAGTGTGTCTTATATAAATTACAGCAGGATATAGATAGATTTCTATTAAGCAGAATGAAATTAACAGAAGACCAATACTATGCAAACGTATGAAGAGCCTTGGAACCAATGAGCACTTGAATAGGGCAAGATATATTGTACTTCAAGTACACCACTAAATCAACATAATATAGGTTATCGATTTAAATGGAGCCTTATAGAAGATGTACCAAGGGAGAAATGGAAGCTAGTCATGCACCTAACATAATGTTATTATCACAAAGGCATTGTTCCTCACGATATACTTCAGATCTGTCATATTTTGACCAACTAACTGGTTATACTAGACTAACTACGTATACTACTACATAAATGCCTTTTCATTTTGATCCCTAGCCTATTCTCAAATGACATTTTTGTTTTGGAATTCGACCGCGTTCGTGGGGTCTCCAACCCTTGTGGATCCAAGACACGAAAAGCTCTAGACGCGCCCCGGCCGGGGTTGAACATAATAATAGTACATAGTATTATCGTGGATGTTGATCAGAGAGTCCTAGAAAAGCAAATTGAAATATTAGGGCATGTATAGCAGACCCTAAAAGATATTGAATCTTCAATATCAAAAAGTCAGACGTGTGGGCAGATAAGAAATGCCAATTTTATACGCGTCTATAAAATAACAAGCCTACAGTAAACTAGTCTAAAACATTCTAAACCAGACTAATAGTATTAACAGTATAATAACTAGTAATATAATAGTGTATCAAAACAATTGCATTCAAATTCAAACGCGTGCTCAACACGCCTATGTGGAGCCTAGTCCGTGCTCTATACAAGGCTAGTAAGATATCGGGGGGACTAAACGCGATCGACGCGACCGTTTTTCTTTTTCAACTTTCGACCTTCTACTTTCTACTCTCTACTCTCAACATTCTACCTTCTATCTTCTAGCTCTTGGCTTTATACTTCCAATTGGGATTACAATTCTCTTTTGGTTCGCGTCAAACTCCCCCGCACCTCATTCTACTATCTCTTCTGTTCCCCTCGATCCTCTTCAGGCTAGAATCTACTATCCTAAAGCTCCATAATGAACTCGACTTCAGTGCAATTCAGTCCTATCAAGGCCGGGCGACAAATTCTCGGCGAGAAAGACTCGAACGCGTGTCTGTCCCCCGCTACACACGCCAAAGCATCATTCCCACCAATTGAGACCCCAGTCAAGCGAATGTCAATCGCTACTTCTCCTAAGAAGCTTCTCCCGTCTCCTATATTTGCAGGCCAAAAACGGACACGGGATCAGGTGGATCAGGAAGAAATAGGACACGTGCAGATGCGGGAATCCTCTCTGCAGCCCGTCCAATCCACCGCCAATGAAGATATGCAATGCGAGGTAAGCTCATGCGAGACAAAGAAAGCCCAAGATAGATGATTCCAAAGCTAACCCTATAACACGGAATAGCTCACTCAAACCCCCACCCCACAAAACTCACAACCTGAACGCGACCAAGTACAAGATCTAATGGACACCGATCAATCCTTCAACGCGCCCAACACACCCCAAGAAACGCGTAGCGTCATCTCAGAATCCGACGCGCGCAAAATGTTCATCCAACAAGTATGTGGACTCAATATCAAACACCGCGAAGGCAATTCTAACAATACAATAGAAAGCAAGCCTCCTCCGATCAAGACTACAAAGCGCAATGCGCAATGTGATAGACCACCAATTCGACCGTCGTGTCTCTGAGCTAGAAGCCCACAGCCGCAAATGTCCACGAATCTCACTCTCCGTCCTCTCCACACCCCTCTCACGCAAACACTTCACATCCTTCTCGCAAATGAAAACACCCCGCATCGGCGCTGGCTTCACCTCCACCCCCTCCCACAGCACACCCGATCTTCCAGGACGACCTTCCCCATTGTCTTCTGTTCAACGCACAAAGTCGCAACGAACACCGCCTCGTGCGCTCGGTTCCCCAATGCAGCTGAGTAGTCCTCCGGCCACGGTTATTCGCTGTGAAGCCGATAGGGAAAGTATGGGTCCAAGAGCTGAGCTTATGGAAGATGTGGATACCATGTCACCATCACAGCGAGGTGATGCCGTCGATGGGTTATTGAAACTCATGAGTACGACAGGTAATCCAAGTTCAGATGCCTGGACTGGATGATTTGTATTGTCTTTTTTGTTGATATTCTTTCCAGACTATTGCCTAGTGTGGTATGTCTGAATTAAATTGCATTGCAATGGATAGATATTTTCCAAAGCAATGTATTGCATGGTGTCAGGACTGAACGAGTATATCGAGATTTGATATCAAATGGTCCTAACATGACAGCGGGTTATCCGATTTTGGAAGCATGCATTATTAGAATAATTCGTTTCTATTGCGATCAATGATACCATTTGTGCATTTGAACAGCTATCAATTCTCATCATAACATATAATTTTGAAACAATAGCATTGCCATCCCAGGTGAATATATAGGGCTATGCGGCCAAGGATGCTGCAAGAATGCCACGTGCTACATGCTTCTGTATCAAGGCAATTTAAAACTCCAAGTTCAACTTCCAGAAAAAAACGCTAAATGTATCAATTGATCCAAGGTAAACAGCATCTATCATTTATCTAATATATCCCTCAGCGGACCTTCTTCAACTTGTTGCGCTTCCGTCCAAGGATATCACGACCCTCATCAATCTCACCCGCAGCCTCACGCTTCGCAGAGCCAACTTCCTTGAGCAACCCAGTTCTAACGACACGGCTCTCAATATTGACACCTTCCTGCTCGAACTCCTCCATCTGTCTACCAACTCGCTCCTCAATAGCAAGAACAAGCTCAACATCACGCTGTCCAACAAGCGTGGTAGCCTCACCACCTCGACCCGCACGCGCAGTACGACCAACACGGTGAACATAATCATCCGGATTCCGCGGCACATCGAAATTGATAACCAACTCTACAGACGGAATATCAAGACCACGCGAAGCAACATCCGTAGCAACCAGAACACGGGCAGCGGTAGCACGGAAACGAGCTAGGTTAGCCGTGCGCTCGGACTGTGGGAGGATACTGTGTAGGGAGGTAATGCGGTGTCCGAGACGACGGAGGGTGCGTTCTAGCAGATCGCACGTTTTGGTATGGTTGCAGAAGACGATGACTGGCTTAGTGACGTTTACTTCGGTGGAAAGCAGGGCGTGCAAGAAGGCTTCGCGGTGCGTCATTGGAACCTTCAGGTATGTCTGCTTGAGGGTAGGCGGGATCTTGCCTTGGTTTTCGGTGCCGATTTCGGTCATGAACATCGGTGGCTTGTTTCCTGCTGACTGCATGGACTTTAGGGCGCGCACTTCGGCGGTCATGGTCGCGGTGAAGAGCAGTGTTTGACGCTCGGCGGATGGTGGAAGTGCGCCGAGACATGTTTCCACGTCGGGTAGCATGCTTCCGGGTCCGCTGGCGAGTAAGCGATCGGCTTCATCGAGAACGACCATTTTGACGCGGCGGAGTCCGACGACGGTGTCTTCGCCGGAGGTTTTGATGTGGTCGGCTAGTCGGCCGGGAGTTGCGATGACCACGTGTGGCCGGTTTGCAAGTTCAATAGCCTGCTTTCGCATATCTGTGCCTCCGACGACGAGGATAGGTTTCATATTTTGCGGGGCTGAAACGGCACGGAATTGTTCGTAGATCTGGAGTGCAAGCTCACTACAGAGATAGAGAGTCAGTTACCAAAGATAAAACCTCTCATATCCATCATGTACATACCGAGTTGGGGTCAAAACCAGAGCGTAGATCCCGAATGGATTCCGTGCCCATTGCTGCATAATCGGAACCGCAAAGGCCATAGTCTTTCCGGAACCAGTGCGACTTCCACCAATACAGTCCTTTCCTTTCAAAATCTCAGGAATACAAGCCTTCTGAATAGCAGTTGGCCGTTTGATCGCCATTGTCGCCAACGAAGAGACAAGCCAAGGTGCGACGTCCAAAGCTCCAAAAGTGGACACTCCGCTCTGTTTACCAAGCTCAATTGCATCGCTAATAAGGACTGGTCCCTCATCCTTAGATTCAGGCTCTTCCTCTACCTCGCCCTTCTTCTTGATACGAGAGAGGGTGGGGAGCGGCGCAGGTGCGACGTATGAGTCGGTGGAGGATTCTGAGAGACGGCGGCGCTTGGGGGCTCGGTCGTCGACATCGGGTTGTTCCACATCGGAATTATCAGACATATCAGAGCCCTCGAACTCTGGATTCTCTGTGATCGGGGGCGCCATCTTGTTTGCGACTGTCTATCAGGACGAAATAATTTCGTGGCAGAAAAAGTTATCTCTAACAAGCGGTGGGAGGTTGTGGCCTCGTTTATAAGGCATCACATTTAAGACGAACAATCTTGGAATTAACTACATACACATGTCATAATTAGCGAAATGACTAGAGCTTTGATTAATATTCAAGTAATCTTGGATTTGTGGAGCAATAATTAATTAATTCATGAAGTGTCCGTCAATTTATGTAGTTACTGCCGGATACATCAGGCATCAATGCATATTCAAAGCTGTAGTAATGTAACTAACTAAAATTTTGATGCTAGTGGAAACAACATTTTAGTCGAGTAGAACGCAAGGCTTTTATTGCAGTACAGCCTATCACATCACTTTTAATCTGCCCTGCTAGCCGTGCTCCTTCTGCGCGAAACACGGGAGGCGAGCTCATATAGCTCACCTCGTTCTAGATCGTTATCTTCGACTGCAGATTCCGGAGAAGCTGAATTTCGACTTCTCAGGACCCCCTCACCTCCATTAGAATACTCCTCCCGGGCGCCGCTGGCGAGCGCTTCATCGTAGTTCTCCAGCCCGCGGGCACCACTGACACTTTCCATGGTGAATGGACTAGCCGTCGGTCCATCAAGTGCAGCAAGCTCCTCGCGGGTGAACCATTTAGGAAGCAGGAAGGAGCGCACGGGTATCAGAAGGATGATAATAACAGGGAAGCCGATGGCAGCAATAGTCTGAGTGATAGCGAAAGTCGCACCGAATCCAAATAGTTCGAGAGCGACGAAGGCCCAGACAGCGGCACGACGCTCGATTCGCTTGAGGGGATTCGACGCGGAGGTAAACTTCTTGTCTTCGGCGAGGAAGATCAGTTTTTGCGTAATCCCATTGCCCTGTAGAGCCTGGACACCCATAACGAAGAACAGACCGGCCATGACACCCTGTGGAATCAAGTGGAGCACGATGAGGAGGGGTCCGGTCATTGTTCCCAGGGTCAAAAGTCCCTGTGCGAAGTTGCTAGCTCGCTGCTCTACTACATGGTCTGTAACCCGGATAGCTTTGCCCTTGTTGGTGTCGTCTTCGTCTGCGACTTGGCGAGTGACGCAGAGAGCGGCAGTGTGGAAGGGAGCCTGGGGAATCAGGCCATTGGGGAATGGTATTCCCAGAATTCCAGCCACAAAGGTTGTTAGACCGAGGAGCCAAATGTCCCAATGGAAGCCAGCTGGCTTTCGAAGAGGAAATTCGGTCCCTTGGGCTATGAGAGATGACACTGGAAGGGAAGTGTCAGTCATAAAATCCACTGTGATTTACTTGATGCAGAGTACTCACCATTGTGATCAAAGTAAAAGAGAATTGTGAGAAGAAGCGCAAATGGGATGGCAAGGAAGATATCTCCAACACTGATGTCCCAGAAATGTACCAGCCAAGACCGGTCAGTTGTAGGAAAGAAAGCCTTGCTAGTAGGGAGCGTAGCGACATCAACATCCTTCATTTGACCGATGTAAACGAAGCCCGTAAAGAAGATTATGGTCAAAGGTGTACCATAGTCCTCGAGGAATTTCCGAATGGGTCGCTTGAAAAGATTACTGTTGCCCAGTTCCCCACAGATCCATGCACACATCAGGACAAGTAGTGCAACCATGATACTCAAGTAAGCAGATGTTTCTCCTACTGAACCCCATTGTCTAGTGAGAACTTGAATGCCCTTCTGGATATAGACGCAAGCAACGTAGAACCCAAAGATGTCGCACGAGAACCGGGTAACATAAGTTAGTGCATTGCATGAATTAGTGATGGCCAGTATCCAATGCATAATCAAAGACCAGCTAAAATTGACGTCAGTGAAGCCAATGACCGAAAATCATAAAGGATACTCACATTCCAATCCAACACATGAAGGCAAGATACGGCGTCCCTCGAGGAGCCATGATGTCATAGACAGTATAGTTAAACACAGTGATGGGACCTACAATCCTTAGTTTGAGTCTTTGTGCTCATATATTCGATATTTCTTACCAGTAACACCGACAATGACCAACGGCTGAGCCGCAAAAAGCGAGAAGACAATTGCACCAAGTACGGAAGCAAGTAGGACTTCATTAACACCATAGCTCTGACTTGTCTTCTCGAACATATCTAACGAGAAGGCGAGCGCAGGCAGGATGCTACATTTATTGTGAGCACGAAACAGCGCATAAAAGAAAATATATTGATTGATTTCCAACCAGAGCGAGCATACTTAGCAAAATACATATAGACTGTAGCAGGCACGACACGATAATCCCATGCATCAGTCCAGTCGCTCCAATAATATGGTGCTCTGCGCTTTACGTCGTTGATCATTCCACGGAAGAAGTGGACGTGCCACCATTTCTCCTGAGCCAAGTGCACCGGCGCTGTCGTCGCCGCATGGTGCTGCGAGTTTTCTTGGGCGCCGTTCTGTTGGCCCGTATAATGGTCAAATTGACGGGCTGTATCATGACCTGATCTATCTGGGCGTGGTAAGCGCACTGACGATCGCCGTTGCGACGGCCCAGAAGGTTTTCGCTGAGCAGACGTGGACGAGTGCATGTTGGGTCCCGGGAGGGAGAAGTCCCCTTGTGACGATCCTTGCATATGCAATGGTGGGATAAATCCGATTCTGCTTCAGTGTAATACAACTGGCATGAATTTAGGAAAAGAGAGATAACTGCATTGATACACAAAGAAATACGTGAGGGCGAGAATTAGGACATAATTGCGCGGAGCTTGATTTTGCGGAGCTGATGAAGCCAAGACCTATAAGTGGGGCCTGAGGCATCCAGGTCAGGCTGCTACGGTCGTCTCTACAATCAAATACACAATCCTTGAAGTGAAGAACTAAAGAATTAGACTTATTACTCAAAGCTGCATAGAGATAGTAACTAATTGGAGTTTTTAGAACAATTGTTAGCGAGTCATAGGTTTCTCAAAACAATCCTGGTTAGATTGTTTTCAAAGCCCCCATAGCAAATTTCTTCACGCTTGGACAAACAATTTCAATCAGATCACTTTTCCACTGGGAGGCGAGGTCATCACTGTGGTGGGGGCGGGGGAGGCAGGTCACCTGGAGGCGGCGGGGGTGGGGCATCCCCAGGCGGGGGAGGGGGAGGGCTGCCAGCCCCTCCGGGGTACATCGGAGCCATACCAGGAGGGGGAGGAGGCGCGGCCATGCCAGGAGGGGCAGCACCAGGAGCTCCCATGCCAGGAGGGTAAGCCGCGTATCCGCCGTATCCGCCGTATCCACCATAGACAGGCTGCTGTCCACCAGGAGGGGCCGGTTGCTGCCAAGGAGCAGCACTTGGGGCAGTACCAGGAGCAGCATAGCCACCTTGAGATCCGTAAGCGTAGTCGCGGGGTGGGGGTGGAGCTTGGTGCTGGTTCTGCGCAGCCCAAGGGGCCGAGCCACCCTGGTTGCGAGATCCATAGTCATCACAAGATCCATAGTTGTCGCGGGATCCATAAGTGTCGCGGGATCCATAATCGTCACGAGGGCGAGGTTCACGGCGTTGTTGCCATGGAGCCACATCACTTTGGGGTGGTGGTCCACGCTGCCAGGGCTTCGCATCACGATCGTCGGGATGGCCACCACTGGGACCAGCTTCAATGCGACGAGGCTCGTATTCGCCAGGAGCACCACCAGACAACTCGTTCATCAATTGCTACGCGATATATCAGCATCAGATTTAATAAAGTAGCGACGAACAGAGAGAACTTACCTCCATCTCACGATCCACAGCATCACCAGTGCCAATAGCACGGTCGCCACGTCTGTCCGCGCCGCCGGCATTGCGCCAGTCACTGCCTCTCTGGCGATCAGGACAATCGCGAGCCATATGGCCAGCATTGCCACAGACACGACAGATGATATTCGCAGTGAAGTTACGCTGCTCGGGGCAGTCATACTTGCGGTGTCCGATTTGACCACCTAATAAGAATCGCGGTTAAATTAATTGCGCAACCAAGGACATTGGAATGATGTTCACTTACAGTTCTGGCAAGCCTGGTTCTCGTCGTCACGAAGGGTACCGTTAAGAGCAGCCAGCTCACGAAGTTGGTTCCGCTTGAGCTCGTTCTGGCCTTCAGGGATGGATGCGGCCTGATAAATTGTCAATATCAGTTTTCTGACCCGTAAGATGAGACATGGGAACTTACTGTTTCAATGACATTGTGAACAAGCTTCTTGGCCTTGTTCACCTTTTCTTCGGTGTCCGCCATAATCAGACAGTGCAAGTCTTCTTCCTGGTTGCTGCCGTGAGCTGCGTCAGATCGACCCTTTCCTTCTTTAACGGAGCCCTTGCCTCGAATAGCAATCTTGGCACCGGACTCGGTCTCCATCTTTTTCAAGGTGTTTCCACGAGGTCCTATGAGTAAGCCAACTGTAAAAATAGAAGCTAAGTGTTAGTGATCCTGTAATTTTTTAAAATATGTGCAGCATCAGGCACCACGGTTTAGCAAGAAACAAGCTGAGGACAGTATGCCATGTCAGCTTGAGTCGAGTAGGGACTCGTGATAGACTGGAAGAATGGTTAGGAGTTAGAGGGTTAGTTATCATACTGAAGTTAATCTCTGGATAGTCATTCACGGGGACGTAGACCTTTTCCTGGGTCTTGGTCGGGCGTCTGTAGTCAGAGGGCGGGTTGTAGTTAGGAATGGTCTTGATGGCCTTCTCGACCAGTTTATGACGTTCATCCTCGAGACGCTTGCGGTAACGGTACTCGCGAGTGTTCACACGTCTTCCGAAGTTGTCATACTGGGGGGGTGGCGAGGGTGATCTGTGATCGAAGTCAATATACAAGGAAGTATTATAAAGGATGAAAGGACATACCTGTCACCATCGGCGGGGACCACGTCGTTAATTCGAAGCTTCTGGCTAATTTCCTCAATACGAAGGTGAAGGGTGTAAGCTTCAAGCTGCTCGCTGGTGAAGTTGGCCATAATCATAGTCGGCAGGCCCATAAGACCGGCAGCTTTATTCTCTTGCTGGTCACCCCAGCGGTTGCGCTTCTTGCGCCTCTTGCCATCGGAGTTCAGGGGAGCTGGATCGGCTTTGGAATGAAAGTCAGCCTTTTCAAACAAATTTTCGGGGGAGTGGGGGAGAAACATACCTCGAACAGGGCTACGGCCACGCTTTGGACCATCGGGACCCATAGACGATGAGGGCATAGAAGGGGGGGTCGCAGTGCGACTTTCATCATCTCCGTCCTCGCCGCCCATGCGTCGCCGGCCAAGCGGGATGTTGTTAGAGCCGGTTATTCCTTGGTTGCGCCAAGCCATGACTGCTTGGATAAGAAAAAAGTGAGTGGTTAGTGATATGGGGAGGAGAAGAGATGAATGAATAAGGCCGTGTTCATGAGGCGACTGCCAGCACGTGATTATAACAAATTCTTTAATTAGTAGGCGGTGGCTATTCTCGGATTAAATCTATGGCTTCGGATATACTTATACCCGATAATTTGAGCTATCGCTTCGGATATACTTGTAGCCGATAGCTTGAGTGGGGAACATTCAAAGTTGTGGCGGATCCAGAAGGCGGTCTAGAGTTTAAGTCAAACTTTGCGACCCTCACCCAAGTCAGGTTGTTGGATGCAAATTCAGGTTAGTTGAATGCGAAGTCATCTATAGAGTACACATAGTATAAAGGTACTTTAAAGCTAAAATCAGACTGCATCACCTTTTAACTACAGTACGTTGCGAAACTGGTGCAACGGCCTCCACTCTTCGGGTGAGGCTCACTGCCCAGAGACTCTAGAGCATATTAGGAATAGTCCCGGAACATCAATATTCCTGTACCAGTCTCGATACTTAACAATCGAGTTGTGGTTAGACTTGGAAGGATACAAAATAGGACCTGACTCAGCCGCCTAGATATTACTGGGAACGCATAAAAGAGGATGTATGTGGATTTCTACGGCGAAAGACAGCCTGTTGCCGTCGGGTAAAACTAGATAATACTGATATGGTGTTATCGGTGAACTCCTAACGCAACATTGACAAACACTTAGAAGGTACTAGTATTGATTAGATAGTAGTAGAGAAGCAGCTACTAGCGTGGTCCTATCTATTTTGTCGTGGTAAGAAGATTCGGCTTCAGATATCGATTAACTATATCGACGACAGTGGGCCTTTTCCCTCCAAAGCAGACAAGCGAGGAAAGTTACCGGTGATTATACGGATGCTCGCTGACCAAGGCGCTTAGATCGATGCGGAGTAGGTCTCCGGCTAACATTCTGTCTGGCGTGATATATATCGTGATATACGATGTCCCGGGCCTCCATATCGCTACGAAGGACAATACTGCTAGCAAGATCTAGAGGGGAGAAAGCATTCTAGATTGCGAACACACTATCTAAAGGACCTTATCAAATATATGGAGCAAGGTGGAGTTCTTAAGACCTACGCTAATTCTAACAGTGTTCGCGAGCAGCTTTACGCTATGGAGAATCAGCGACTAGATAAAAAAAACCCCCTACAGAGAACTCTACAATAGGTTCAATGTGTCCTCTAATTAATATCAACATCCTCCCCGCCGGATTACCTCAGCAATCGATACATCCTCCTACTAACACTATACTCACTGGGCCCAGCTGTACGGAATCTATTGTATTAACGGCCTGCTAGATGTCGCTGTGGAGCAATATACTGAATGGCAGCAATCGTAGGTAAGTAACGAGGCTTTCAGGAAAAACATTAACAAAGCACGTAATGTGACCTTAGAAAACTGTCTCAACCTCATGCAGATTTATGGGGATCAAGAACCAAGGCTTTTTGTCCAGCACGGCGATTCGTTCGTAACATCGGCCTTTAGGTGAAACAACGCAAAGAATTCTCTTGCGGAAGTTCTCGTTTAGTTTAGATAGTTTATATACTGTGATTAGAGAACACTATCCTAGCATACTGCATTTGTCCCTTTGTATAGGTTCGGAATGAACCGTAAGATTTTCCGTGGTCGTACTGTATATAATTATTGTAATATCGAGGGGGTATAACCCAGAGAAAGACTTAGGTACGACTGTACAGTCCGGAAGACTGTTGCTAGCCGAAAGGATGAACCCTTAGGCTAAGGTCGCAGGGTAGGCAGGAAGCCTTTCCCCCTCTCCGCCGATAGTCTGTCTCTAAATCCGCGGCTCCCTACTGTACCCGAGCTATCTACCCTATAACGCACCCATTAAGAGAAAATCTTTTATCTCAACTACCTATTCCGCTATCGCGGCCAGAGCTCTGCTACTCCAAGGATAAGTACTTAGCGGCGTCACCCTATTACAGCTGGCTAATAATGGTTTCCACTTTCAGCCTTTCTAAAGTAGCGGCCTGGCTCGCTGCTTTGCTCCCTACTTCTGTAATAAGCACTTGGGGTAGCAAAATGTTAGAGTAACACGCTTAGGGAAGAAACATTTGGAGTAGGAGAACTTAGGGTAGTAGAATTCTTAGAGTATATCCAACTGTCGTCGCTTTAACATACCTTTACTAGTTAGTACCGAAGGTTCTATATATTAGTATAAGTAATCAGACCTGCCCTAAGTTTCTAAACTTACACAACTTTCCTTAAAACACTTGTTCCGTTAACCACTGGGATAGACAATATACCTATTATTCCTACTCGTCGGTTCGCGATACAGCGACTGCGCCCCGGCCAGTTAATTAAGATCATAGACTCCTCCGGAGGCCAGGTAATCGATACCTAGGCCTTTTCCATTCCACCAACACCCGTCTTTCTAAGCTATATATCAATAACTCACACTCAGTCGACCTTGCACAAACTTCTTCCGTCTATTCACGAGTCTTTCCTCGACAACAAACGAAACCCTATTCTGACTATCGTCGAAGACATATCTCCTAGCATACATAGCGTTCTCTTCGCCGCGTGTTCTCCGGAACGCTATCTTCAACTAGGTACTAACAAAGAGCATAATAACTGCGCCAAAAATCTCCACGACGCTATAGAGCAATGCACAGAACCATCATTCAACCACCTTATGAAGTTTCTAGAGAGTGGCTAGGTGCCTGATCCACTAAATTTATTTATAAAGGTGGATATTCATAGCAATATCTTGCAATGTTTAAACCCGGAAAGCAAGGCGGGGGATTACATTGTATTGAAGGCGGAGCAAGAATATATCGTAGTAATAAGTGCTTGTCCAATAGATTTGAGCGCTTGCAATAGGGGCGAGCCTAGCAGCGCAAAATTCGAAGTTATTTAAGCTGGGAAAGTAGAAACATAATTTGCCTACACTCTTGCAATGCAGAATCTGATTTTTTGGTTCCCACTCTGTGTCGTTTTTGAACTACAAAAAACTATAACCGATGCAACGGCCGAGCTGAACATTTAGTAAATAATATCACAGACCGCACATTAGTCAGACTCAGATACTCCTGGACGCCCTATCTTAATAAAGGACATGCTGCGAAATGGCCCCCCAATAGGGACACCGATATCTTCATTTGGCTCGTCTTTACCAGCCTTGAGTATACCGTTGAGCGAGGAATTGTTGAGCGAGGAATTGGTGAACGACGTAAATAGACATTTATTTGACCTCGAGATCAACTAAAATAGGGCAAACGCCAGGGTTCACCGCACCGCGGTAAGCAGGTTCAGCTGATATCCTGGACTGCTTTCTTAGCTACTCAGCGTACGGGTTTCAAACCCCTTACTGGATTTCCTATATCGGAGCATGATGGTGTGAATCGATTCATCATAGAATAGTTATACCATCGAGTCTTGCCGACCTTATCACCAAAAGAAGATAGAATTTCAAGATCTATAACCATTGGCGGTTCCAAAATACAACGCGTTAGTAATAATGAACGTAAAAGAATCAGTTCCACTCAGACAAAACGTTTGCCCCGAGCGTTGCCGCCACAGCAGCGCTATTATCTATAACTCTATAGCTAGGCCGGCATTCCGAAAATGTCCCTCCGCACTCTTCTCCCTTGCATCAACAACCTCAGCACGAGCGGAAGAAGTCTAAATATGCGCAAGAGGCAGGAAAGTTAATCAGAGAGTGGAGTTGTTGCACCGGTTTCGCAACGTACTGTGTTAAATAGATATATTGTTAGATTAACATAGGCTATATGTTATAGTAAATAGGATTTAAGTTGAAACAAATGCCTATAGGGGAAATGCTGTCCGTGTCATTTCACACTACAACTACTAGAGTAGTTTCGTTTTCTCTACTTCAAGGCATTTATGATCCTACAACAATATAGTATAGGAAGTAAAGAAAGAAAAAAAAAAGAGCAATGCGAAGTCAATTTCAAGCTCTCTGTTCTACTAATCAACTGTAATCAATGTCATAATAGTTCTTCATCGGCGCTTCATTTAAGCATTGCGCTTTGCATCGGCCTGCATCCCCTTTTGAACCCAAGCCCTAGATTCAGCAGCCGTTTTCTCCATAGCGGCCTTATCCTTGAGGAGCTCTTTAATGGTATGAGGGGAAGGAACATGACGACCTTTCTCAACACCCGGTCGCTGTAACATACGCTCCTCCCAAGCCTTAACATTCGGGAAATCGTCAATTTCGATACCGGCCCATCCTGCAGCAGATACCCAACCCCAGTGTGAGATATCGGCAATAGAGACGTGGTCACCGACAAGATAACCAGACTTGGACTCTGCGAGATGCTTGTCCAAAACACCATACAGACGGCGTGACTCGTTGACGTATCGCTTCACGCCGTACTCAATGTGCTCGGGGGCGTACCGCGAGAAGTGGTTGGCTTGGCCTTGCATGGGTCCTACGCCTGCATTCTGGAAGTATAGCCAGCTCTTCATTTCATAGTATTCCCGTGTGCCTTTGGGGAATGAGATCTTGTGGTCTGTGTCGTACTGTTCTGCTAGGTATTCCAGAATGCTACCAGATTCAAATAGCCGGATCTCCTTGCCGTCGGTAAAGGTGTCTGTCAAGGCAGGGATGCGGCCATTGGGGTTGATCTTTAGGAACCAGCTATATAGCGGTTAGATCTGTTTGGGTATTTATAGCGATGCATGTACATACTCTTCCTTTTGAGTGTTCTTTGACATGTCAATTTTCTCGACCTTATATGGCAGGCTGCAATCTATTAGTACCAAGCTTCAAGAGACCAAGGGAACTACTGTACCCAAGCTCCTCTAGCGCTATGGAGATCTTGATGCCATTGGGGGTCTGGGCCGTGTATAGGGTAATATTTGGTTGAGCCATGTTGAGAGAGTAGAAAGGGAACCGAACAACAAATTTGAGATGAGTGAAGAGAAAATTGAATGTTTAAGGATGTATCAATGCTTTTAAGTAAATTGCTGAGGTCATGTTAGTCTTCGGCGGGGCCACCCCCACTTTGCGGATTTATAAGCTCGTGGAACTTCCAAGGTTCCATAAAGATACGGAATATTCTAACTCCCCGAGGCCGACAAGGAATACAATTCTCCGGTTGGGAAAGAGGGTTTGCTGACTGATGACAGAGAAGAGGGTAACCTTGTCTCTTTCCCTTTTCACCTGTACTTCCTGCTCAGGACTCTGACTTCTTTAGCCAGATCGGTGTAATTGACTGTACATCCGACGATCCAAGTCCAGTTCTTCCATTTCCTGCTGGCTGCCGGCAGAATCTTAGCCTTATCATGAACGATAACCTACCTCAGCCTGTCAGCCCGTCTAGCTATCCCGTTATGCTGAAATAGGCCTCATACTCCACTACACTCGCCAGGTCCGATATCTGCGTATCCCGGATAAATACGGTCGTTGAGAAATAGGCTCTACTCAAAGGAACCGTTGACCCTAATAAAATCAGAAAAGCAACGGCTTGATTTGGATACCATGAATTTCATTGACTACTTGGTGGTCCCCGGGAGCATGATAGAGGTAAAGAACGAATGGATCTCCTTATGTGATATAAGTAGGACTGGGTATCAAAGGTAGGACCCTTAAGATATAATTGAATAGAATAGACGGTTATAGGAAAAAGTTATAGCTCGTCGATTGGGAGCGGATCGGGCAGGCTACCGGCCTGCCCTTGTCGGTTGGCGTTAGGGCTCAAGGGCGTACGTCGGTTCAAAGAAGCGGGCTGGGAAATGGGCGGTGGGGTCGCACTTGGCCACCGACAACGAGTATTTTGGGAAAGTGGCAATTGGCACAGCAAGTTACTTCCTCCGCTGTTCTTTTTCAGGAGGACCGGGTACCGGCTTCGTTCCCTGGGATTGGCTGTTTGAACCGTAGAAGGTATCTTGCTGGATTCCGGGCGACTTTCAGGGATCCGAACAGGATTTGAAGTTACATTGATGACACTGGGTGAGTCCGAATCTTTCACTGACTCTGGTTGACCGGGGTAAACCCCTCTCCATCCATTCCCCTCCTTGAACTTTTAGTTCAATGCCGGGTCAGAACCTTAAGAACTTAGTTCGAATTATCATGACTTCCAAACACTCCTCTCTTACCTAACCTTGCATAAAGCTATCGATCAAGATTTTCGTCTTCACACTCTCGGCCTCCGTAATGGCACGAGAGAGAAACGATATCAGAATTGGCTGTTATTAACCAATGCTGAAGATATCTATAAGAAAAAGATAAGTTGATTATATACTTTATAAGGACAAGAACAGTCGGCCATATCAGCGGCCTTATGATTTTCTTTCAGGGGTCTTTTCAGTGGTCTCTCCAGTGTTCACTTTAGTAGCCTTTTCAGACATATTTATGTTATACTTCATCCTATGCGCCATTGTTTGCTGCAAACTTAGCGGTTTGTTATTTGCCATTGAGGCTATAAATACCCTGTCCTTTGTATATTGAGTCACTTCTTCATCTATCTATATACTCAAGACAGGATAGAGATCCCTCACCTTGCCTCATTTCCGGTTCCCCTCTAATTACACCTGGTTCTCATGTCACCCCAGAGCTAACCTCCTCTAATCAAGAGTTTCTAGATCAACTAAAAGAAGCTCAGGAGGTAAGGTGGTCTTCTGATGCACCTTCAGATTTCTTAGGAACTTCAACTGTAGTGAACTCCGACACTCAGTCATCTCTCACTTCATCTTCACCTTCCCGTGATCCCATTTATATTTTCCGGCATGCTAGACTATTCCCTCTGGCTCGGAACGCTAGTTGATTATGAGACAAACCTGGTAATGGTCGAAGCGAAGAAACCTGATTCTCTGAAGGGCGGTATGCTACAATATCTAGCCTACATGGGTAAGTAATGTTGAGTTACACTAAATATCCCTAATTGCAGGAGCTAATATGGATAGGAATGATCCATCACACAAGGAAAACGTCAAAGATGTATGATACATGTGTGTATGGCGTTGCCACTGATAGTTTCGAGTGGCAGTTTATTCACATTCGAGATATACCGTTGGGTCGAAATATCGCTATATACCCAAACGGCTATTCTAATAAGGAATGGGAAACTCGTAAGGCTAAGAAGGAATATGTTAAGATATCGAATATCTTCTGGACTGGTGAATATCGTCGGACCTCAGATCAATCCTATGCCCCATATTATGGTACGTCACTTGTTTTTCTCTGCAATACTTGATTCACTTTACTCATCCGCCACCAGGCCCTGCCACCTCTCCTCGTAACTACGACTGTTCCCCGGGAAGGCGGCACTACAAGCCTTCTAGGCTTACCCCAGGCCAGGTCCGCGCCCTATCCAAGAATCATCCTTCCGGCCGCGCTATAGTCCCTTTGATCGAACGCAAACCTAAGATCGACAAAACAGGTCTTCAGGCCAAAGTTTCCTTTCTAACTAGTATTGAACTCCCGAGGAAAGATAATCGTTCGGTCACTACACCCTTAGGTATACCGGTACGTGGCGTACCTATCAAGACTATCGGCTCCTAGTACTTTCTCTAACCCTAGCAAGTCACATTAATTCGTGAAGCCTTCCCTGGTTCGATCGGAGCATAAATACTCCTCACTGGTTAGCTATTGGTTTTATTTCCGGAGAAGTCGCTAGAGCCATGCTGGGATAAGGGTGTCCCGGACGAGGTCGGTGGTTTGCGGGTCGGATACATTATAGAATCGTCCCGTGCGACAGCTACCATCGTCGAGTCCAGTCGAGTGGTTAGCGGCGTACCAGGAAGCATCGTCCAGCAGGCGGCACTTGGTCTCCCATCTATACGGCTGCCCATAATCCATTATTGTCAATCCTCAGGATACGCCAACTGAAGGGATATTTGTCAGAGACCATGTAACCACTTCTGTTTACTCCCAGCATTTTTAGTCTCCACACACGTATATAGCTTTCGTTCTTTCTCACGCATCTTATCATTTTCCAGACTATCTACTCTTCCATCGTAGTCGTCTATCTCTCTCGAGATCGCAAGACAATTTTGACGTTGATCAGAGATCTCTGTCACCTGCCTCTTCGATGACAGGCACACACAAGTGAACCGAGTCAGGAACAAACGCCTGACTGCGGGAAAAAAAAGAGATGTTTTACACAGCCTTGGAAGCTTCTATGGTTCAGATAGACAATAATGATTCCCCTTTAGACTAGCCCAAGTTATGATTGGCTGACTCTACTTTGTGGGCCTTTTCTATACGCGTATCCGATCTATAAACCTAAAAAGTAAAAAAAGGATTCTATAGAATGTCGACAATGACTATTTATAAAGTCTCTAAATCCTTTTATTTAGGTCTTCTCAACTCACAATACTTCCTTCTTCCTCACGCTCATAACATCACCAAATATGTCTCAATTCGCATCTCGTTCCTACAAATTTTGGAACTATGCACCTTCAATACCAGCGGCGGTCATTTTCATGCTGATATTCATTGCCCTAACGGGTCTTGTTTCTTGGAAGCTTTTCAAAACCAGGACGTGGTTTTGTATAGCATTTGCCCTGGGTGGCTTGTGTATGTGGGCTCTGTTCCTTTTACAATCTTACCCTTCTATTCCCTGAATCCCAGACACTAACCTGGATTTTCAAGTCGAGATCATAGGTTACATCGGCCGCTGCATTGCACACAATAACACAACTACAATGGGACCATACATCGTCGCCAACATGTTCATTCTTCTCGGTCCTACCCTCTTTGCCGCATCTATCTACATGACCCTCGGCCGAGTCATCCGTCGAGTTCAAGGAGAACATCTGTCTGTCATTCGAGTCTCACGTCTTACAAAAACATTTGTCTGGGGCGATGTGTTGTCCTTCGTCGTCCAGGGAAATTCTTCATCTCTCTCAGTTCTGGGATACGCGCAGTGGGGAAAGGTTTGCGTCATTGCCGGTTTGGCAATTCAACTCATCTCGTTTTCCCTCTTCTGGGTAACGGCCATCATTTTTGCAAAGCGTCTTCGTCGTACACCCACGCCCGAGTGTCTCAAGCCTGGTATTCCATGGCAACGATCGTTGCATATGCTATATGCTGTCAGTGCCCTCATTCTGGTCCGTTCTATTTTCCGGATTGTTGAATATATCATGGACAATGACGGTTATCTTCTTATGCATGAGTGGACAATGTATGTTTTTGATAGTGTGCCTATGGCTGCTGTTATGGTCATCTTCTTTATTTGGTATCCTAACCAAATGAGCCTTAATGCGGATTTCGAGAGAAGCATACCCCTTGCACACAGCTATTCCGAGGTTTGAATTACTTGTGCTTGCAGAAGGGCTTTATATACTTTACTTGGAGTTTTTGGTTTTATTTTGTTTATAGAGTGTTTGGCTATTTTTTTCTTATTTGTTATATTACTTTTTCCTATTAGCACACATTTGAACTATTGCTTTCATATTTTCCCATAATCAAGCATATTTTCTTCAATATATAGCATTAAATGTCCTTTAATTAAGAACACTCCTTAATTTAGAACCAATTTAGGTTTTCGGACCCTTGCTCCACTTCAGCCTCGGGTTTGAATACGCGTATAGCTTTGCCTCTCAAAGTGGAGTGTTATTATTACTCCGTACCATATATATCTCTGTCTAGATATGCAGAAATCACGGGTTAAACATGGCACTACTTAGTAGAAGGCAGCAATATTAGAGTGCTTCCGTTGGATGCCGGATACGCGTATACCAAGAAGCAAACATCAAACATAACAACATATGTAAAGCATGACCTCTCCGAATCAAAGTATGCAGCAAATTATTTCATCAGAGCCTATTCTTCAAGCTGAATTTGACATCATGACCAGCCTCTCTCCATCATTGTGCTCGGCCCATGCTTTTTCATATCCTCACATACCAGGCGCCGAAGTGCTATCGCTACAAGCTGCCCAAGTCTCAAATGTATCCAAGTACATACCCGAATGGTACTACTACAATCATGGCAGCGTAACAGCCCAAAACCTCAACTTCTGCAATGTCACAGTAACCTACAAACACACCGCCAAAAACAACACTATCAACGTCGGCATCCTTCTACCCAGTGACTCGTGGAACGAGCGACTCCAAGGAATCGGAGGAAACGGCTACACAGCCGGCCTCACCTCCACAACAGAATATGGAATGATCGCAGCAGCTGCTGAAGGATACGTCGCCGTTTCCACAGATGGCGGCCATACAACCGACGACCCTGCAGACTGGGGTCTGGAAAACGGAATGCCAGACTACGAGACCATGTACAACTTCGGCATTGCTTCTCTCGGCGATGCAGCAATCATCGGAAAGAGCATAGCAGAGAGTGCATATGGATCGAAACCCAAATACTCTTATTGGACTGGATGCTCGCAAGGTGGTCGACAGGGTCTGGCCCTCGCACAGCAGTATCCAGAAGCATATGATGGGATTGTTGCTTCTGCTCCTGCAATTAATTGGCCCCAATTCTCGGTGGCAGGGTATTGGGTTCAGTTTGTCATGAATCAGCTAGATGAATACCCATATCCCTGCGAGATTAACGCTGTGACAGATGCTGCACTCTCTGCCTGCGACAGCGCTGATGGTGTCGTGGATGGTATAAGCTCGGACCGGGATTGTGTCTTTGATCCGTTTATTTTAGTGGGCACACAAATCAACTGCAGTGACACTGGATCGCAGTTGAGAATCTCGGCTGGTACGGCGGAGATTGTTAATGCTACTTGGACTGGAGCACGGGACGAACAGGGCAACTTCTTGTGGTATGGGTTCAATCCTGGTACTGCATTGACAGGAGAAAATACACCGGTAAATACAAAATGTGTCAACGGGTCATGCACGGCGGTATCCAGCCAGCTATATGATCGATGGGCTCAGGTGTTTGTCGAGCATAACTTGAACTTCACCCTGCGGAATATCACACACGGAGAATATGACCATATTTTCCGAAAGTCTGTCCAGCAATGGAATTTGGTGTTTGGAACTAATAACCCAGATCTGTCAAGATTCCGTGATGCTGGTGGCAAGATGCTAACATATCATGGTCTGGTGCGTTTCACATTGTTTGTTCAGAGATACTATACTAATTTTTGATACAGATGGACGAAGTGATCCCTCCCAATGGCACGAGATCATACTACGAGGCGATAGCTGCCGGTGACTCGAGTGTTCATGAGTACTACAAGTTGTTCGAGGCTCCAATGATGGGGCACTGTTTTGGGACGAAAGGAGGATATCCTTCTACTATGTTTGACAGCCTTGTCGCTTGGGTCGAGTCTGGCGATGCTCCTACAAGTCTTCCAGTTAAATACACTCCAGAAGATGGGAAGACGTATGATAGAATCCTGTGTCCATACCCACAGCGAGTGAAGTACAGAGGTACCGGGGATGCAACTTCTGCCGATGCATTTCATTGTGCAGAATGAGTTATTTTGTTTGGGCTTGGGTATACTATTGTTATAACCAGTAAACTGGAAGTGAGAGACGGCAGGGCTTGGGGTATCCATCAAATCAGTTGCCACAAGCTAAAGGAGTTGTGAAGAAAGACGATTTTAGTATCTAAATCCTATGGAATGCTATCTACATGGTGAACCGGAATGCTCAAGAACAAATTTTGATCAAATCATGCATTTTGCAGATATGTACAACTCTATAAATACCCATGACAGAACGACCGCCGCCAGAAGAAAGGAAAAAATCAATGTATACAAGAGAAAGCCAGCTGAGCAAACCGAGATGATTATACCGCAGTATAACCCAACGTGAAAAGACGACCACCAAAACGCTCATACGCCAGAAAAAGACAACTCATTCGTGTAATCTACCAAGAGAAACTCTCTTCCACATAATCAACACTGGAATGAGCCTGTTTCTTCCGGCAAACACGACGAACATCATCACTCAACCCGCCATTGCCGCAGACAAGAACGCCCATGGCGCCGATTTGATTCTCGACCTCCATACTGACCAATGTGTCAATATTAGGACGACCAGGGAACATCTGCACAGTCGCAGAGGGGCTCTGGATCTCCTTTGTATTTCGCGGCCGTGTAATAAAGAGCATGATGCGCAGCACTTCACGGCGACGATCCATCGCCAGGATACTTGTCATCCAGGGACGGATCCACTCCAGGTGTTCAGGGGACTGGATGATCCAGACGAGTGTGACGCGACGGGCGGCGACGGTACCGTCCGCGAAGCCGGCGACGAGATGGCGGACGAAGGGGACGTGGTGGGTTATTCCGACTCCGCCTGCGAAAAGCATCACGGTGCCGTATGAGTCCATGGTGTGGATGTTACCGTACGGGCCCTCTGCGAAGGCGCGGAGGGTAATTTGGGAAGTCATTGAGTTTGCGGCGCGTTTGTAGAGCTTGTCTGTCATTCCTGTGCGGCGACGGACGAGGAGAGAGATTGTTTCTTTTTTAGGCGTGCTGAGGAGGTCTTTGCTTGTGCGTGGGAGAGACTTTTCGTCGAAATTGCTTTCTTCGGTTTCGCTCCAGCCAACGGAGAACGGGTGCGAGGTCCACAAGCCTACTGCGGGGATGTAGAGGTAGATGTGCTGGCCTGGACGGAAGGTCCAGGGGCGGGCCATGCGCAGGGTAATGCGCATTGCATCGCCGTGCAAGGCCTCGACGGTTGCGGTTGTGGATTCACGGCCGCAGTTGCGGTATACGATGATCAAGAAGCGGGTGGCGCGCTCGAGGGCCCAGAGGATGATGGAGGCGAGCAGATATGCTTGCGCTACGAACCCGTTGAGATGGACCCAGAGGAAACCCATGGAAACGGCTGCAATTGCAATGTGCAGGTGGAGGAATGTCTCGTAGAATGCATGGCGGATAGGCGACGGCGAGTGCAGCAAGAGCGCGGTAAATGCACAACCAGCCACCAAGCCGGTCAGCAGGAAGCTGCTGTGGCCCAGTGCCATTGCGACAACATTCCAGCCTTTCTCTTGGCCTTTGGGGATAGCCCAGGCAAAGATATGCGCAAGAGCCTCTAGCACCACGATGCGGCCGAGCCATCGGTGGAGCAGATTCCATGTATCGAAAGGAACATGGAGCATAGAGATAAGAGGGTTGCTACGGCCTGCCATCAAGACCAATGGGATCAAGTTGACGGTTGCCATAGTTCCGGTGCGGTTACGAATAACACCAGCAAGCGTGTCTTCCTCGGATCCATAAGGAGATGTCACACAGCAAAGCGTGACGTTCATGGCGACAACGCCGGTGATAAGGAAAAAATGGAAGCGGCTAGGCAAAGTACCCATGTTAATAGCTGATGAGAGCTGCATTTCTTGATTGTGTCGTTTGCCGAACAATGCGGCGTATATGATATGTTCCTTGATCCAGGCAAAGGTGTGGTCTGTAGAGACGAAGTACCGTTGTCGGTCATCGGTGAAGCTTGACAAGCGTCGAAGATGGCGAGAGAAGCGGAAGACGAGCTGCCAGATGTAATAAAGAGCGGCAGCGCAGCCAAGAGCGAGAATTGTATATCGTGCCAAATCATCGTTGATGGCTTCGTAGTAGACGGAATAACCACCATTTCGTTTTTCGATGGATCCAATGTCTGTTGCCCTAGCCAGTCCAGCGAGGGACATCGCCAGCAAAGAGGACTGCATAATGACTCTCCAAAAACGGTGCACGTCGAGTGCTTAGGTCAAACTTGGTGCGCTTTTATGGCGAGGCCAGCTCGCTAAAAAAGACGTATTCAAAAAGGGAGTGTTGATATCTGGACCGACGCCACAGAAGGCTCGGAAGATATTGTCGAGGAGTACGTAGAACAGCAAACGAAAAAAAAACCCCAGGTTTGGTCAAACAACAGAAGCAAGGATAGTAGGGATCCAGTCGTTTAGGGTTTCCTGTTGGGTGGCTGGTGTCAAGGAAAGGACCTGCCTAGATCTAATATATAGAAATCAGAGGGAAAGCATGGAATAAAAGCCGGTTGTCGATAACTGGTCAGTCCAATTGAGCGTAGGAGAAGCGAAAATGTTCACAGAACAGTGGGCGACGTGTGTTAAAGGCCGTTGTCGACGGGCAACGAAAGGAATGCTAGTGATCCAGTCACTGCTAAGAAAAAATGCTAAAGATGGAAAATTGTCCACACAATGAAGATTGTCTCAAAAACAAGGGCAAAAGAAATGAGACAATGTCGACTATTGTTATAAAAATCAAAGGATTGTGAACAATGAAAGATCGGAAATAGAAGAAAGAACTGTTTCTCCCAGTCTAGATGGAGTATGAGACAGGGGGCCGCACTATGTCGAATTCCAGCCAAAACTCTCCACAGCACGGCCCGTATCATGTGGAATTCAATGGTTTCTTGATTTCCGGGACTTTTCTCAATTTCTTCCAAAGAGGGGTTTAGCGCTGGGACCCAGATCGGTGTAAGGGATTTTACATGTGCGTATGGGGTATGTAGGTGGACGATCCTGCAGATCCATTATAGCGAATCAGGGGCTCATATTCACAGATAGCCTCAGCACTTTAGCCGAAGATGGGAGCTGGAATACGTAACAGGTCAGGTCCGAGGTCTCCTCATCCTACAGGAAATACGAATCAATGAGTATGACTGGTCAGCACTAAAACTGTGAAACAGCCAGTGTGCAGAAAGAGTTTGACAAGGATTAACAAACGCCACACAGGCCGTGAGATACAACAGCTCCGCGTTAATGCTTGGCCTACGAGTGGTTGTCTGAGAAAGGGGTCTTTGCTTCATCGATGAGCCAATCTAGAAGTCAGAGGTGGGGAAAATGAGGGTTTGTGGAGTCACGTTTTCATATTCAATGGTGTGTTTTTAGCGCCTCTATGGTCTCGTCACACTCAAAAGAACGGAGTAATCCACTTTAGGATTGATGAAACAGTCCGGTCATAGGCTATTGCTCCAGTCATAACTGTAAAAGGTTATCTCCGTCTACAGGGGGCGCTTCTTGGCAATGGATTTTAATATATATCAGACCTCAATCTCCTCCGGATAATTACCTTCTGATAGTACGGAGTATTTGTCCGTCTGATAGAATAAATACCTTATTGGCCCTACAATCCGGACTTTTATAATGTTGTAGCACACTGAAACGTGAAAATATGTATAACCTGATGTCTTAAACCTTGTACGGCCTATATCAGTCAAGGACTTGCCGGACTTTTGTCGGTCTGGGCAATATATTTTTCTTCTTTCGTGCCAGATAGAGTGCGTCTATAACCTTAACTTCCTTTCGTAAATGTCCAAGACTTTCCATTAGCACTGTCCAAAGGCTAATCCAAAGGTGAAGAAGACCATCGTTCTAAGTAAAAACACCAATCCAAGGCCATGGGTATCAAATCAAAAATCCAAAACGCCTTCCCAAAAAAAAAGCGGACCACCCATATCCACCGTTCCGTTTCAAAAAAAAAAAAGATGTTGTAAACGGTCGCTCAAGCCCGTTGCAATGTCAAATGAGATAGGAACCCCAGAAGCATAGACGAGCCAGGAGGCTCCGAGGAATACCCGACTACTGCCCGCGCAGACAACTTTAGAAACCGTGACAGGTCTCAACGAGAGCCAAGAAAGTCACTCTACCCCTCAGAGAAAGCTAAGCTCATCATCACTGTCATCCTGATATGAAATGACCCTTTGTGGAGGGGGCTGAATACGACGGGTTGAAACTGAAAGGCGTGTAGACCTTCGCCTCTCCGGACGATTGATCTGCTTTGCGGCACGCTCCAGAGTGGGCCGGACGGTAGGCTGACATGGGCTTTCTCTGTGGTTGATGATCACGACTTCAACCTTCCGTGCCTGTTGTGTCGCGGGGGCCGTCCGTCTAGTCAGATTGGTGCTACGCTCTCGAAGGATGCCTCGGCGTGTGACTGGCTCCACAGTAGAATTATACCGACTCGGTGTCGGAGATCGTATTTGGGGACTGTTTGCACCCCTGTCAACTACAACCACGGCAGTGGGCCGTTGCCGTTGCCGTTTTCTAGGCCGTATGGATGACACCTCAGCCTCCTCGAAAGTCCGCTTGGTCGCGATCGGCGGGGGAGATGAGGTCAGACTTGACACAGAGCCTGGGAAGCGGTCAGACTCAGGCGAGCTGCAGTCTGTGTCTGAAGAAGTGATGCAGGGCACTGGGCTTGATAGCATGCGCATGGGTCTTTGGGACTTTTGCACCAAAATAGGCTTTCCCTTGGTCGCTGGCGTAGATGCCACCCACTCGCCTATACTATCTTCCCATCGGAACAGGCCGGTACTCTGGCTAGATTCCTCGGGTTCTTCTGAAGACGTTTGGGCAGTTTCGTCCTGGCGCTGTTTTGCCACGGCCGCCTCTTGCACGTCGACGGCCCACATGTGATCATCGGGATCTCCTGTAGCTTCTGCAAACTCCATGGCGGCTTCTGCAGCGACACGCCCAAGAAAGACAGACAAGGCTGGTGTATCAGCTAAGCGGACAAGTTGCGAAACCATGTCCCGTATTTCACCGCTAGTATGTTCTGTTTCACCTGTGCTTTTTCTGAGGCAGCGAAACGCTTGCTGCACAAACAATGCTAACTCTCTAACCATGTCTGAATGGGACGCTATAATCTCCGCACATTCATCAACATTGACTGTTGATGCCATCACATGATGGGTATTGTTTAATAAAAGTTTGTCATTGCACTGTACAAGGCTGGTGGCCAGCAAGATGCAGCCACGCCGTAACAATTGATGGGGGGTGCTATTAGGCCGCTGCGCGACGGAATTTGAGTCCAACTCTCGCTGCAGAGCGGTGTGGAGATAGCTCGTAATATAGCTCGCCGTCGTTCCATCCGCACAATCGGTGTGATCGGAGGCACGAGACCGTGAGATATGCATGCCACAGAGCGCTGCCATGAGACTTATGACGTGATTGCTCAATGCATCCTCCACCGGCAAGGGGCAAGGCCGCGCAAGATTTGAGATTTCCCACGCTGTGGTGGAGGCAACCCTGGTCGCACGAGCACGACCGGTCTCGCCCTTCAGACGGAATTTCGGTGTAGAACTCCGAGCAGCGGTAACAGGGCGGACATCGCTAGCTGATAAAATCACAGCTTCAATCAACCGCGTAGCCGCTGGACAGTCTTCATCTTCCTTCGACAGTGAGATCGTTGCTCGTGTCATCCAGCTAGTCCATAACTTGGTTCCCATCCATTCCGGTGGTAGCACTCCCCGCAACAGAAGCTTAGCAAGTTCGTCGAAGATATAAGAGCGATTAGCAACGCCATGGTGAGCATATTTTCGTAGCAATCGGATCGGATCCGAAGGGTCATGGTCAACCACTGGCCTTAAGGCCTGAGGATATGGGTAATTTTTGCGTGTTGAAAGTAATGTAGAGAGCAATGAGTCGCTTTCTTCGGGTGCAAAGGAACGGCATTTTTCAATCAGCGCGCAGGCAATTGAATCTGTTATCCAATGATTATGTATAAGGGTAGAAACCAAATAGATACCCTGTGCGCGGACAGCCTCTCGGAGTGGCTTCCAACCTGTCCCATGAGGCGCATAAAATGCTTCCAATTCTGTAAAATATGCATCGCACATATCTTCATCTCCGTCCTCGTCCAACTCATCCTGTGCTTCTTGCTCCCTCGCAATAAATTTAGGCAGACTGCGTGTCACCATGGATAGCAAAGATCGTGCACCACGCCTGCTGTTCTCGGATAAGGGCTTCGTTTCTCGCTTCGATATCACGGTATTGCAAAGGAAATTTTGGAAGACGCGATCAAGGTTGTGTGCTATGTCGGCGAAGCCCGGATCACCAGACTGGTCGAGAAGTTCCTGCCAAGGGCTCTTATGGAGAGAATATCGATCACGGAAGACTAGCGGCTGTGATTGTTGGATATTGGGGTTGACATAGCCTTCCGCGCGTTCTGACTGTGCACTCGAGGGCATCTCCCATCTCCTCCCAGTGATGAGTGGTGTTGCGACCTCAATAGCGCCAGGCAGGATGCGTGGGGCTTCCGGGCTGTGTATTGACAGTCTGTTGCGCCTTTTACCTCCACCATCCTCTGCTTTCGACGAATACTTGAGTCTGGGTCGACGTCGCTCGGGCTTTTTCCCTGGGATCCAAGCTGGGTCGTTCTCATCCGGATCCGCATCGGAACCTGAGCAGTTGTGCTGACTTTCTGGTTTGTATTTGGCTTCCAATTTAGGCGCATCATTGCCCTCTGCAGTTTCTTGTAGTTTCGACTCGGTCGCGATCATTGACAGCGTTTCTTTGTGCTTTGCGATTCGACGGCAGATGGAGGTCAAGGGGCGCAGGACACGATTTGCCCATTTTGCAGTGGCTTGGGCGTCATCCATTGAGGCCAAAATAGATAATAATAATATCTGCTAATAGCATACAACTGTCAGAAGAATTAGCACCGTCACAAGTTCTTCTTTTGGTCACTGGTGTCGCACTGTACCAACCTCGCCGTACTAATAGACTCCTCAACAATACATTATAGGAACAATGATGGCACTCATTCAGCTATTGCCAGTAATGCAGCAATAATCCAATGTAAATAAGATATGCCGGAGAATTAAAGGGCGTATTAAGTGGAAAACAAATGACAACATTAGATGCGAGGCAAACAAATAAAACAAACATTGACTAATGCGGTAAAGTGGGCCAACACACATTGCCTATTATGGCGATCCTAGTCAGTACATATATCATAGGCAGTCAAGTTCTTAAAAGGTATCTATTGAATTCCAAGTATTTGTATATGAACTTAATGGATTCTACCCAGAAAGAGAAAATGACCCAAGTGGCAGATCCGCATAATGCACCAGATATGAGCCCATATAAGACAACCGAGTCCTTCCATGCACAGCCCGAGAGACAACCCAACCTGGCAGATAAAACCAAAAAAAAGAAAAAAGAGAGGAGAGAGATCTAAAATACAACAGTTCTTTTCGCTCATCAAGCCTGCCTACCGATCCCCAAAATGACAATGTATATAGATATTAACACACGTAATAACCAAGAAAATAAGAACGGCAACCAATGTCTAGACTGGCTGAAACTGGCTGGCTAGTAAATGATTTATGCCTTGTTGGACTGCTTGGAGCCACGAAGCTTGGGGTTGCTGGTGGCAGCACGCTTCTTCTGCTTGGAGCGCGAAGAGCTGGTGTCGCTACCTTCGATGAACTTCAGCAACTCATCGATGCTGCGAGAGTCGAGACCCGAGGCATCGGTGGGGGCAGTGATTTCGGGTGCAGACTGGCCAACCTGGGGCTGAACACGGGTACCCATAGAAGACACGCGAGGGTTCAGAGGGTTGCGACGCAGACGACGAGCCTGGATGTCCTTGGCATGCTTGGCGATAGAGACAGCGTTCTGGGTGAGCTGCTCGAGCCAGTTCTCAGCCTCCTTGGTGTTGCGGTCCTCAGGTCCAAGTTGAGCGAGGAAGATGTTGTATGCCTCGCGCATCTTGCCGACGGCAGCCTTGGAGTCCTGGTCCAAGGCAAGAGCCTGAGCGAGCTGGAAGAGAATAGTAGCGGTGTTGATGGAATCCTTGCCGAATAGGTCCTCACAAATGGAGAGAGAGGCCTCGAACCACTTGCGGGAGTCGTTGTACTGCTTGAGGTGTTGCAGCATCACGGCGGCGTTGTTCATCGTGGTGATGGAGTCAGGGTGGTTAGGACCGTAGATGATCTTCCAGACATCCATGGCGTGCTTAATGTAAACCAGAGCGGTCTTGGTGTTGCCGGAGGCATGCTCGAACAGACTCAAGTTGAGGTAGCTCAGAATAGTATCGGCCGAATCAACACCCATAGTGCGCTCGGTGACGATAACGGCCTTGCGGGCCAATTCCACGGCAGCCTCCTTCTCATCAGTCTGGTAGTACAGCATGGAAAGCTGGTGGTAGAGCTTGGCGACCTCGGGGTGCAGGATACCGTAGATCTGCTCGTGCAGAGACAGAGACTCGAGGATGAGCTCCTGGCCCAACTGCTTCTGGTTCTGCATGAGAGAGATACGACCGGCCTCCAGGGCCTCCTCTGCCAGTGCGCTGCGGGGAGAGGCATCACGGACCAACGGGACGACATTCAGGATATCATCAGGAGTGAAAGTGACAGCGGGCTTAGCTGGCGCCGGGGCGGCGCGGGCAGGGGACTTGTCGCCGCCCTTCTTCTTGCCCTTCTTCTTAGGCTCCTCTTGAGTAGAGCCGTTGGTGACAGGAACAACAACCTGCTCCTTGACCTGAGCCTTGGTGAAGGCGAAGTCACGGGCACCGAGCTGGAGACCCAACTTGATGGAAATGTCACGCAGAAGCTGCAAGTGTCTAAGAGAGTTGGACCAGTCCTTCTCAAGGGAGAAGCGGAAGCGGATGGTGACCTGCTTCTCAAGCTCGGCCCGGAGGGACTCGGGGGTGACCTTCTCGAAAGAGAAATCGCCCTCGGGGAAGATTGCGCGCAGGGATTCGTCGATCTCTGCCTGAGGAGTAGCATTCACATCTGAGCCGAGAAGACAGTTCAGCAAGTGAGAAAGGCAAGAGGCGACAAAGGGAGCGGGAACGTTGTTCAGGTAGCGGTTGGCAATGTGCTTGAAGGCACGAGTGATCATTTCCTGAACCACAAGAATGGACAGAGCCTGCAGGCGAGGTCCCTTCTCGGTGGACTGCTGGGCCAACTTTCCGAGGTAACGAAGGTTGATACCACGCTTGTGCAGCAGCTGGGTCAGGGATTGACCGTCCATGGGGAAGCCAACGTCGCCGTCGTGCAGGTCCTTGAGCAGATCGGGGATGACCTTGGATCGCAGGTGATCACAGGCATCCCGGACTTCCTGCTCATCCTTTGCCCATTGCTCCTTCTCCTCCTCGGTCTGGGGCACCTGGCCACTGAAAACATCGGGGTTGAGAGCAAGGTTAAATCCAGAGATGTCAACACGCTCCTGCTCGGCCTTCTCGGCCTTCTCAGCGGCCTTTTCCTCCTCGGTCTTGTCCTCCTCGGCCTTGCTCTCCTTGGCAGCCTCGGCACTAGCAGCCTTACGGCTTTCCACCTCGGCCTTCACGTACTGGCTCATCTTGTGGCGCCAGTAAGACTCGACCAGTTCAAGTCTGAGAACGGACATGCGGTGGGGGTAAACATCGCTACCCTCCTCCTCCTGCCACGCGGCATCCAGAGGAGCCACGCGGTAGAGATCCAGGACGTACTTTCTACCGTCGGTACCCAAAAGTCCCTTGGTCTCAACGCTACCTTCCAGGTCGTGGCGCTTGTTCTCCTTGTCCCAGACAGGGTGTTGCTTGACACGCAGCGCCTTCGAGAGCTTCTCGAAGACCGGAACAAAGTCGGCATGGGTGGCCACAACCTCCTTGCCCTCAACACCACCGTAGTCAATCTGGTGCTCACCGGGCTCACGCTGCTTGAAGATACCAGGAACAATACTCTGGCCAACGATACGCTTACCCAGGTAGTCGACCACCACGGTTCCGGGGGTGAACAGTCCGTCGATATCGAGCTGGTTGACAGCCTTGATGCCAAGAACGTCCTTACCCACGGCGACGCGTGCAGCTTCGTCACCACCCTCGGAGGTGAAAGTTCCAACGCCATCGGCACCGAAAGAGTAGAAGATGTTGTTGTAGACAAAGATCTGGGCGTCCCGCGCCTCAGTAGGGTTTAGAGGAGCAACCTCACCCCGGGCAACCAGGACTGCACCGCGAGCGGCGGCCTCATTATAATCGGCGAACAACTTGGAGGTCAAGCGTTCCCGGAACACGCGATCCTGAACGGTCTCGCGGGGCAGCTCGCGGGTAGTCTGGAACTCCTCGTTCCAGTCACGCAGCGTCTCGGCGTTATCAACACCAGAGATCAGGTAGTTCTCCTGGGAACGGGTGATATCGGGCTGGTGGGCATTCAGGCTCGCAGTGGTGGGGGCGATGAGCCATGGGCTGTTGGGAATGGCGTTCTGGAAGGGGAAAGTGGTCAAAAGATCCTTCTCATTGTTGTACTCCTGCAGAGCCTCGAAGGAGGCGTTGAATGAGGGCGAGAGTTGGGAGATGAGAGTGAGCAAGGAGTGGGCGCTGCCCTTCTTGGGGTGTGTTGGCTTCGGGAATGGGTCGAATCTGATGTTCGAGCACTTGTTCACGAAGAACCCAGACACATGGGCAGTGATCTGGAAAATTTCACCTTCGTTAGTAGCAACCACAAGGTAAAGCAGGTGACCCTTCTGGCGGAGGTTGTAAGGAACAGGGTTCCATGAAGACAACGAGATAGACTTCACTGTCTTTGGCAGAGGAGCCTGCTCGGTGGGCAGGATGGTCTGCAGCGATGAAACTCCAGTCATGTCATATTTGGAGAGCGAGTGTTCCTTCTCGGACTCGCTGGCCTTGATGGCGTCTGCCGTAATAGTATCGTGCAGGGACAGGCCAGCGGAGATACCATGGAGGTTGTCGACACGGTCACCAGAAGCACCAATTAGCTCCCTGATGCGGACAACATGCATGCGGGCCTCCTTTTCGGTGTAGGGATCCTCGACCAGGACGATCTCGGAATCGGCCTCGAGGTCCGGAACCTCAGACAGCTCGACGAAGTCGTTGATGCGGTTGCCGTTGAACTCGAGGTGGAAGCAAGTGTATTGGAAGGTACCTGGTAGCTCGACAATAGATTGGCGGACATCCTGGACCTGTTCTTGGCTGGAGACCTAGAGAAACAATTCCGGGTCAGACAATTTTGTTCCTCCTGGCGTTTTCAAAACATCGAACCCACCATCACTTGAATCTTATGCGGGGCGTGAGGGAGCTTCACGGTGATCTGGAAAAGACCTATAGTCGAGTTAGAATACCGCTATGCAGTTCTGCGTCTAATTGCTCAACGTACCACCCGCGTTGTCCTCCTCTGTGCCCTCGGGAACATTGCCATTGGCAATCTCTTGGGAAGCTTGAGGAACCTCTATTCCTCAGTTAGCTTGTGTGCCCTACAACTTGTTTTACCTCGAACCCATGCTGTATGAATTTTGCCCAGCATTGAGGTTCCAGGGCCAACACACACCTTTCGAGTGCTCCAAGTCTCCATTGGTCTGTGCCATTATGTCGAGCCGGTTATTAAAAGAGCTTCGACGACGTAATAACAGTAAACCTCTATTTCCCAACCGTCACGCGGATGAGAAACCAAATTTCGGGAAAACGGGAAAAAGAAAAGGTTGAGGAACTGCGGGGATTCGGCAGTAGAAATTTTAGTATAGTATACAAAATGGCAGGCAAGGAACGAAAACCCCGTACCCCAGGAAGTTGAAAAAAAAAAGAGCAAGGATGAATGGATAGGCGAAACTGGAAAACCGGAGAGAAAATTTCTCGGATGCGGCATACCCTCGGAAGTGCTCGGGCGGTGGGTTCGGGGAAGGGGCGGAGAGGGCCATTTTCTCCACGTCTGCATTTTGACGGAGAATGGTAGAATTAGGGATTGTATGTAGATTGGAAATATGATATGTTAAGGTCAATATATAGGTTATAATTTTGATTGATATCAATTCATACATCTATGTTGTGCTTTAGTGCCTGAGGAACTAATATGTTTCGAATATGTGTACGCAGCGGTATAGACGCCAGGGGTCAAACCCTGATTTCTGGGCAATATAGATGCCTTGATACCTCATTTTCTGAAATAAGACCAGCAGAATAATTAAGATACTTGAATTACTATTAAAAAATAGTCGGCCGTATAAGCGACCTTTTGATGTCTTTTCAGTGGTCTCTTTAGATATCATTTTGCTTAGATGTGTCAGTTTTATAGGTCGACGGCAAAAAGAAGACGGAAAAAGGCTTTCAACCTTTTGATAAAGCGGTATAACTAGTTAAGGGGCGGTTAAGAACCAGGCCAAAATGGACATCAAAGCATCGAGATTTTCTAGAAATGGGGGTTTGACCTCTGGCGTCTATACCGTTGCGTAATATGTGTCAATGTGCCTTGGCTAGCGATTGTGTACACCGCGGCATTTTATTTCGTAATTATTCCCACTGGAAGAATTCACGGATCGTTAATTAGTTCATCTTAATAGGCAGAGGAGGATTAAACTATATGTAAACCTCGAAAGGTTAGACGCCTACATAGTTATATATGTAGATGCTAACAGGGCTAGTTCTATGTTGTACGGAGTATATGTACTTGACTAAAAAGAACATTGAAGGTATTATTTTGGAGGTCGAAAGCTAGAAAGAGTGACACCAAATGCGTTGATGCTAATACCTAAATCCTCATGGGCAGTTTCTTTATAGATGACGTAGACAATAATATTCCCAAGGTTGTCTATGTGGGCTTATCATGTCATGTAATCTTTTGAGTAGGGATATTTCTTTTTATATGTCTTTGATATATTTTCTCGCTCTTCTTGGTTTTATAGGGAGAGGGAAAAGCTTAAGTGAGGAATCAGGGACTTTGCAGGTTCGGATATATATATATGTAACAAAAACATAAGTGTCAATTGCCAGAAAAAGCTAAATTCACTTGGCAATTAAAGATATTTTAGCTATCCCGCATCACATTTAGAATAAGGATAACATGGGATTCAATTGTTTGAAAAAAGTTTAGTATATGCTTCGAGCTTTGTCGAAGCTAAGAACTGATAGCCTTTCATAACAATGCAACAATGCCAAGCTCGATGGATTAAGAAAAAAAAAAAAAAAAGAAAAGATACCTACACGTGCATATCAAAGTGATTTTAGGCATCTTGAGCACATGGATAATTTTGCCAGTAAACCGCCTAGGTACACACCTAACGTGGGAGGTATACGAGCTTACGGATGTACATAGGAAAATCTAATAGTCTCATGCATAAGCATGTTTACGGAGTACTCCGTAGGAGCTTATAGATATTGGATCCACCATCACACAGACCCTAAGAAAAAAATAAAAAACAAATCCATTTAAAAAATCTAGTGGAGAATTGATGAACCTATAGTGATACCCAAGTGGTCTTTTCCCCCCCCGTATATTGATCTAACATGTTCCTGATTCGATCGCCAAGCCTTCTGCATCCCTGGTTCATCGAGGCTGAGGCCAACACCGCAACTTTTAGCCACAATCGTCTGTTTTGACATTTTTTCCCAGTCTTTCTTTAACCTTCAGGGCCCTTTTATGTCTTTCTTTTTTTCCCCTTTCTGATATCTAGTCTCTTTTATACCCCCCAAAGTCTCTCTTTCACTGACGCGTCATTCCCTGGAGGTGTGGCTTTGCGTGGATCCAGTCTAGAATTCTAGCACTACACTCCTTGAAACTTTGTGTTTTAAATTGATACAAGTCCTACACAGACTGGGCATCTGATTATCTTCGAGATATACATTCCTACTCTTCATTATCCACCTTTTACTGAAGGACTTGGCACCCCGGCGTACAAACGCCAAGAGGCTTAACCACGATGCTATGGAGCCGACTCGCACAACCTGCCAGGCTCATTGCCCGACAGGGCCTGCCAAGACCTTTCAGAATTAACAGCCGCGTTGTGATACATACCCCCAAGCGGTTTAATTCAGACCCCCGAGGCACTGGTCAAATGACCCCGGACCCCACCGATCAGAATGATTCGGATGAGGGCAAGAGCAAGGGACGCGATGGCGACTCCGACCCAAACCTCAAATCTGCAATCCTCAAGATGCTTGAGACTGCTGCAACCACAGCGGCATCAATTGCCATTCTAGGGTAAGTTTTACCTATTCAAGCCATACGTTACAGTGACTAATGTACTCCCAAGTGCCGCGGGATACGGTTATCATCAGTACTACAAGTACTTGATCTTGGAGAAGATAGACAATGCGTTCAACCCAGGTGATCCTGCTCTCGAGATCGCGGGTGTTGTTTCTGGAAAACACAAGTACCGCCACGAGGAGCACTGGGTCGTTCGCAACGAGCAACCCAAGATTGATGATATTGTAGCTGGGCGACAAGGTGGCCACTACTATCTAATGGTTGGTGAAAAGGGAACGGGCAAGACATCAATGCTTTTAGAGGCCATGCGCAAGATTAATGGTAACAGCTGTGCAATGTTCGAAGCGCATGCTGATCTCGAGATCTTCCGAATCCGACTGGGCAAAGCTTTGGACTACGAGTTCCATGAGGAGTAAGCTTATACCCTCAACATAGTGATGGCATAATTCTAACAATAACCAGCTATGTCGGAAGCCTTTTCAGCATCCGTGGACCACGAGACACCACGGCTCTCTTGGACATTGAGCGCGCCTTCAACAAGCTAGAGAAAGTGGCTCTCACCAGAAGGCGGGATGGCTCGACTCCTCTTATTTTGATCATCAACAGTACCCATTTACTCCGAGACGACCACGATGGACAGGATTTGCTTGAGATGATTCAGCAACGTGCCGAGCAATGGGCTGCGAGTGGCCTCGTCACAACTAGTAAGACTGACGAAAATCCATTCCTCTTGTCATAGCTGACTTTGTTGCTTTCAAGTTCTTAACAGCGATGACTACTGGGTATACGAGCGCTTGAAGCGTTATGCAACCCGCATGGAGGTCATTCCCGTGACAGACCTGCCTAAGGACAAGGCAATGCGTGCTTTGAAGAAATATCGCCAGCAGTTCCACAACGAAATACTTCCATCTACGATCCTTGAGCAAGTCTATGACAAGGTCGGTGGTCGGCTATCCTTCTTGAACCGCGTGGCCAAGTCTGCAGATATTATGAAGACCTGCGATGAGATCTGCCTGGCCGAAAAAACATGGTTCCTAAACAAGTGCTGGATCCTCGGAAAGGAGATGGATGATGATGTGATGGACCAGCAGAAGTATGCCGTAAGTATATACTATATCTCCCGGTTCTTGTTCCTTTCATTCGAGCTCGGCTAATATAAAAACAACATAGTCTGGCGCTGTGGTTCTGGCGAAAGCGCTGGTAGACCTTGAGAAAGAGATGGAATCAAACTATCACCACGAGCAAGGCCACATCTTGCCGCAGATTCCGCTCCATAAAGCGCGCGAGATCATGACCCGTGCTGACTTTATCCAATCTTACGATCACGAGAACATCTTCACAATTGATTCGCGAGCTATGGTGCGTGCTGATTCAGTACCCATGCAGCGTGCCTTCCAAGAAATCTGCGCCATAGAGAACTTCGACCAGCACCTAGACGGTACTATAGAGCGCATTGGAGACATTGAGAGTCTTGGCCGTACTCGCGAATTGACTATCAAAGATCTCTGGGACAATGGTAAGTATCGCGTCGTTGTACGGGACAACTACGGACGAGAGAGTGGAACAGTTGAATTTGCTGTGGCAGAACGTGAAGGTGAAAATGAAGATTAGTTTTGTGCATGTTATAGCTAAGTCTATAGATGAGAGCTCCTGTAATTTAAATGTACATATTATGTTGAAGACAATCGACTTGAATTTGCCTTGGAAAAAGCAATAGTGACATCATCGTATGCTCACCGCTAACCAAACATTCCAGCCGCCTTCTCTTTTTCTCTTCCAAGCTCCAACTGAAAGCAATTGCTAGTAATTTTTGGCTCTGAACTCTACACTAAAGCCACCTCGTTTTTCAAATTTGGAAGTTTCAAAATGCCAGACAAGACTGCCAGGAAGCGAACTGTGTCGTGGAGCGACAACACGCGACCCGCGCGTGAGCTTGCGAAGACAGCCACTGCCCAGACCTCCCGATTGGCGTCCATCCCCTCTCCAGCCCGCTTTATCCTTGTCGTCTTAAGCAGTCTCGCTGTGAGCTCCCTTTTGTTCACACTCACATCGACCTTCACGGTAGGCGATCTCGGGCCTATCAGCAAACACCTGGAAGAATGGTGGGAAGTGGGGGGCTTGATAGCATGGAGAGCTGTGGAGGTCGGATTAGCCTGGGTTCTAGGATTCGATGGTAAGTACCATTACCATACATATGACCCCTTGCATCCGGGACACGAGGTTCCTGCAGTTGTACAGACGATGTATAGATGCTGACATTGTGGTTGCGACCAGGCTGTGATGTGGCATCGTTCTTATTCCTGACCCACCTGCCAACATACTCTCTCTTGTCCTTTTTCTACGGCATCCGTCCGACTTCTGCACTGCTAGCTTATGGTGTCACAATTGTCTCGACGGCGCTTCCCTTCGTCCTCCTGCGCCGGCCCTCGTCCGTCCACAATCTTTCGCATATCCCTGCTGATGCAGTTGCCAACCGAAACATTCTACAAGACAAGACTACCACTGTCTTTACGACGCTTCTGGCAACCTCGATTTTCAGTGTTGTACTGTACGCCAGCTATGCGACTTGGCTTCCTAGCCAGCTGGTCGTTCACTTCGAGGGCCTCCCGGATATCAGCGCAGCGCATGCTGGTCCCGCTGGCTTGCCTATCCTCTTCCTGACGCTGATTCCTGCTGGTTGGGCCGCGCGCGACTTTTTGTTTGTCAGTTCTACTGGCTATTCAACTACTTCCGCTGGGTCTGCATGCTGCCAGGGTAGTGAATGTGTGTCTGCGACCATTTGCCGCAACACCTGGGGCAAATTGTCCCCCAAGACGAGAGTTTTGGTTTCTCGGTCCATTATCCTTGCGCTCGGAGTCCTGCTCAACACTGTTATTCAAGTGGCCGGCACAATCCGCGATGTCTCTATCGAAGGTTCTGCCGCTTGGGGAGCAGTTTGGGCATTTGCGACACTGGTCGTGGGAGCAACCTTTGGCTGGATCGAGGCCGTTGATGGTGTATGATGTTTATACGTTATAACGATAGCATGAAGATGTGTGCTCCGGGTTAATTTTCGTTTTAGCTGCACTGGGTGCGCGAGGGGCAGATGTGGTTTCCTTCATGCCCGGTATCCTCTTTCTTATAGCGCACCTGACTAATGTCTACGCCTTGCACTACTATGTACACTTTCTGCTGATCAGCTACGGTGCTATTGGTGTCAATTTCTTTCTTCGTTATCTAAAATTACAGAATTTTATACTTATCTATCCAACTGTCAAGTATTGGCTTTCCTTGAAGTGTCCATTATTCTTCTGTTCTTGTTTTAATATGATACCGGTACCTCAGAAAGTACTCTCAGGCCTATGGCAACATGAGAGTGAGGGCTAGGTTTATGTAAAAGGACACTAGTTCCAAGGTTGTCAGGATAGTTCCTGTTGGTCGGGCAAGTTGTATGGCTAACGTATAATCACAAAATTAAAGGTATACTTGTAAAAGTCCATTTCACAAAGGCCTATGCAGCCGACTGTTATGAATCTTCAAGGATATAAAGAATAGGTTCCCCCGCGCAACAGAGTTCAGTCATGTGTGCCTTACCACTATGAGAGGTATGATTCCTTCCATTTTATTATCCTCTTACCCTATCAAGGTTATCTATAGACCCGTGAGTTCCCTCTAATTCAAAGAACCCGTAGACAGTCTTGTATATTCATTTAGTGAAACTCTTCATATATAAAAAACATATAAACCAAGTACCAAGCACAACACAATCACCAGTTCGTAGGCGAACTCCCATAATCCGGTCTATCAACCGAAAGCGTCTCCATCTTATACCCATCCGACTTCCCACTCGGCAACATCCACCCAGGATGCAAAACATTAAAGATAGCAACAGAAACGACCATCATAGCCCCATCAAGCGCGATAAAATACGACTCATGCGTAATAAGATACCCATCCCATCCCTGCGACAACTCGATCGTACGATAAATAGAACGAATATAGATACAGACGATGGAAAGTATCATCGCGGCGAACAGGGGGATAACAGAGCCGGTCACGGACTGCAGGAGCCGCTTGCGCATAACCCGTCTGATGAAATCCGCCGCGCAGAAGACGAAGATTGTAATTGAAAAGAGCTGGAAGACGATACCAGCGACCATGATGTGCGTGCCGGTTGCTGTGTCGCCGCCGATTTTGTCGGCTTCGCCGGAGGCCATGCCGCCGCCGACGGCTTGGACGACGAGCGAGATTACGTCGCAGGTGCAGAAGATCCAGAGGTATAGTTTTGGTGATATGATTGAGGAGTCTGGGCCGAGGAGTTGGATGAAGCGGCCTAGGAGGACGTAGATTCCTGCTGTGAAGAAGGTTGGGGCTGGGGATGTTAATGGTTGGATATATAGATAAATAGGGCTAGGAAGACGACTTACCGATTATGAGGGTGGAGATTTGCATTAGGAAGGCGACACTATTGTATGGACATTTGGCTGACCAGGTACGGCCGGCCCAGCCGATTACTTCGACTGTTTGTTGTTAGTCTTGCGGGTTAGGGCTTGGGGTGTCACGGTCTTACCTAGACATCCGACACTAAACACGCTTGCCCACCATTGTCGTTTCCAGGCGAATTGGACTGTGTGGAGGATCATTGAAAGACCGAAGAGTACGCAGTAGGCAATGCCTGCTCCTAGCGAAGGGACATATCCATATGAAGTGTTGACGCCTTCGATATAGGCAGGGCAGCCGGTTTGTAGTTGTATCATGTCCGCCATGGCGAAGGGGAATGAATGACTTCAAGGAGCCACCAAGGAAATGAACGAGAAATGGAACAGCAGTGGATACGGAGTAGTTGGATGGATTGGAAGATGGACTGGGGTTCCACAAGCGACCAGAAAAGAGATTTATAGACGACCACCCCGTTTGTCTGAAATCTAACAAGATACCCGAAGAGGACCAAGAATCAGGCTTCCATTTTCAGGTAAGATGGAGTATAAATATGTTGTAAGAGTAAGCATGGCTGAGCATCTAGCCCCCACCATGGGAAAAACCTTCCCAGACCAGAGCCACGGTCTTTAATGCAGGTCTACTTCTATGTATCTAAAGGGAGTCTCAGACCCGCAGCGGAGCAACCAATCCGATGTTCAAGTGTGCCTCCAATGTCCAGTTTCAAGCATCCAGAGTCGGTTGATAAACGGGCCGACTCCGGTTGGTATAGAAAGGAAAGGCAGATGGTGAGAATCTACCATACAATTGGACAAGCAACTACCACAGGAGGGTTACCATTAACCTGTCAGATTGCATAGATGCATGCCTTATATGCCATATGGACAATTGGGTGGATCATGACATCAAAGTTGGGCCAAAGATATAAAAAAAATACGCCGAGATCTGATAGAGAATCGGTCCGAACTAGAACTTGCGGATACGTACTCGCAAGATCATCTATTTCGGGTTAGCGTGGATATCGCCAAGTTGACTTCAGCCCTGAGGCTTTCAATTTATCTCCGGTAAAAACCGTTGGTAGACCAAACGGGGGCTTGTTAAGGTCCCAATGAGTCACGGCAAACCGGCAATCAGGCACTAGATGGTTTCGGGGTTTGGGCGAATTCCGGCTTCCAACATGAATGTGTGTACTCCGTCGTCGGTGTTTCACTTCTGCGGCTCAGCCGAGAAAGAATGCAGATAGTATTCAATGGCACACCGCTTCAGTATAATAGACAATCTCATTCAGGTTACTGAAAATTAGCCCTGGCGATTTTGTGATCGGAAATATCGGATAGACATGATCGAGGTCCACGTTCTCGGATGACAGCGGATGGAAAAAATTACAAAAGAGGATCCACATGTTCCTGCTTATTCGACAAATATGAAGTTATCTCGTACTGGTTCAAAGTACGATTGAAATGTCCGTACTCGGACATAGACAAACAGAAGAGCAAGAGAAAGCAGATAGAACTTTGAACACATTTGCATCTCTATAACGTTTACACTTGCGGGATTGTCGATCTTCAGTCGCAAAATAGTGGAGATCCAGTCGAATCCATTAACCCCAAACACAAAAACAGTCCAACTCGACACGGCCAAATAACGATCCAATCGAGACGGATTTCAATCGTCCAGTCTATTATCCAACAGAAACAAGGAGATCGGGGCCTTTCAGCTATGATGACAAACCAAAAAGAGATTAAGCCTCGTCTTGGCAGGTCAGTTACCAACATTGTGGAGGCATTCTAGACAAACGCACCGGGGCGAGGCCCTGTAAGAAGCCACTCAAACACACGTCACACATCTGGAACGAGATGTTTCGTGGCGGAGTCGGGGCGCAATCGCAGGTATATTAGAAAGTGGGGGCGTTTATAGATAAGCGGCTCTCTGTGAGAGATGAAACCTTCGCCTTCGTATTCTAAGCGATAAAAATTGCTGCCTACATCTATATATACATTCCTCACCCAGATGCAGTACTTTTTCTACTTCTTAGATACCCAAGTCCTTACAGCATACCATATAGACATAACATTAGACAAATGTTACAGTCCAGGCAGCTTCCGACCTTGACAACGTGCCCGCTTACTCCGTACACTATTCCGAATTCAGACATTTGCTACGTGGTGTGATGGCTTACGCTGGAATCGGGGGAGTGCGGTTATAGACTGTGACGAGGGTTAATTCTGGTGCATGGTGGATCTAATCTCACCGTGAAGCATCCAAAGCGGCTATTCTTCATCTTGGCACTCACTTACTTTGGAACTCGGCCATGCTTACTCGTTCGATCTGGACATCTGTTGATTCGTGTGAATGCTCTTACCCCTGGGTGTGGGAGGCCTGAAATGATCAGCCCGGCATATGGGCGACAACCCTTGAACTTAATATGATGAACCAGCTGCCAACTCAATGGATTGTGGATGAACAGAAGAAAAAAAGGAAAGAGGAAACGGATTCGATTTCTTGCTAACATATCATAAATGATCTAGGATGACTGGAATTGCTTGAATAAAATTATTCAGTATTCCAGAATCGCTCGGTCGGTTTCTGAAAGTTATGGAATTGAGGTGTGTCATAGATACCCTCAGGATCTAATGAAAGTCAGCATTATGCAAATTGCAAATAGGATGGGATCCTCACCATTGTGATTTTCCATAATATACTTCCTCGTGTTGACGATACTCGCTTCAAGCTGAGCATTCAGCTCCTGCTGGTAAACCCGAACTTTCTCGTTTGCCTTGGCAGCACTATGAAGAGCCCTCTGAGCGACATGGAAACGCGAGACACGGTTTACAAGCATCATATCGAAAGGCGTGGTAGTGCTACCCTCTTCAATATAACCCGCGACAGAGATACGCTCAAGACGCGGACGTCCAAAGAGCAAGCCCTGCAACTCGGTTGGGTAACCGTGGTAATTGAAGTGGATTGGCTTATCGGCAGTGAAGAGGTCATCGAATGCCTCAGTTGACAGGGCATGCGGATGTGAACCCTCGTTCTCGAGAATCATCAAGTCCGTCACGTTAATGACGCAAACACGTAGCTCTGGTATGAGCTTACGCAGTAGCGCTGCTGCCGCAATCACTTCGAACATCAGTTCAACGCCAATACCAACCAGCACGACATCCGGGTTAGCTCCCTCGTCGGTGCTACAGAACTTCCAGATCGATGCTCCTGCGCGACAATGGCTCTCGGCCTCTTTGGGAGTCAGGTACACTGGAGTCGGTTGTTTTGAGCCCACCATCAGGTTGATGTAGTTCTTTGATTTCACACAGTGGTGAAGGGTTGTCAGGAAAGTGTTCGCATCTGGTGGCAAGTATACGCGAGCTGCGGTTGGCTTCAGTTTTAGTACAGAGCCGATGAAGGATGGGTTCTGGTGAGAGAAGCCGTTATGTTCCTGGCGCGTCCAGGTGCTGGATTCGATGTAGTTGATACTACTGACTCCGGAGTGCCACTTTGTTTCCAGTGCCTATACAGAGCATTTGGTGAGCAATTGATATTAGCAAGGGAAAAGGAAACTGACCATCTTGATGAACTTGGCATACTGCACCATCATCGTATGAATGATACCGAGGAAGCTCTCATAGGATGGGAAAATACCAATGCGGCCGGTCAAGGTATAACCCTGCATAAATCCTTGACACATATGTTCGCTAAGGACTTCAATTACACGACCACCACGGGCATTGGCGAACTGGTCCCATTGGAAATTGCGGTTCGTGCCTTCAAATACCGCATCGAGTTTGTTGCTTTCCAGCTCGTCTGGTGAGAACAGTCGTACGCCACTCGGGTTGTCCTTGAATATCTGATTGATGTAGGTGCCAATCAATTTCATCGCGCTTTCGTTAGAGCCTTTCTGCGCGCAGAAGGGCTTCCAATCTGGCAACTTCGGTGGTGTATAACTGTTGTAAACTTCAATGCGCTGACCAAGCTTCTTTTTGTCTTCTGTAGGAATCACAGACTTGATCTCGTCAATTACATCACCGTCCGAAGTGAACAGCTCTTCTGGCTTATAACTAGAAAGCCACTTCTGCAGCAGATCCAGTTGGTCCTTGTCGGTCTTTGCTTTTGGCAAAGGCACCTGGTGCGAATGGTACGAGCCCTCGATAAACTTGCCATGGAGCTCCGTGGGCCCAGACCAACCCTTAGGAGTGCGCAGAATCAGCATCGGCCACCTCGGCTTCGTAATCGGCTCTCCAGAACGGGCAGCCTTCTGGATCTTATGAATCTCTTTGATGGCCCAGACCATAGAGAAGTGCAAATCTCCGTCAATATCACCGAGATCCTCCACAAAGCGGACCTGATACCCGTACCCGCTGAAGAGAGACAGAAGCTCTTTGCGGTCCATGCACCCAAAGATAGTGCGCTCGCTGATCTTAAATCCATTCAAATGCAGAATTGGCAGAACTGCACCGGACTCCTTTGGATCAAGATACTTGATTGCATGCCAGGACCTGCTCACTATTAGCGTTGTACAGTGCAAAGGGGAAAAGAATCGACGAACGTAGCAGTGGGACCGCTTTCAGCCTCTCCATCACCCACGATACAAGGAACTATCAGATTGGGATTGTCCATGACAGCGCCAAAGGACACTGCTAGAGCGTATCCCAGTTCGCCGCCTTCATGAATAGCACCGGGAGTCTCGGCGTTGATGTGGCTGCGCATAAAATGTTAATAAGGAAAACGAAATGACAGGACAGGGAACTGACCTAGGAAAGCCGGCTGTTGTGCTGAAGGTCGAAATCAAATTGTGCAGGCCTTTGCCGTCTCGCGCATACTGGGGATAAAATCTCTCCAGCGAGCTCTCTAGCCATAATGCAGCTAATATAGCCGGTGCGCCATGCCCTGGGCCGACAACGTACAACATGTCCAGATTCATTGTCCGTATCAGATAGTTCAAATGAGAGTAGACCAGAATTAGGCCCGGACATGTTCCCCAGTGACCTGAGGGTATGACATCAGTCACAATGATCGAGTTGAATACTTCGGGAAGGCCACTCACCAAGTAGTCGAGGCTTAACGTGATTGAATGTGAGATCTGATTTTAACAAAGTATTTTCTTGCAGAAATATCATGGCTAGCATTAAGTTAGCCGCGCCGTTTGAAAATATATATGGTACAAAGCAGAGCTCACCTGCCGCAATGTAACAAGCCGCTCGGCGGAACTTGAGCAAAGCATCGCAAGCCTTTTCATCTAGTTTTTCATGATCCAGCTCTACGCTCAATTGTTCGAGATAGTCTGGCAGATGCGATGGTAGCGGTTTGGGATTCGGCTCGGTGATGACTTCTCCAG